CGTCAATAATTATAATCATGAAATTTCAATTATTAAATAACTTTAATATCGCAAAATTGGGAAATAATTTCAACAAACACTTGTAAATAAATGATTCAAGTGATAAACGTTTCAATTTACAAGATTGAATTTACAAAACAAATCATTTAAGTAATAATCAGTGTACAAAACAAATTACAAGGCAACAATTGTTTAAATTTACGGCACATTCTACAGTTTTAATTTGAAATTACTCACAAATAATACCTACGTATAAAATAATTCATTATTTCTTTCGAGTATTTCTATGTTAAATTTTAAATATCAGAAAAACATCGATTCCTTATCTTATTATCGTGAAACGTTCTTCTCCTCTTATTCAATTACATTTCTTATAATTCGTTCGTTTCAAAGAATCTTCCTGATGCACTTTATTCTCGAACTCTTAGTCTCCCTTCCTTAGAATCATGAGATCGTCCCCTGACGATCGAAAGCTAGTTTGGAATTCGGAAGTTCCAAGTCGAATTACGGAAATATCTTGAGAGTTCCGTATACCGTCGACTATTTCCTTTTCTGCTACGGACTTTTTCCCCAAAGATTTTCTCGTCGCTCAATTCTAAGCAGCGTAATAAAATGGTAAAACATGAAAATTACCTGATCAATTTTATCATTGAAATCAAATGAATAAAAGTTGAAAACAAATTGAGATCTTGAACAAAGAATCGTGTTATTCGTTAAAATGCAGAAAGGATAATTTATGATCAATCCTGTTACGTTCTTTCAACTATATTTAACTCGATTGTATTTTTGCAACGTTGAAAAATATGTGTTTCAAGTTTAAACAAAATAAACATATGTGAGGTTATATATATTCTTTGCAATAATTCAGAAGATGTCAAAGTTCACCACTAAATTGTACACTCTTGAAAACTATACAATGTTGTTACGACTCGATCAAATGTGATGATATAAATAAAATCATGTAAATAGTAGTTATCATAAAAATAAACATAAGTAGAATAATTGAATAGTCATAAGAGGATTTGTGCGCTATGTTATCAAGAAGCAATGATTTTGTTACAATATAATATGTAAAGATTCGATAAAAATGAGCGCCATAAATCTTGTAATTGAGCCTCCATTATTTCTGGTATAATCGATAATCGTTTACACCGATAAAATTAAATGTTTCAAATTGTAACAAGATTGTAGGTTTCTTTAATACGCGTAAGACAGTGTATTAAAGATGTATTGAACATTCTGCAGTATTAAATTTCTCGTTCTAAAAAGTGATTAAATTAAACGGGTGCAAAATTGACAGGTTAATAAGCAATATGAAGCGTACAGCGTGTCATAAGCGTTGCTAATCATGTATTATAGAAGCTTGGTAATTGTATCGATTTACTGGGTGAATTTCGTAATTTATAAATCATTGTTATAAAGACTGTAACGAGTCATGTTCCTGATACGTTTAATACAAAAATTTTGTTTTTATAAAGAATATTTTATTTTCACGGTATTAATAAAATTTTATTTATTTCTTTTTTCACATACATTTACAAACTTTCAATCTTATTATTATTTTTAATTTCTTTGTCTTTGTAATTGTCATAGTATGAATTCTAATAATAATAATAGTGATGACAACAATGATAGATACAAGCAACAAATTATGAGCATATAATTCTTTAGAGATAATTCTTTCTTATATTTATGAGAATTAAATTTTTGAATAGAAGATCAGATTTTTAAATATTTGCATTGCTAATTTGTTACTTTGTTAGCAGCATTTCAAAAGGAGTTATTTCCTTAACACCCCAATGATATCGGACGCGACTTTTAATTAATATTAAACAATTTACGACTCGCAATACCGTCCCCGGTCCCTGTTGAATATTTATATTGATAAAATTGGCGAATTCGCGATTTCGTGGCTGCGATTGTAATGGGAAACGCGTTGCGAGCGTTCGCAAACCGGGCTTAATAAAAAAATGCGCCAGCGAGGCAGCATAAAAATTTTATAGCCCCGGATGGCGGTCTTCCAGGCGTAAATGGAGGAGCGTAAAATGCGTAATGACGTTGAGAAATCGAATAGAGAACAGAGAAAGGAGCGTTAGACGCGAGCAAATCGATTCTGCGGTAAAGCGACAATTATAAGAGTCGATACAAGTAATGGACTGTTTCCGTTAATCACGCAAATAGTATTTCCACCGTTCCTTTTTTTTATTTGCCGTTACGGAAGATGTTACCGTAATATCGTAATTGAATCGTTCATGCGACCGACTGGAGAATGATTTTATCATTGAGGTTAAATTAAAATTAATATAATAAATAATAATTAAATAACAGAGTTAAATGAAAATTGAGGTTTTTGTCAATCAAGATCGTTTTAAGATTTTTAGGATTTTTAAAATTGCAATAAGATATATATATATATATATAAAAGATATGGATGTAAGTTAAAAGATATATGTATGAGAGTTGTAAGAACCGATATAATATCAATTTTGTAAAATCGGAATTGAAATCGATATTACTAAGCCTTTTTCCCTCATAACTGTTTTATGTCGATTTTTTAAGACTGTTTCAGACCATTTCAATCTAGTTTTGATAAAATATGTTATATGTTACAGTTTATTGTATATTAGAGTCTCTAGGCTTTCTAAGATTGTTTAAGGACTGGATTTTCAGACACTAAAAGTATTTAAGTAATGAATTATTATATACTTAAAATGGCTCTCCATATTTTTATACTACTTTATTACTAAATATGATATATGTATGCAATAAATGTCTTGTAACTTTCATATACATTTAATTTTGAATTCCAATTAACTTTTATAACATGTACATTTCAAATTTAATAAATAATGAATATAATAACGAGAGCCATGTACATTGTTTTATACAACTTATTGCGAAGGGTTTCTCTTTCGATGATAAAAGATATTTTTAATTAATTAAATAATTAATTAAATAATTGATAAATTAATATTCACTTACAAAAAGATTCGCTCATTAACAGATCTAGATCACTCCATATCCTCTTACATACTACAAGTGCATTCACAATAAAATACTAGAATATAAATGTAAAAATTTTGTTTGATAAGCGTTCAAATACTTTCGAAAGTCAGTGTACGTGTTTACATAGATATACACGTACAAAATTCAAATATGTGCACAGCTATCGTGTCACAGCGGTGCTGCTGCCTCGAGGAGGTCCTGTCAGAAAGCAGCTGTCACGTCTCTTTCCGTCTGTAGCCTCGAGGAAAGACTCTCTATGGGGTCTCTACAAGCAACACAGCCATAGTTGGTTGTATCTTTGAAAAACATCAACGAAATGAATTCCTCATAGTTATCACACGACAAAAACCGCTTACAACCAAACTGACGTTGCAGTCGAAACTATCCACGATTGTTGGAATAACTATACTGTTTGGATGCAAGAAAAGTCTCAATGATAAAAGTCAATTACATTTAAAAGTTAAATGTTAAGCGACTCGTAAAAAAGGCAAGATCGCAATATGAAATTAAACATCTGTACGTGGAAGTGAAGTTCGTGTGACTCTCATATTGAATAAAATAGAATGAAATATTATTATTAATAATAAGTGGATATTAATAAATAAATATTATTATTAATTTAACTAGATATTTATCTAACTATTGTTAAGTTTTTATCAATTTAATATTAAGGAATAAATTGAATTGGAGAAAGGAGTATCGGATAATATAATTATTATTAACGCACGTGTAATTTTTGAAAACTCCAAGCAAAGTGTGATGAATAAAATTAAATTTAAAAAAAGCGAATGAATTTGAAAAGAAATTTAGAATTTTATTGACAATTTCGCAATTCGAATATATGGAATAATATATCTGCATGGAATACACGGGAACGCGAGCGTATCATCGTAAACATCTGTTACTAAATAATCTACGAACAGCGTCATTACCAGGCAGAGTTTACAGGATTTGTTAATCGACAACCGCGTCTGTTAATGATGTCGTGGCTATAAACCGAAAGGATTTCAGTTGATTTCTGCGCAAACTAACTATTCGCATCGACAGCGGCGAAAATCCGCAGACGACGAATATCTGTTTGATTTCGCGCGATTTATCATCGGTTAACTGCACGCTGCGACACTAATACGTAGCAATAATACGGCATCGAATTACAAACGTTTGCCAAACAGCTGTAATTGATTGCCCATCCTTTGATAACAAATCCGTTTTGAATTTGCCAATGAAAATCACCATTTCTTGATCGCACGTGGTTAAAACTTTTTCACACAAAAACGAGCACGACGGTCATTAAGTTGTTTCGTTTTTTTCTTTTTGTAACGCTGAATTTTATCCAATTCCTTTTCTCAGAAATAATTTCCTACGTAAAAAGAATTGGTACTGGTTTATAATTCTTTTCCAAACGTCATATTTGTAAGATATAATGTAATGTATTATACAATAACATACAATACAATACAATATATAATATAATATACAAAATATAATGAAAATATAAATACATGCATTATATATGCATGTTATGTGGAATTCATTATAAATTTAAAGTCAAATAATTGGATTAATTGTAAGAAATAATTTACGCGAGAACTAATTGACGCGATATCGTTTAAATGTAAAACATTTAACATGTAGGATATTTATTAACATTCAATCTATTGCAACATAAAATATGAATTCTGTTTATAACAATTTTTACGTCAACACTTGAAAACTTATGATATATCGAAAGAAATTACATTTCAGTGAAAATCAGCGAGATCAATTCCGTGCAGTTAAATGTTTCATTATCAGACAATAGTAACTAAAGAGAAGAAAAATTGCAATAATGAAAATATTTATATCAAAGGAAATTTCAAGATTACATAACAAAAGAATGAAAACTATAATAAAAGGATTAAAATTACAAGTTTTTCAGTTTAAAATTCGGAATTCGAAGAACTCGTTGAAATTATCGTCTGTCAGTCATACTGGTATTTTTCTTGTGATTGCAGCGCAATGCGGGTTCTCCTCTCGAAACTTCCGAGACCATGGATAGTTGACGAGAAAAAGGACGACGGTTACACGGCCCTTCATCTGGCTGCTCTGAACAATCACGTCGAAGTTGCTGAACAGCTGGCACGTGCTGGAAAAGCTGACCTGGATCTGCAAAACGTTAATTTGCAGACCGCGTTGCATCTCGCTGTCGAACGACAGCACACACAGATTGTTCGTGTACGTAGCACGTTTGTTTTACCGTCGAAAAGAATTCCTCACTTCCGGATCCGATGCTCCACAAACGAATCATTGAACACTTCTGATATTTTTCAAAAACATGTCCCGGACATTAATCTCAATTTCATTCGAAGTATCTTTCTCAATAAGAGTCTTTTCTTGCTCGACCTGAGAGATTTATTGAACGATGATTTAATGTTTCACACTGACGACTAAACGATTTGTTAACACAAATCAGATTTTCCTGTAAAATTCTCTATAAATATGTAGAATATATCTTTGGTGAATAAAGGAATATAAGTCAAAATAAATATTATGTAAATATATCAAATAATATTAAATGATATGAATATAATTTAATATAGTTTATTAAATAGGATAAATCATTTTTCCATTAGTATTTGTACATAATAACTTTTGCGTTTAGAACACTTGATATTACATGGCACTTTAACTCTCTAATTTAAGTAACTAAAATTATCAAGCCTGGAAGTTTAATATTTAATAAAAAGGATGTAACAAACTAAAAGTGCATCCATCTTTCGATATATTGTAAATATGATATATGATCGTCTTTGAACCTCTAATAAGTAATATTTTAAGCATTCGAGATTATATTTATGATACTGTAATACGGACTAAATACTCAAAAGGGTTAACACTGGAACTATCGGAGTGGTCAAAACGACCAATTCACAATTTTTCATAAAAATCATCTACGTCTATAATGATTCAATTTTTTCAGAAACCTACCAATCCTTAAAACAACGAGAAATTAATTAAACATAGTTAATTTATAATTTTGTGATCTTTATTTCGCAAGAACTTTCATGGACTTGTTTACTCATTGTACTACTATAATTTACACTCTACCTGCTATTAAACAAGTCATTAAAAAATATTGCGAAGTAGAAACAAGAAATAAAGTGCACCCGACAAACATGAATATTTTCAATTAAAATCTTCAAATAACTAAATTTACTCGATTTCAAATCGAGTTGAGGGTCGATAGCATAATTTACCCCGTTTATACCATATTTTCACGCGTCTAGCCGTCCTGCTCGAGGAACAGAGGAAATCAGAGCGAAGTGAGAATTTGGTCGAACAATTCGAAACACGCCAGTTCATATGTAATGAAAATGTTCTTGAACCGACAGATTAATTTCGCGACGGTGCGGTTCGATAATTAAACGCGGCTCGTAAATCCTGTTGTAGCTGCTGGTACGCGAGGGCGCTAACTTGAATGTGGCAGACAAGGACGGCGACACGCCTCTTCACGAAGCCTTGAGATATCACACTTTGTCGCAGCTGCGACAACTGCAGGATGTCCAGGACGTAGGACGTCTCCTGATGGGCTTGGGCGCGCAAGGGCAGGACAAGAAGAGTAGCTCATTCATCGCTTGCTTCCTGGCTGCCCACGGGGCTGATCTGGAATTGAAGAACAAGAAGGGACAGACTCCGCTCGACCTCTGCCCGGATCCGAATCTCTGCAAAACACTAACCACTTGCCACAAAGACAGGGAATCGTTAGTAGTTGCAATTTATCTCATACTGTAGCCATTCTAGCGAAACCGGTGTCGCGGTTCATTGAGACTTTCCCATCATTATAATTGTTGTTGCCATCCGTTGTTCCGTGGATTTAAAAAAATCTCGTTCTTGTTTCTCATTGTTTATCCGTTAATCCTAGCTCTGTTCAATGAAATTTGAAAATTTTAAAAGTTTCCGGATATACCATGCCCATGTGAAATCTCTGATAAAAATGCAGAAATAAATCGTAGAATATAGTAAATCGTATTGTTTGGCTACAGCATTTATAACGACTGAATTACATAGATATATTCTCAAAATATAACTTTTATCTTTCGTACATACATAATTATACTTCCAGGCACGATATTGAAACGGTAGTTCCATCAGCAACAATCGACGAGTGTTTGGTCTGCTCCGATGGAAAACGTGAAATGCTTTTCAGCCCCTGCGGGCATGTAGCTTGCTGTAACGCTTGTGCACCAAGAGTTAAAAAATGTCTGATCTGCAGAGAAAATGTTCTTTCAAGAACAAAGGTGAAATATTATGTATCTTGATAATTTTAGAAATTCGTATTAATTGTATACATTTATCTAATTCATTCTCACCGTAATCATTTCTCCTATTTACGTTACAAATAAGTCTAATTTTTCATTTAAAAATTATTCCTTACCTTCAATTTACGACTTTCATTTCTTCAATTTTCAATTTTAATTTGATATTGAATGTGTTATTGAACGTGTGAACGTTATCAATAACAATTCCGATTAAAAAGAAACGTAAAATTAAAAATTAAACATATTTGCAGATCGAGGAGTGCGTGGTTTGCTCGGATCGTAAAGCCAGCGTACTGTTTCGTCCGTGTGGACATATGTGCGCTTGTGAAAGTTGCGCAGCCCTGATGAAGAAATGCGTTCAATGCAGAGCTCAAATCCAGCATATGTTACCGCTGTCGATTTGCTGTGGCAGAGGAGGTGATGTCACTTACGTCAAGAATTCCAATACTACAGGTATAAAATTAACTCAATTAGTAACTAGTGATATTTCAAACTCAATATTTTGACAAAAATGTTTGAATTTTCGTAATATTTTCAAGTATCTTTATCTTTGAGATACATCTTTGAGAAATATGAATTCAGGACTGTCATAATAAAGGTTTGATGCTTCAAAATGAGATCAAAAGAATTGTTATATATTGTTACGTAATTATAACAATTTAAAAATATGGACAAAATACAGTACTTTATATATATTAAAAGGCGCAACAATAACAGAGCTAAAGAATGATCAAGAGGAAGAAATATCGCAGCAAAATACTGGAGGTGGAGAAGCTCTTTTGATGAATAACGGTAGCCGAGATACATCGCATAGTGATATACAGAAACTTCAACAGCAGCTTCAAGACATTAAGGAACAGGTAAATTATCGATTTTTATTATATAATCACATTTTTTATTACAATAATTAATAGTAGAAATACTGACGATTTACAAAGAGTATAAAAAACGTGTGTATTAAAGAATTGAAAGTGCACGGGATAAGAAAAAGTTTATATAATAAATGATAAATTTCTTTTGCATTACAGTTTCAAGTATATGAATGATACAAGATTTTCTTCTATTAAAAAAAGACATAAATTATCTTTAATTATTATTAATTAAGAACAGGATACATCTAATATCTATCGAAATTTAATAATTACTTTGATTTAATAACAATACGATAATAATTTTTAAATGCAATCCATTAAAGAAATTAATATATCACAGATGATTAATTTTTTTTAATTATGAGCATCAATTGTTATAAACTAAACTAAAAATTTTAATTGTTTAATATTATAAATATATAAATTGAAAATTTAAATCGCTTATGTTCAACTCTGATTTCGATCTATTAACTGGAATTTATAAATATTTATGTTAGCATTTCCTAAGTTAAGTGGAATATTATAGGAAGAAGGTCTAATTAGGAAAATGCATTTATAAAAGTTTATAAATTAGACTTGTTAATTAACTTTTTTTGCAAATGAAAATTTAATCGATTTATGAACATTAAAACACTATCACCACGTAGCGGTGAAAGTGAGGAACTAATCGCTATTGTTTTCTTTATCGCACACTATTGCGCTCTTTGTCTATGACCAAGTGATATGCTGCCATCTATTGGATCTGAAATAGCAACTAATTTTTCATTATTTTACCATAGATGGCAATACATTATTTAGACATAGACAAAGATCGCAATAATATGTGATAATGATAGAGAATGGTTCTATCTTTTCATCGCTACGTGGCGATAGTGTTTTAATGTGCATGAATTGATTAATGTCCAGTTTAAATTTAAATCAGTTTCCTCGAATTATTAATTAAATGTTATGTATATCTTTCCAATATCTGTTATAATTTGAGGGAACGATGCCCTTTTTGACAAATCCTTCCAGAATACAACTAATTTATTTTTATATCTACACAATTATACTTCTAACAAAATTTACTTTCATACTAAATATAAATGTATTTTTTTCCTTTTTAAAATTAAAATAAAGTATAATATTTGCAATTATTATCTTGTAAAAATTGCATTAAAGTATTGCAATTGTTTTGAAAGAAATAAATGTTCAGCAGAAACATTAATTAAATGATAAAAAAAACTAAAAAACTTTCTACATATATTCAAATCTTTTATTTTTTTATATAATAAATAATTAATTTTCCTTTTGCTTTTATATTTTTACAGACAATGTGTCCAGTTTGCCTAGATCGTTTAAAAAATATGATATTTTTATGCGGCCACGGAACCTGCCAAATGTGTGGAGACCGCATGTCGGAATGTCCAATATGCCGGAAGTCAGTAGACAAGCGAATTTTGCTTTATTAAATCTATAAAACAGTCATTTCGAGCTGAAGTTTCATTTAGATACATAAGAATTTATGATAATAATAGGAATAATTAAATATTGCATTTATTCGCTGTGATTCAAATTTCGAAAGTATAGATACATTTTATTTTCTATACTTTCAACTTCTATAAGACTGTAACATAAATTAAGATTTTGTTAAAACTGTCGAAGTATATTTATATACTGCTCATTCTACCACTTAATTAATTGTCATAAAAATCTTATATATGTAATATTTTTTATACTTGCACTCTAAAATTTTAGAGAACATTTGTACATTTAACATGAATTACATATTTTTGTTCAATTGCTTTATATCTATTGTAGGTTAATGTAATGAAGTAAACGGAAATGTAATTATTTGACAGTTATTCTTATTTTGTGTAAATATTATCTAAATATGTCATTCAATTATATGTATATAGATATTATATATACTGAAAAGTTTTCAAATAGTATATATATAATTCGAGTATATACAGTTCATAAAATAAATTCAAAAATTTTTCTACTTCCTATTTTGAAAGCAGAGATAGAATGCAATATTTATCTATTCTTTGTTTTTTTAATTCCTTGCTAACTTCGCATAATTTCTTCATAAATATTATTACTTCAGCTCATTTTTACAATATAAATAAATTAATTCGAGCAAATATAAACATAGATCATTATTTTTGTGAATTAAACGAAGTCATGAAATTGGATTATAAAATAGCAAAATACCAAGTAAGTAGATCGTATTTAACAATAGTGCTTTGTTTTTTCAAATTTACGAAGTTTAATTCGATAATAAGTAAACAATTATTTTCTAGTAATTATTAATCGAAATGATATTAACCAATATTTTCAAACTATCTGTTATGTTTCCATTTTATGCCGGTATGTAATCTGTACGCACAATAATCCTTTAAAGATATTCGATAAAACCATAATATTATTTATTTCAGATGTACTATTAAATTTAGTATTTATTGTGTCAAACATCATTTACAAAGCTTTTGCTTTCCTCCAAATTCCAAATAAAAACAGTAATTAATGGAATAAAAAAGATTTTATTTTAAAAAGTAATAAATCTCTGCAAACTTTACATTTCTCTTTCTATTTTGTTCTTTTTCTTCCTGCAATTATACAACGATAATATGTCGTAACTACAATATTTTTTTAATTACTTTTTTTTATTGCTTTAATATTTTTTTTGTATTTTAGATGTAGTTCGTACTTACTGTCACATTTTCATAGTTATAGATATAACAAAAACTTTATTGCTCTTTTGTAATAATTCTCTTATTCTTGTAAATATTTCACTTTATCGCTATTTTGTTTATTCTGATTATTATTAATATTATTACATTTGCTGTCCCTGCTCGGAATTATATAAAAGTATCCAATTATTAAAAATGTCAAATGATAATGGATAGTGCCAATTAGTTTTATAAATCATAAAACATTTAATTTATTATTAAATATCTAAATAGTTATAAAAATATTAGAAAAACAATTTTTATGATTATTGTGTTCAGTTCAAAGTTTTCCTTTTTTCCATAATTTATATATATACATACAAAGCAATGAAAATTATGTAATTAAATAAAATTAATTCAACTGATCGTTGTTAGTATAAACATTAATAACAACTATCCATATTTTAATACACTATAGAATGATTTAATTACTACTTCCTTTTTGATAATGAAGAAAAGAGGCAAGCAAAGTTTTGAGAAGGTATAAGATAATTAATAAATGTTATTTTATAAAATTTGTTAGCTCATGAACAATCTTTACAAAACTTTGCATCTTCTTTTCTTCCATTTTATTGAAGTCAAATATATAATTCTTTATTAACATCTTCATCATAAAAAAGTGTAAAGATAATATTGCTCATTAATTATAAGTCTTGAGAAAAACATTTATAATAAAATGGAAACAAAATTTGACATCATACTTGAATTTATAAGTTTATCAGCATAAATTTTCTAATTATAAAATTAGTATTTTGCTTATGTCACTTTGCATTTCTTTTCTTTAAGGACATTCAATCTTTTAGCAATTTTTTGCTTCATAAACTTTTTTGAAATTATAGTTGAAATAATTAATAATTGTTAATTACAATAACAGATATCTTTGTATACTTAAATTCTTCTTATATAGGTACGATCATGTAAGAGTTTAGTTAAAAATTACAATTAATTATTCAAAAATTGTTTAGTATTTGATATAACAAATAAAATATGCAATCTATGATTATGTTTAATAAAACAACGTTAAAATTAATGTTATAAAAACATTATTTTTGATATTTAATATTAATATTAAAATTTGTATAGTGTTAATATTAATTTAAATATATTAAATGAATATAATGATTTCAAATATGATAATAATGAATTTACTATTTAAGATAAAAAAAATTTCAAATGTTTGAATGTTAAATTCAATAAATATCAATTAATGGAGAAAATAGAATAGACAATATATATATATATATAATATGGTCTTACCTATAAATTAATTTTCATTTAACATGAAACATTAGAATATTGTGTATTGTTTTTGATTATTGCTCCTTTGCTCTTCCATTTGCTACCACTTTATAGAAGTTTTTGTAAAGCAATTATTATAAACATTAGAATTAGAAACTTTGTTAATTAAATTTAAAATAAGTATACTAACAATTATAAGTATTAGACACTAACATCTAATTTAAGACTCCATTTTCTACAAACTTAAATCATATATAATTTACTTTGAACCAATAACAATAAAAAATGGAATTATAATATCAGAAAGATTATAAAACATTGCAATATTTCCAATTGGATAAAACACAAAGAATATTATAAATATTCAAACGAAACTACTAAATAATTAAGTTTTGTGATCCCCTCTACTATAATATTTATTTCATTGTTAAGAATTATTTGTTAATTTGGAGTCTTAAAGAAGATACAGAAAGTGAATGGGCAATATGTAATTTTTGAACCATTCCTGTTTCATAGTATTTCTATAAAATGATATATTGTACTTAGAGACATTATATATAATAAATATCATTAAAAATAATATAGACATGTTAATATTACAATGGGATCTTAAAATCTTATTATCAAATTATGGAATGGAAAAATTAATTATGAGTATTTACAATTTTTGTATCTTCAAATGACAAAAGTATTTCTAATTTCATTCCTTTGGTTATTTAATCATTGATCTTATTGTACTGTTTTGACAAAATAATGTTACATCACAGATATTAATTATAATAATTATTAGTAATATCTTAATATTTATCATTTTATTACATTTTACATATAACCGTTTTAGTAATATCTTAATATTTGTATTATTTTATTACATTTTACATATAACCGTTTCGATTGTATTCAATAAAATTATAAAAATAAACGCATTTGTCCATCCTGTCAAAAATTGTTTCTATTTATTAAATGCGTAACAAATAATAGAAAATTATAAGATATTATTGATTTAATAACACTTTTTCTTATTAAAAACATAAAAATATTTTTTCTTATCTATTTAATATTTGTCATAAAAATATTCTATATGTATAAAAAAATAAATTCATTAAGGTATATCGCAATAATAATAATAAACAGTATGTTTATGAAAAATTATTTATTTTTGATCAAGAATTTTAATTATTTCATATACAGAAAGCCATATTAGTAACTGAATTTACAGATTTTCCCTTTCACATAAAATTCTTTTAAAAGTTGACAAAGAAGTTTCACATGATTCGTAACCATACACTCCAGAGTTTCATTCGATTTATAACCATACTACGAATTATTTTCAAACCAAAGACAAACCCGTGTCTTTAGTTAAGAAATCTCTTCTAAATCTAACATTCATATAAAATACTATCTCACACATTCGAATGACTCAATTACGTTACAGTAACGGCACTTGATAAATTAGACCGAATTAAACAGGAGAGAATTACTCAGCCAACTTTCATCAACGAGAACAATATTATATAAATAGAACTATTTGTTTATTTAAAGAAGAAACGAAACTATTAAAGAGCAGTAAAAAAAATCCTTTCCATTACTCGTAGACAATTATTAAATAATTTACTATAACAAGATGTAGGGACATGTGCGTAAGCATAATTAGAATGTATTACTATATTAAATATTTAATTACATTAATAACATTCTAGCAATTTTGTATTGTTATTGAGAGTGAGACACAACAGACAAGATTGATGTCATGTCACATTTCGTTATTTTCTATTTCTCAGTACCGCATTCGTTTCTGAATCGAATTCAACTATTCTTATTGATTAATTCCAATTCTTTGCGACCCATTCAAATATAATTGAATTTTTTATTGCACATTCATAATAAACAGTTGTAATACTGTGTACTCAATACCAAAAGAACCATAATACTAAGAATGTGCAAACAATTATACATAAAAAATGTGCAATCTACAATCTAAAAATGATTATTTTTAAAAATTAAAGAAAAAATTATTTTAAATTATGCAGTTGTGCTCCATTTTATAATATGCTATAAAATTTCATAAATTATAATGTTATATATTTTTATTTAAATAAATTTAATTAAGTATTTGTGCTTTGCACAATATGATCATTAGTTGTCAATTAAAAACTTGTTACAAGTATTTTATTGTTTACAATGAGTTATTAAAAATCGTGAATAGTTTTTAAAATAATTGTATTAAATTAGTAAGCGATAAATATTTTAAACCGTAATACATAACATAAAAAATAATAAATTAAAATAAAATCTTTTTAAGTTACTATGCATTATATCAAATTAGTAAATATATGCCAATATGAAAAAACAATTTCTATATCAACTTTAAACATTGCAGATTCTGTGATGCAAATCATGTAAATATATTTCACATTTACTCAATTACTCTTAAAACATTATATTACTGATATTTATGACTTAAAATTCAATATATGGGTCGCAAAGAAAATATATTTCCTTAACATTCAGATGACGAATTTAAATTGGGAGGAGAAATTTTCTTCGTTCGAGTAAGTCGATCTAATTCCACTGCAGCATCATTACACATAGTTGCTTTATCTACTGATGCATTATCTAAAATAAATAATATATAAAATTTTTTTAAAATTTAAAATATCATAAAAGCGTATAATATCCTAAACTTTTATAATACATTATAATACCCACCAATTTTTATTGGACTTGTGCCTACAGTACCTGGTGATCCAGGGCTTCCAGTCTTTTTGTGAAGAAGAGAATTGAAGAAGTTAGCTAGAACGCCTTCTCCAGATTGTGTAGCTCCAGTACCTTTGGGATCCAACTTTTTATTTGGTGATGCAACCTGTATAAAAAATATTTAATATTTGCAACATGAAATTTTCTGTTATGTTCATAACAGATCATACCACAAAAATTAGAACATGCTTTTGATAATGGAATATGTAATTAAAATTCAGCCTAAGTATAAAATACTCATGTATGCAAATATATTTCCTCTGTATAGTAAATCTAACAAAATACACATATTAATATTAATGTTAGTTTAGATTCAAATATATTACAAAAATATAATTTATTACGCTATATTATTGCTTCATAGCTATACAATGGGAAACTACTAACTTAAACATAATAGATAAATACTGAACAATGCATGAATTTATTTAAATTATTTAATATCAATGCCAAAAAATACTTGGTGATCCTAATATTAATACACGGAACATTTATTATGAAATGTAAATATAAATGATACACCTAAGAATATAGGAAGCAACATTCACTGACACAATTACAGTTAAAATTTTCAGGATATTAATGTCAAAATAATTTTAAATGTGAATAAGCATTATCTGTTAAGAGGTGAGAATATAATGATGACATACATGATAAAAATACATAAATTAACCACGAAAACATTGTTATTCAATACTGAATGATTATTAACTGTATGTAACATGACAAGCATGCTCCAATTATAAATGGTATAACCTGAATAATTGGTCCAGTGCTTGCCTGATTCCTGGTTGTGGGAGATCGCGTTGGATCTTTTATACCTAATAATGCAGCTTGTTGTTTCGCCAAAAAAGCTTGTTCTTCTTCTGCTTGTACTTCTACTTCTCTAGCTACACACTAATTAGTAAAATAATGTTTTATTATAAAATTTTTAACTTTAAAAATGTAATTTGCTTATACATACACATACTTTTCTGTTTATTGATGGTTGTGCAATAACATCTCTGTAGTAATCATCTGGTTTCATTGATTGCAAATTTTCATGAAGAATGCTGATCTTTTTCATATTATCCCAACCAGCGGGTCTGCAATTAAAATCATGTTTAAAATATTAAAAATATATTAATGTTTATACTTAGTCTTAATGAAATTACATACATAAGAACTGCATCTTTTTCAACAACTAAAGCAGGTGTTCTAAATGGTAATGAATAAATTCTATGTGTAAGGTATTTATAAAGCAAATCACAGTTTTTATCTTCCTTTGCTGATGTATAGAATAATCCTGCACCATATTGCAAACAAAATCGTCTTATCCATTGTTGTATAAAATCGAAATGTTCATCCCTACAAAAAATTGATGAACAAATGAAGTCATTTTTTAACACCAATTATATCCTTTTTAATAATATTTATGTTATAATCTTACTTATAATCATGTTCTTTCTCAAGAGTAGACATATAATCAGTTTTTGTAATAACAACAACAACATCTAGGCCTGAATTTGTTGTAAGTACTCCTTCTGGTAGTGGTAAATTATCCATTGTATCATCATCTAAATTACGACTAGTTCGTCTTAAAGGACTACCAGGATCTAATTCATCTCCAGGTTCTGTATAATCTTGCCATTTTTTTATATCTATGTATATAAAAAATAATTCGAACTATTGTTTTAACTACTTTATTTCATTAATATATCTTTCAACTATTGTTTTAACTACTTTATTTCATTAATATATCTCATAGAAACTTAAAAATATTATAGAAAATCAAAAATCTTTATATATGATTAAGTAAGTATGTACATGAAAGTAATTTAAAAATATGACTCACTAAATTGCCTGCACCGTTGCCAAGTATCATTATCTAAAGAAAGTTTATCAATATGATCTCCCAAAAGTGCAGCCCAAGATTGAAGCTGGTCAAGAATAGCCCAAGGAGTCGTCATTGCAGCGACTAACATAATAAGTGTATGTGGAAATCTTTCTGCATTTAATGCAAATCTCAAAAGATTTGCATGACCAGGATCACCATCTAATACCCATACAGATAATCTTGTTTGATCTAAATCAAAATAACAAATCCTTATAATATTTTATTAACACATACAAGTTGAAACATTATTAATTCCTAATTGATATTACCATCTCTATAGTCATCTCTCACATCAATGTATGCAAACTCCAAACCAGAACCTTTCTTTGGATCTTCTACACCTTGTAACTTAGCAATAAGAGTGGTTTTTCCACTTTCATTGTCACCTACAAATGAAATGGCTTCTTATTACTCAAATTAAATGCTATAATTTAAATGCTTAATAAATACCTTTAATATATAACACGTGTGTTATAAATATCTGCATTGAATTTATATCATTGAAAGAAAATGATTTTTGTACTTTTCTAATATAAAATATATAAAATTATTTTAAAAATATTCAAATTGAACAATTGAATGTTTAAACAATCAGATAGATCAATAATCATGTATTAAAAACAACATTAAAACATATTAAGCATAAATATTGCATGCGACATTTATTACAATAAATAACATTTGTGTATGACACATACATGTCTTACCAGAACCTTACATTTCAAGAATAGTTTCAAACTTACCTAAGACAAGAATATTCTTGTTCGATGGTAATTTGTTACTGCTACTATTTTGTACTTCGGCCAAAATAGAGGACCTGCATAAAAGAGAGAGTAAAATAAGATAAAATATTAAAACTGACTAATTCTCTGATTTGTAATATGTGGCACACCAGACGAACGTCAAAATATTTATATACTGCAATTGCTTATTGCCTATTACCCATATTACATTATAAAAATTTTCAAGAAGGATTTTTCTTTACACACCATAAGTTGTCTTTATTTTCTGGATCCTCTTTTTTCTTCGATTGAAACCCACTGTTCTGCAACATTATATCAATTGCCGTCGCTGCCATTATCCATTTGACAGAAATGAAATCTACTATCGATTGTACATAAACTGCGGGTGCGGTTCGCAGTTAACTTCATTCAAGATAGGACTTAAATCGTATTTAAATTTAAACTCATTCGTTCTTTGTACTTTATATACTTGATATTTAATTTTTATTTAATATTTTCTTTCTAATAATATTTTATTTATTGTGTTCCATTTATTACAAACATCTATATCTACACGCACCATACACACATATATATAAATAATTTTCATAGAAATACCTTATGTAGGAAATTTAATGTCGAAATCAATATAGATTGATTTTATTATTCATTTCAAATTAATATTCAATAAATCATGAATATGCAACATGTATATAAATACATTTAAATATTGTTAAATAAAATAAGATAATACAAGTAATATAATTGTATCGTATTTGATAATAAATTTAAAAATTTTTCATAAGTATACCATTTCAATATTTTTTCTTTACATAAATATATAAATATTTTGTGCAATATCTCTTTTCAATAAAATTTTTTCTGATCGTTCATATAACTACCATGCATTGTTTTTTCGATTATAATGTTGGTAATATATACAGCCATTATGTTATCTATGAAGTCACTCATAATAGTTATGTGTATATAAATCATAGTATATAAATGATGTAGACAAATACGAATAAAGTAACTATTAATAACTATTAGATTGAAATTTAAAAATAAGAATAAAGACAAAATGATAGGGATTTTAAATGATTCTGACAGTGAGGATGAATTGCCACCTGGATGGGAGGAAATGACAACTAATACTGGGAATGTATACTATGTAAAGTAAATAATATTCGTACTAATACATATTATCATAGTAGAACTTAGTATTACATCAAGATTTAATATAAAATTATCAATCTGTAATATATTTATAAAATATTTTATAAATTATCTTATTTTTTTCTAGTCATTACACAAAAGGCACACAATGGACACATCCTAGAACTGGGCGTACAAAGATTGTTGAAGGGGGTACAATGTTACTATATAAATTTTTATACATATGTCATCTAAATTTTTAATTGACTACTTATATCATATGAATGTAGAAAGTACATAAACAAATTCATATAATTACAGCAAAATATCAAAAGAACTCTTATCATACCTATATCCAGTTATAACTGATATTTAAATATTTACATCTATATATTTTCAACTTGATGATGAATGATTGTACAGTTACTAACAAGTTACAAAGCTAAATTATTGTGAGTAAAATTTGATAATGTTATTTGTTAATAAGAATTACCATCTGGATGGGAAAAATGTGTATCAGAAGATGGTCAAGTCTTATTTGTTGATCATAAGAATCATACAACAACCTATACTGATCCACGGCTTGCATTTGCTACGGAATATAGAGAATCTTCACAACCTGTAAGACAACGTTTTGATGGTAGTAGCACAGCATTATCTGTTTTACATGGTCGAGATTTAAGGCGTAAAGTTGCCATAGTTACAGGCGCCAATACTGGAATAGGTATATATTTCATGTTATTTGGATTACTTGTGGCTAATAATAATTAAAATTTTATAAACAACTGAACATATTATCTTCCTCCACTATTCTCTCAATTTTTAAGGATTTGAAACAGCTAGATCATTAGCTTTACATGGATGCAAAGTTGTCTTAGCTTGTAGAAATCTAAAAAAAGCTGAAGAAGCAATACAAAAAATAAAACAAGAAAGGCAAAATGCAATGTGTGATATATTACATTTAGATTTGTCATCATTACACAGTGTTAAAGAAGCAGCAAAAAAATTCAAGCAGAAATATAGGTATGTTTAAATTAGCAAAAGTGTCATTAATAACAATATATTGTCATAATAAATTTACTATATTTATCATTTTACATATTTCATTATTATATTTTATATTTTTAGAACTTTGAATATCCTTATTTTAAATGCTGGAGTCTTTGCAATTCCTTATCAGCTTACAAAAGATGGTTATGAAACAACATTTCAAGTAAATTATCTTTCTCAATTTTATTTTACTCTTTTATTAGAACATCCAATACGAAGCTGTCGTAAATCTAGAGTAGTGATAGTTTCAAGTGAATCACACAGGTATTCAAAATTTTTTAATAAATATTGCATACACTATGTAATAATAGCTTTTCTCTTTCCCAGTAATAAAAATTCATATGATATATTTTATGTTTATCAATAGATTTTCATCTTTACAAACAATAGAAGATTTTCATCAATTAATTTTGTCTCCTCCTGCATATAAATATTGGTACATGGAAGCATATAATAATTCAAAATTATGTAATATCTTATTTGCACAAGAATTAGCAAACCGGTGGCCTTCTGTAAATGTGTTTAGTTGCCATCCTGGTAATATGGTCTCTTCTTCATTGTCTCGTTATTCATGGATATTGCGGTTTTTGTTTATGCTAGTACGACCTTTTACAAAATCATTGGTATGATAATTATTTATTTAAAAAATATTTCTTAGGAAAACGTAATTACAAATTTTTTTTAATTTTACAGCAACAAGCTGCTAGTACATCCGTTTTCTGTGCAACTGCACCAGAACTGGAAGGGGTAACTAAATGCTATTTCAATAATTGTTATCGTTGTATTCCATCTATCACTGCATTAGACCCTGAACTTGCAGCAAAATTATGGTCTGTTAGTCAAGAAATGATTGTTAATATTATAAAAAAGAATGATCTCTGGGAAGCAGCTTTAAGATGAAAGATATTATTATAAAAAATAGTTATAAATATGCAGAAAACAGTAAAATATTGAAACCAAAAAGTATTTTAATTAGTAAGAAATTCATATTACTTTCATTAAGATTAAGATTTTTATTCTATATTCAACAAATTTGTTTTTATAGTTTTTGTATTTTAATACATTTTTTCTTAAATTCTATTTGCGATAATATATGTAAATATGTATATTGAAAACATATATGTTTATTGAAATTGTATTAAACTGTTATTAATTGTATTAAATAAAAAAATAGAGGAGTTTTTTTTAGAAATTCATTTTAAGAAAATAATTTTTATTTATGTATGTAATTTTTATATATGTATTTAATTATTTTATTAGTGTAAAAACAATAAATGAAAATAATTATTTTATTAACTACCTGTTTTAAAAAAAGTGTTTCTTACATCTTTAAAAAATTTTTATGTCAAACAAAATTCAAACTATAATAAAATGAAGAAGAAGAAGAAGAATATTACAAGAAAAAGAAGAAAAAGAAACCAATGTTATTTTGTTTATATCTTTTTAAACAAATTAGCGATACATGTGAAAGCAGCAGAATTTCACGTATCATATATATGTATATATATATATATTTATAAGATACACATGACTTATTAAAAACTTCTGATTTTGTAAGAAATGTAAAAATTAAAAAATAGTGAAATTATACATTACGGTCTAAGATCGTTATGCATAATTATGTGCATAGATTTTTAGAATCTACTATTGGAAATATATTTGGCAAAGATATAACTTGCAGAGAACCAGTGCATCGATGCGATGATTATCAACCAGGTGTGTTAGTAGAATTTGGAAGAACTGGTATAAAAGTATGTATTTAAATAATAATTATTCTAACACATTATTGTAACTATTGAAGTATCAACTAATGAATCACAAAATAAATTACTTAATTTTTAAAGAAAAAAAAATTTAATTTCAAATTATATATTTTTACACAGAAAAAAAGCTAAAATTTATACATCTCGATCTTCTTTTTTTTTAAATATTGTGAATATTTATCATTGACAGCATAAAGAAATATGCCTTGAAATATCATGTCAATTTTATATGAAGTACTGTAAGTAGAAAATGTACGTATAAAGATTCTTGATTTTAGTAATTAAGTCTTACATCTTTGCATAAATTTTCGTTGAAATTGATATAAATTTGGTAAGTATATCTTAAATGCTTTAGAATTATATTTTTAGAAACATTCTTATAATAAATATTTATACATTTATTTTATTTAATTAATAATTTAATTAATAAATTAATTAAATTAATAATATTAATTACGTTACTACGAATATTAATAAGAATAAATATTTAAAAAGTTTATTTTTTTCTAATATTTGCTCGGTAATAATAATAATAATAATATTTGAACAAGACGAATATTTAATAATACTTACTTTCTTTTAAATATTTCATATTTACAACTATGTTTTCTAAATGTAACACTAGATGTCGTATTCTTAATACCTTTAGTACTGAGACTACATTATTATTAGTATGACCGTTTTGAAATGTCCTTACAAAGTTTATAAAAAAATTACGTATTTGAAAACGTGTTATGTCTGAAAATTATCATTAAATTGTAATTTAAAATGAATCAAACAATGGTAATTATAAATCTGTGATAAATACAGATATGACATTTTAATTACATTTGGTAACTGGTACTGTTTAGTTCCTATATTACTTATTTTTACTTTATATTACTTATTACATTTAATTACTATATTTGGTAACGTTGGTACTGTTTATTTTAATTTTATAATTTTTCTTTCACTTCATCTTATTTTATATTTTTCATTATATTTGTTAGATTGAATAAATAGTAAAATATAAAAAAATTTGTAATATAGCTTATTAATTATTACTTATTTGTAATAAAAATAAATAATTTCTCAAAAATAATTTAAATATTATTACTAATATGGAAAATAGAAATCAAATATATATTTACATGAAGTTGTTCAAGAAATTCTTGATGCCGTGTGGGCTATGTGCTGCAACACCAATAATGAAACCCCCAACTCCTGAAGAACATGCTAAGCCTTGTAATAATGAAACACAAGGAAAGAAATTAATAAAACCATCAGAATTACCCATTTATTCTATTGATGATAATGGGTATTCTAAGCAGTTGCCATGGTAAAGCGCAAGTAATTTGGTATTGATAAATGTATTTTTATTCTTATGTATAAAAGAATTTCTGAAAAAACATGATTTATTCAAAATATAAATTTTTTATTTTTAAGATTTTCTTAAAAAAACATTGCACTGTATTAAAAGGTGATCAATTTATTATGATTAATTTTTTATAGTGTGGAACATCCTTCTATTGTGGAAAAAAAAATTAGAGAAATACGTCAAAGTGTGGCAGCAGTAAAACTAGTATTGGACGGAGTTTTCCTTGATGTTTCAAATACTTTCAAATATCTTGATAATATTAAATGTAATAAAGAATTTATGAATACTTTAATGCAACTGAAACTATGCTATTGTATACAAACTTTACTAATATTAATAAAATTTAATATTTTTTTTTTAGTTGCAGTTGATTATCTCCAAGATGAAGCTAATCTTATGCCACGAATAGGAGCTGTTGGTATTGGTGGTTTATCAGGATTAGTAGTAAGTCTAAGAAGAGGCATACCAACCAAATTAATTGCTACGACTGCAGGTGCTAGTATTGTTGGATGTGTTTGTTTCCCTAAGGAAGCACAACAAGTAGCTAATACATTAGGACATTATAGAAATATTACTTTCAATTTCATTTTTGGTGGTATGTATGTTATTTATTATTATTTTATAGTTGTTAAAATGTTATTAAATCTATTTATTTAACTTACATATTAATCGTAGAAATGGCAAGCAATATGAACTTTCCTACAGTATCATTTATTATATAATATTAAATAATATTAACATTAAGAAATTGAATTCAGAATCTTTTTTACATAAATTAAAAAGTCTTTAAATTTTTACAAGTTATTCATAAACTTTACTTATAAAAAATATAAAGATAAATATAAAAAAATTCTGTAATTGTATTTTATTTAATTTATCATATGTTTATAATGCAAAAATATAATATAAATTTCAATACTGTATTAAAAATTTCAGTGAAACCAGGAGATAACATAAAGGACACTTCATTTTCTGAATTACTGAAAGCTTTACCTGAACTTTTTGAAAAGAAAAATTTATCTAGTCTTTTTGAAAAGAAAACGGGCGATACAACTGAAAAAGAGGAGGTAGGATGCAACAATAAAATTATTTTATTGCATCATTCCTCCTAATCTTTTAATCACGTTAATATAGTTTGCCATTATGATATATTATAAAAATTTTAGATAAGTATAATATTCAAACTCTTTAAAGAGATAAGTATAATTTAGATAAATATAGTCTTTAAAATTTGAAAATTTGCATATTATAAAAATGTAAAATATATTATTTAAAATGTATAATTTCATAAAATAATTTTAAAATTGATTTCTTATAAAAATTTTGTCATAGTTTTTGGAAGATTTCAAGAAAGCAATTTATCTGACACTCATTACGTCTCATTTCTTCACAAAGAAGATTCAAAATCTCTTGAATCAGTAACAATGAAAGAAACTTCTCCCATACAAAATTTAAAAAAGTCAAAATCTCTTAAGTAGATGTATAAGTACATAGGTATCCTTCCTATTCTCCATACTTACTATTATTATCATCATTATTATTATTATTCCTTTATCTAATTTAGATTTATTTTTAACATAATCATTGAATATCAATAATTTATACTTAATCATTATGTAAAGATTTAATTATTATTATTTTTTCCTATTTTAGATAAATACGAAGGAATCGAAGAAGAAAGAATAACGAATCAATAAAACAATATTAATTAATAATTATTTCCTAATTCAATGTAGTATAAAAATTATGTAAAGTTTTAAAATCTGTAAATAAAACTCTAAATTTATTATTAAATACAAAACTGAAATGAAAGATTTTATTTTGTTTATTATTGTAAAGTTACATAGACCAAAAAATAATAAATATTGAGACATATAAAAGTACTTAGACAACTTTTTTGTTTTAAATATCAAGGTAACAAAAAAATTAAATATTTTTAAAAGCTAATGTATGGAACAACCATAACCTATTCAATTACAACACATTTTTGTTGATCTCTAAATACAGAAGAAAATATCTTGTATACCATATACATATATTGCGAATCCCATTGCATGTATGTATTGAAAATTTATTTTATGGAACATAATTTATAGAAATTATAAATAACAGAATAATTGAGGCATCTTAAATATATCGAGTCGCTATCATTGAATACATTATTATTTTGTCTTTTACTGCAACATCAATTTTTTATATATATATATATATATATATATACATAAATGTAAGAGGTAGTCAGTATATCAATTTTTATAAAAATTTTTTAAAAATATTTTGTTGTAATAATTATAACATTCAATTAACCCGGGATTACCCACCTGGGGGTCTAGGGGCCGGGACGTACCTGCACTAGACCCCCACGTGGGTAATCCCGGGTTAACAATGTCTATATATATCTTATACGTTGCTTAACCTATAAGAAGAAACGTTTTAGAAACGTTACTGCAGTGTAATAGATAATATGTAGTCAAAGTGTTGTAGTATGAAATATTATTAATTATATTCATATTGTAATTTACAATTCTTTTCAACTAAAAATAAATAATTAAGTACTTTGTTATGTAAAATATATTTTATTTTAGGAAAGGGTGATAGACACATATTAATCACGTGTTACACAGAAGTTTACATTCATAACAGGCAGAGATTATTATATCACACATACTTGCATTTAAATATCTATCTCACAAAATCAACAATTTATTTAAAAAAAAATAAAAATGAGTGCTAACAAGACAAAATTATCAAAAAGTATCTTAGAAATGAAAGTAAGTTAAAAAGAACATTATATAAAATTCTGCAAGAAACTTTATTTTATTAAATATTATTTATTTATTAGTTTATGAAACGGACGAAAGAGAAAGTAGAAAAACAACAATTTCAAGAAGAAGGTGAAGAATATTTTGGAAATGAATTGACAGAACGTATGAAGAAAGATTCGTAAGTTTCTCTCAATTTTTAAATCAATGTGTTAACAAATTTAAAGTTAACATATCAGAATCAGATTTTAAATTACATATTAAGTATTTGAATAATTATTAATATTTATTATTAATAATAATAATAAAAATGATAATAATAATTAAATATTTTAATAATTTAATGTTATCAATAAATGTGTCAAATAAATCTATTTATATCATTATTATAATATTTTTTGTTTAAGGGAAAGATTTATTATTGAACCTAGTTACATCTTCTGTGAGAAGTTAATCGATGGTAGAGTAAGTTTTCAAGGAATGAATCCTGAAATAGAAAGGTTAATGGAAGAAGAACAGAAAAATGAATGTGTAAAAGTAAAAGAAAAGGAAGAAACAGATATTTCAGATGAGCAAATGGCACAAAATTGGAAAAATTATAGGAAAATGACAAAGACTGAACGTAAATATGAGAAGTCATTAGAAAGACAAAATAACGATATTGAACCATTATCAAAAAAACCAAAATTTTTAAAACCACAATATTAATATTTAGTAGGAATCATTTACATGTATACATAATTAAGTTTAAAGGAAACTTATGTAAATATTATTTGTTTAATTGAATGATATAGTAGTTTCAAAGATAATTATATAATTATGTGTAAAAATGTAAAAAGTTTATACATTCATATTTGAAATAAAAGATAAAGATATTATAACAGATATTAAAATAATTATTATTTAAATGTAATTTAACTAAATATGCATGTAATATTAATTTGTTTTTAAAATACATTGTAATCTTGTATAAAATAATTGTTTTATGAAATTTTAATAACTTATAAATTCCCATTATCTTTCTCTTCAATTAAATCATCATATTGATCAAGCAAATTCCCAAAAATTTCTACTGATACGTTGTTGCTTTTTTTTAATGCTTCTTTCCAAAGAAAATCAAAGCTGTTATTGGAGAATTGGATTCCAATAGCTTTGAAAATATCTTTTATTTCTTGCTTAGTTCGAAGCTAATATTTGGGGTTTTATTAATATATTTATATCTATATTTATATCTATATAATTAAAATTTTCAAATATAATGTGAATACTTTAGAGAGATCTGTTGGGCTAAGACCATGTTTTGTAAAAATATTTGGAAGTATAAGACTATAAGCAGTAGATCTGTCCAAATTTTCATAAGAAATTCCTGCTGTTGGAATATCTGTAAAAGTAATGAAATTTTACATTTAATGTGAAATATTTAGTATTATTTTACCTATATTTTAAATATATTTCTTTAAACTTAAAAAATTAATATAACAATTTATTTAAAAAAATAAAAATAAAGATACGTCTTTTTCAAAAATATTTTTATTATTCAGAACAAAATTTTATCTAATTTAATAATTTAATTTATAAATAATTAATAATTTACTTATAATAATATATTTATAGTAGAATATGTATTCTTTGAAACAAACTCTAATTAATTATTAAAAACATGTACAATAGGATCTTTATATCTATAAATTCAATATCCATGATTTAAAAATGAAAAACAAACATATAACATTGTTGATAATTAAATGGTATATGTAAAAAATATATTAACCTGTAACATCTATTCTTTCTATATTTCCTATTGTAGTATTGTATGTAGTATTGTAAGATTGACATTCTAAAGGAATCTCTGAAAAAACACCATCAAACACTAATGATAAGTTAGTACAAATACTAAAAAAAATATTCTATAATATATGTTTAGCATATTATCTATATATATTTATATATATTATCCAAAAATTTATAAAAACAAATAAAAGATTTAAAAATTTTGAAAGATATATTATAAGATATATATTACTTTCTATTTTTGGTAAGATAGGAAAATCATATTTCCAGTTTAAAAGATTTAGTAACTCTTCGTATTTTATATCATTCTTTTTACGTATTTGAAGAAGATCTAACAGAGGTATTAAGCATGTTTTATTTATATGAATTTTATGGCTAGCTAAAATGGAAAAAACTTTATCTTCTAGTAAAATGCCTGTAAAATCCTACGATCATAAAATCACTTAATAGAATTTAAGAGTTTGAATTCAAGGTTTATACAAATAATAAAATAAAATAAAAGTAATGTAATACTTTATCAAGGCATAATAAATCTTCATAAATATCGAAAAATGATATTTCTGAAATATATTTCTTCAATTTTTGACGTAAACTATTTATATATTGTAAATAACTTTGTTGTACTACCACTTCATTATTTATAGGACAGTCACTTAAAATGTTCAATATTTCAGATCTTTTCTTCCTTTCATATACATTATTATTATGTATCATGTCTATTAAATCTCTAAAAAATTCAAATTAGATTAATTAGATTAAAAAATATATTTTTAAAAATATGACAAACGAAATTTAATAAAAATATTTTTCCTCTTCGAAAAAGGAATTATTATCCACTTTCTTTCCAAATTAATATACATAATACTTTTCACATTTAATTTTATAATTTATGTTATTTTCAATATAAATAAAAATTTCACTTTTTCAATTTTTTCTTAAATATAATTTTTCAGCAATAATATAATTAATAGTTTTAATATAACTAATTAATAGTTTTTATTACTTTGCTTCAATACTAGAATGTGAATGATCAGAATCTGTACTAATCCATGTTAGAAGATTTTTTAATCGTTCACCTTTGGTATTAGCGTTCAATAATTTTCCAAAACGTGAATTTTCATCAAATGGTTTATTATAACTGAAAATATAGTTTAAAGTTTTGTAATATATAAATTAGTGATTACTAATTAATATATTTTACTACTTCATACTGTCTTTTAATTTGTTCCGCAGGTAAATAACTGTTATGACTTTTTTTATACATTTCCAAAATATTTTGTTTTGAAATATCATTTTCTGTTATTTTTTCTTTAAGAAGTTCAGCCATAGTTTCTCCTAATTAGTAAATAATATTTTATACATTTCATTCAATTATAAAATCCAATAAATAATTAAAAATATATTATTTTTTATTATATGTAAATAAATAGTTGACAGCTCATACCAGACTTAAGTTTTTTTCCAAAAGTTACTTCTAGTGGATTCATACCCACTGGTAGATTTGGAATCTGATAACGACTTTTACCAACTTCTTTGTTCCAATAACTATTCATAACAGTATTTCTTAATTCAGAAATGATTGTTTGAAATGATGTTTCTTCATATGGTTGTAAACATTCTTTTACCTTAAGTAAATTGCAAACTCTTTTAAATTTTACTTTTATATCTATTACATAAAATACTTTTATTGTTATTATTATTAATCAAATCATAAAAAGAAGTTACAAATATTAAAAACATATTCTGAAAGTTATAATAAAAAAGATTTTGTCATTATAAATTTCAATCTTACACCAATTATTTGCTTAACTTTATGTATATTATCTGTGTGTGATAGTAATTTTTGTGTATGTTTTTCATTATGAATAAGTATATTTTTTAAAGCTTCAACTTTATCTCCTGAAGAATATTCTCTAAAACAATTTTTAATGTTAGATGTTGATTTATTTCTCTGTAAATAATAAATTAAGAAATCATTAAAATTAAATTATTACAAATTAGTAATATGAATATATATATAATAAAACACTTTTTCATTTTATTTTTAGAATAACATATTCTGCTTTTCAAATTTACAAGAGGGTGCAAAATATAATCATATGATTTGAAAATTCTTTAAAATTTTAAATATATATATTTTATTAATCTTACATTTTATTATTACAATTTTTTTTATTTATATATATCGAATAAAATATTTACGTAATTGAGTAAAAAAGTAATAATGATTAAATAATGTAATAATCTTACGAAGTTTTCGTTGTATGAATTTTCATCTTCATAAACTAAAACCAAAAGTTTATTTCCCGAATTTAAATTGCATTTCTCCATTTCGGAATAAAATATTAAATAAACAAAAAAAGCTTGAAGTATAGTATCATCACTTGAAGTAATTAGCAATTAAAGTGTCGTATTTTCCATATAAAAACAAAAGAAATATGGTAGACAAGTAATACTCTACATTATTCTGATATTTTGTTTTAATATTTTTTAATAATTTAATGTTAATAATTTTTCGTAAAATGTTTTACGAGAAATGTAAAATGAATTTAAATTTCACGATCGATTACAATTGATTTTTGATGGACTTAACATTAAGTTGATGTCGTATATTGCGATTGTGTGGTGTGTACATATCTACTGTACATTTATATTATTGTAGCAACTGCAGAGAAATTATTATAATATATAATACAAGTGACATATGTAATAATAATGACAGCAATTAAGCAAAATACGAAACGTTCCAAATGGGCTTTGGATTTCGCTCACAAGTTCGTAATTTTTCAAGTTTATACTTTCAATGTACACTGTAGTTTCTTTTAATACATTGGCTTATTTAAATCCTTCTAAAATTTGGTTATATTTATGTATCATATAATTGCATACATTCTAAAGTGTAAAGAATAAATATGTTAATAAAAGTTGTTATATTTTTAAATTTTACATAATTAATTGATTTAAAAATGTAGAGGTTATGATACAGTATTTTATTTACTATATTCTATCATTTTATTCTCTTAGTAAATAATTCAAGTTTTTAAAATATTTATTATTTTAATTTATTATTGTTATTATTACTAAGTTTTAGAATATTAATTTAAAAGAATATTGGAAATGTGACAATAATAATTTTCTTTTTATACATGAATTATCTATTTTGTATTAATATAGATATCAATTTTGTGTCTTTTAGAGAATTAAAATTTTTGAACAAAATAATATAATTTAGAATATATTTCTTTGTAGAAATAAGCAAGAAAAGAATGTGGATATTGCTTCACCACCAGGTTATACACCTGCTATTGCTTTATTTCATGCTGTCGATTCAATTAGGGAATCAGATTCCAATCATTTGATAATTAAGAAATCATGGGATTTAGCCCTAGGTCCTCTTAAACAAGTTCCAATGAATTTATTTATAATGTACATGGCTGGTAATTCTATATCAATATTTCCTATTATGATGGTTGGTATGTTGATAATTAGACCAGTGAAAGCATTATTTACCCTTCAGCAAAGTAAGTATATCAAATTATGTTTATACATATGTAAATAAAGATATATTTTATAATAATTTTATAATAAAAATTATCTTCCATATTGAAACGTATTTAAATATATAATATAGACTATATCTATATTATTTAAGTATATAATATAGACTATCTCCACTAAAGATTTTGAAAAGAATTAACAAAAAGTGCCTAAGCAAAAATATCTATATAGAACCAAGATATTTTGTAGATATATATAAAAATAAGGAACAGAAGGATAAAATAGATTAAAATAAAGAGTAAACGATATAAAATAAATTTAAATAAATTGTCGCAATCTGTCATATACTAATATTAAAACAATTTTTGTCTTTTAGCATTCAAAGTAATAGAAGGAACTCATGCCTTTGGACAGAAGTTTGTATACTTTTTGGGACAATTGGTAAATATTGCATTAGCATTATATAAATGTCAATCAATGGGATTACTCCCAACACATGCATCTGATTGGTTAGCGTTTGTAGAACCACAAGCACGGTTAGAATATTCTAGTGGTGGATTTATATATGTATGACATACAATATAATTACTTAAAAATATAATATGTATATTTAATAAAAATATTCATTGTAAGTTTAGATACATCTTACTTTATGTATAAATTATAAATACATCCACTTACAACAAATTATAAATACATTCACTTACTATGCAAAATGTTTTATTAAAATCAAACCAAAATATTGTATTACATGTTTATATACACATATGTACAACAAACTGCATTGAAATATGTTTTTTAAATATAATGATATTAAATAAATCATTATTAATTATTTCTTTTTGTATTCATCTGCAATTTCCTTTATACGTTCTATTATTTTACTAGGATCATCTACACGAGGTATCTGAAATTGACATTTATATTTATTGAATGTCACTCTTATATATATATATAGCTAAAAAGTCATATTAAATTTAAAGAAATTTTGCAACATACCTCGTAGTTTTGACTTATATATATACCAGTATAAATTCCAATGCCTAAGGTTATCTAAAAAAAATATTATCGTACATATATTTTTATCTGACAACAATACAAAACATATAAGAGATATTTAAATATACCAAAAATCTAAACATTTTTAATTGATTATTAAATACAGTATTAATGTACAAATAGTATCCGTTTCGCTTTTTAGCCAACTTCTAAAATCTAAATAGATTTCGTATAAAGATGAGATCCTTTTTCTTATTCTTAATGATATTTTCGGCAAATGTATAATTTACGCAGACTCATCCATTTATGATAAATCTTTTATATTTTGATGGCGTTTATAATGCCTATTATACATAAAGGTTATTTACAAAAATTAAAAGTTTATATTATACAAGTCATTAATTTTTATAAAATCTTTGATTAAGTTTTTTTAAAGTTCTTTATTTAAATTCAGTTTTGTTATTATGTCGTTAAATATAATATTGTAAAAACGACACTTTCACCACAAACTTGTATTGTAGGATGTGTTACTCTATGTATATACTTCCTTTTTGATCGATACCGCAAAATGCGGGAATATTTGAATTACCATATTATAAATAATTTTTATTTTAGAAATATTAATGTTTTAATTGTTCTGAGAGCTATATTTAATATAGCTATATTATAAGTGTTTAGGTAATTTATATGAATGATAACAAATGTTCATTTATACTATTATAAATTATAAATTCATAGTATTTATTTAATTCATATATACTATTATACTATTATAAATTCATAGTATTTATTTAATTTATTATTTTATATGAAGGTTTGTAATTATATATATAAAAAAAATTCATTTCACTTTTCAGTTATGTTACCGATATTTTTATAGTTGAAATATAAGCAATTTCTTTAAATGTTAAAAATTCAAAAGTATTAAAAATATTTTAAAAATATTAGAAATATCATATTGACTTAAAAATTCTGTACTTTAATTATAAATACATTATATTAATAAAAAATAGTTATTTCAGGTAATTCATAATTTAAATACGCATAATTACATGTTAAATATTCTTATATTATTTTAAAATTGTTATAAATCTATTGAAATGTTACACGTAGCTTGCAAATACTACAACACGAATGTAGAATATTTTTATTTCATTCATAACGTGCCATTAACACTTACAATTAGGCAAGAGCACATTAATGTAGCGGAAATAATTGCAAGAGAAAGCAGGACAGATCTAAGATTTTAAATATAATATGTATACGTATATATACACATGTATTTTATATGAATCCAGCTAAACATTTAGATCATTTAATAGGTCATTAATGATATATTTTTAATTTTAATTAATATAGTAGTAACAATTCATTAATTTAATGTTGGCAAAAGTGTTTTATATAATAGATATAAAGTTGTGAATTTTATTTGAGTTATTCTTATGTTCACAAAGTAATTATTAGAATTTAAAGTTCGGTTGAAAATTTGTTGTATAAATATTGTATTAAAACTTTAATTTTCTAGTTGACTAATTATCTGAAGTTCATTCATGTTTTTAAAACATTGTTTTATACATCGAACATTTTCCATTTTTTGCCTTTTACAATGAGTCATTTAAATTACTTCTTCAAATTGCTCGGAATACCGAATGAGATGAATGCAATTTAGAGCATTTTAGAATGTGATTGATGTGTTTGTTTTATAGTTAAGGCTTAAGACTCAGAATTTTTATTTATCTAAGATAATTATTCTTATACTCATACCTGATTCTCAGACAAGAGAAAATAATTTTATTACATACTTGGTAAGTTGAAATTCCGCTACTTCAAACTATCTGCGTCGTAACAAAGTAATTGTCTCAATATCATTTTTCAATTAGACCAAAAATATAGTAAAAATCCTCCTTTATTCGAACCTTTATTTTTCAAATATCTTAACATCCATATGGTAATATTAGTGCAACAAAATTTATGCTAGTAAATGATGATTTTTCAATTATTAGTAGACATCCTGTTCTGATAATACAACTTGACTTATTATTGAGAATTTGAAATGTAAAAATTTATTTGTTTCCATTCCAAGTAATTTTCTATTTGTCTTAAACAAACTAATACTCCAAATATGCTGCACTTCTTCTATCCTTTAAGGGTATAAATAAAGTTTAAGACAAGTAAAACGTGCCTTTCTGCACCGGTATCTCTACGACCAGTTGTGAAACTATGGAGGGAGATCGGCTTGCATGATCGGTCTAGCAAACTCACCGCCGCACCGGTAGGTATTTCGCTTTAGTACGCGACCAAACTAACATCATTTTGTAATCCAGTGTACACACGTGAATATTTCTTTTCAAGTAATACTTGGCTAACTGATGTCTATTACATTTGACTATGCGGTGTTAAACGGTTCTGTTACGATCCTTCGATTTGCCCGCGACTGTACGAATTCTCAGCCTGAAACAACTTCGAGACTTTCTTGTTACGCGACACGCTAGAGAAAAGCGTAATTCCTTCCTACTTGAATACATTCCGTAATACATTCGGCACACAAACTATTAACTTTAATACGTATATGTCTGTCAATTTCATACGGCAGTATATTTTCTGCAAACGGTCCGTGCGTACCCGCGAGCTGAAGTGAAATTTTTTGTGATCATTGAAAACTTGAAACGTATTTGTCACATCGATTTATTTCGGGTCAATCGCGAAAACATTGTCGTCGCATGTGTTCGTTTCAGTCAATGGTTGATGTTACGATCATTGACAAGCGAGGATAAGTTTAAACATGTCAGCTACTATTTCGAAAATACCAACTGCCAATGTTGGGAATGGGACCAATGTAATTTGCGATAAGAATCGTGTAAGTACTGTAACGTTGATGTAGAGCGCCATTTGTTTGGTCTGACAGTAATTAAATGTTTGAATAACGTAACATCCAATCATAAAAAAGAGACTATTAAATTAAAATTGCTATGTGAAATTTATTGCTACGTGAAATAAATAAGTAGATAACATTAATATCACAGAAACACAAAATATAACATTATATTTTAATTTTTCTTTCATAGATAAAATAGTGTGACAATAATTAAATGTTAACATCACTTATTGGTATTTGGCATTATTGATGTAACAATAAATGTCAAATTTAATATAAATCTTTTCATTTAATAGTCTCTTTTCTATTTAATATTTCAAATCAATAATTAATTGTTAGAATTTGTTAATTACTTAATGAATTATTTTATTATGAATTTCTTCAATGAAAATTTAATATGTTAAATTAATGAATTAATGATAGTGAATCATATTTAAATGATTTCCCATAAAAATTATATACGTAATATTAATGTAAAAATTTATACAAAAGTATTAACACAAATATGTGCAATTAATCTAATGCTAAATATATTATAGAACGCAACATTTATTGAATGTACATTTCTTGCATGCTAGATACAATACGCAAGAATTAACATATCAATTTCATAAGATGTAACATACTGATTAATAACATAATTAAATTATTCCACATTGCTTCTCGTATTGAAGATACTTTTTTAAAAATAATCATTTTAAATTGCCGATTCTTAAAAATTATTTATACATTCTTCTTTATTTATACAATCTTCTTTCGATGGAAGTCAGAAATTTAATGAAGTGAATTGAGCAATGTATATTAACGTGTCATTTCCGCCGTTTCATTGTAAATTATGCTTTCTTGAATAATAAATTTCCGCGGTAAGAGAATGATAGCCAGATTGTTTTCCCCACTTTCTTACAAACCTTGATTTTTTTTTAGTTCGATGGCGACAATATTCCCAGACGTTTTTATTTTACAAGAAGAGAAAGTTGTTTTTACGAGATAGCAATTTATTTTACGCTAAAATTAAATGAAATTTTAAAATAATTTATTTTTTCTTTCTTTCTAAAATAAGAAGAGTTTATGTTTCCTTATTATTAAAGAATATGCTGCAATAATAAAATTTAAATTTTTCAGTTTATTAAAATGAATAAACAATAAATAAAAATTTATTTTATTTAATTAAGGATTCATCTGAACATACTAAACAAATATGTTTTAATATTTTGCATTTTAACAAGAACATGCTATTGATAATACTAAGATAGTTGTTAAGATAAATATTACTAATAAGATAATTATGGTTAATAAGTAAATACTTTTCTTAATTAGATATATTAATCTTTTGTAACTTAAAATACGATTATTTGCCATAAATATTTCTTCCTTAAACCATACGTAAAATGTACGTATTTTATATAATAGAATAATTTTATACACTCATAAATAAGTTTTATTATCTTATAATATCTTTTAAAAAGAATCATGTCCACATTTATCTCATTAAGGATCAAACAGTGAAATAATTCATAGAAGTTGCCTAAACGCAATATCATTCGATGACGTAAATAAAATAATTTATTTTTTTTAGGTAAAAGTAAGAAGAATGTATCAAAATTATATACTTTTGCTCAATATACAAATCAAAAATGTAAAGAAATATAAAAAAAAGATTCTATAATTTCTATGATAGCACTGTAAATTCGTGTGCTTCAATTTCTTGAAATATTATAAAAATATAGAAGAAGAACGGAGAAAGAAATAATTTTATATTTGTATAAATTAGTTGTTTCAAGAAAATGGAAGACGTAAGATATTTTCAACTTAACTAAATTATAAAATATAGAGTATCCTTAAATAAAAAAATCAAAATTTCAAAATGCAAGGATTCAAAAAAGCTATAAAATTGAAATTCAAGAAATATGAAAGTCTAACGTAAAGTAGGAAATGATTGTGTTAGAATACCTTACTCCTATATGATTACATCGGACCCAATAGAAAGTGTGCAACAGCGCGTGCTTGATAGGCTTCAATATTGAACTAATACTAATGGCTATTTAATAGTTTTTTTTAGCTATTAGTTAATAATCGTGATCCATATACTTATCTGAAACAAAATCATCGAAACGATGTTATTTAAGGTTCAATGAAATATGTAATGTTATTTATAATTATATTATTATATATATCAATTAATTAATTATAATAATTATATTATTTTCTATAAAATATTAAATATTACCTATAATATATATAGGAATTCCTGTATATATAGGAAGAGATAACAGCTATGAGTTTTCTATTTTCGTACTTTAATGATTAACAACTATCTACAAAATAATTGTGGAAAATATACGTATATTTCTTAAATTTTTATTTAATGATTTTTAATTAATAATAATTGTTTCTGATAACTATTTGTTGGAATAAAAACAAAAGATAAGTTTAAATATAACATTTGACATTCTTTTTTTATGCAAATAAATAGGATTTTATGTTCCTTTTACTATTACTATTAAACTTTAGAAGGTTCTTCAGAACTATAATCTTTATTTAAACATTTTTTGTAAATATTCTATAAATATTTAATGTTAAAAACAGTATAACCTTCATATGTAACGGTATGTATTTCTTTGTGGCAACTGGGGCATATTAACTGGTTTTACTGTAGTTTCTTTTTCTTATGAATCTTCTTGGTGACCGCAATTTTATTGGCATTTTGACGAATACAGATACATTCTCAAGAAAGAGAATCTTAATTAAATGTATGTTTAATTTTAAATTTTTAATTCGATGTTCTATATTAAAATTATGTACATATGAAAAAGATTGTTTTAATAATTTTTACGAAAAATTTTTGTATGTTGTATAAAATTCATTCATTTGCAATCATTAATTCAACATAAATTTTGTCTTTGTTTTTTTAAATAATTGGATCTTACAGTTACTTATTGTAGAATTTAATTTAATATTTTGCACAATTTTAAAACATTAACATCAGGTTTTAATTATTATTTTATTCAATATACGATGTAAAATTATAATCTTATTAATATCAATGTTCGAAGTAGACATGTTGTTTAAATTAAAATATTTAAGCGAGTAAAGTCATAACATATTCAGGCAATAAACGTAAATCAATATTTAACTTATAACAAGTGGTATTTTATACACATATACTACTGGGTGACGATAATGTCATTACTGCGATAAATTTAAATCAGAGAAAAGTGAAAAATACTAAAAATATTTCAGAAGTGCGTGACATGTCCATTTAATTTAGAAACAGATGTAAGAGACAAAAATTGCTATGAAAACAATTTTATTTATCTTGAATGTATTATAATCAGTAAAAAGTATTAAATATAAATATAGTTATACAAATTATATGATTATATTTTATTTAATTTATTTATATATAATTTGAAATTTATCACTAATTTATCGATACTCGATAATGTTGATGTCTATCATTATTGACTAAAGATAAAATAGAGTGGACCACACAAGAGATTTATGGACATTAAATACTGGTTTTTTAACGCACTCTACGCTTAAATAACGGTTAATTGAAAAACTATATCAAGTAAAACGATACTAGTTGGTTAAGTAAAATGAAACTCGTTACAATGTTGGCAATTTGTATATCTCCAAATTTCGAAATATGAAATTAATATTTAAAAGCAGAGCAGTATGAAATAAAACAAAGTAGGATAAAGTAGAATAAATTAGAACAAAGTAGAACAAAAAAAAATGAAGTAAAATACAAAAACAAATAAGAATGATTATTAATTTTCTGTTTACAATCGATGTATTTATATATATTTTTTCTGTTATTATTTGATTAAAATAAATTCTTTCTAAATAATAATTATAATAGTATAATGAACTTCGTCAATAGTATAAATATCTTTTTACATTAACAACAAAATATGTCTAAATGCGATTATCTATACTTTTATAGATATACTTTTATATGTATATGACACTTTAGAATTATGCGTATTAATAAGAAGTGTAAAATTTGATAGACGAAAATACAAATACAAAAAAAGAATCTAATAAATAAGAAATTAATAAAATATAATATAAATCGAATAAAATATAAGTTCTCTTGAACTTTATTTTAAGAGTAAAATAAAAAATGAATTTATGTATTACTTACACATGTATGTATATACATATTATTTAAAGATTTTTATACATCACCTGAAAGCAAAGTGAAGAAAATACAAAAATATTTAAAATTCTTTTTTGGAGACCAATTTCCGGTTTAAGAATATGTCCGTTGTGTAATATTATGAAGCTTCTATATTTTACCACATGGTAGCAGTAATGTACAGTTATTGATTAAGTTTCGCTACCGAAGCGGATTGTGAAGTGCTGCTAGGTTCTTCCTTATTTTTTTAAATTTTCACTTTTAAATAAGCATTTTAATAAGTAATTTTTGTATACGATATACAGTTTCGAAGACTGAGAAAGTATATCTAATATACGTATGTCTAGTATATACATTATCAACTACGCGGTTAAAAAGAATTTTACAAAAATGTGTTCTAGTTTCGTATCAAGCTGTTAACCAGAGGCATAAATATCTTTTTAGGGTGAGTAAATATTTTGCTAACGCTACGACTTAAACTTTACTTTCCAAATAATAATACAAAAATTATTGTAAGTTATTTATTTTAGAGATAATGTTTTATTGTTTTTAAATGATATTTTAAAGATAAAATAATCTTAAGATAAAATAATGTTTAAATGTAACCATAAACATATTTAAAAAATTAAAATTAATTACCAAATTAATTACCAAATATTTATGTATATGAAAACAGAATATAATTTTTAAAGAGTTTTAAAGAGTTATATATTCCTAACTAATAAGATATATTCCTAATATTTAAAAAACAGAAATTTTATTACATAAGGATGTTATCACAATTATTATGTTATATTTTACAATACTATAATATACAAATTACATAAAAAAAAGAAGATAGTTAAATTGACAAGCTTCGGATTAATAAAAGAAAATCAAATTATTCCTTTCTTTTCAATTGATTGTTTTCAGTCACATCAAATAGAATAGATCATTAGTTACCCATTATGAATCGAAATTATAAATTAAATTTTGTAATTTTTACAGAATATTTAAGTTCTTTAATAAATAATAAATTATAATTTGTTTAAGTTTTTAAGAAGTCATTGTATTATACACGCATATATAAATACCATGTAAATTGATAAAAAAAGAAAGATAGTAAAGATGTAAACAGACATGATTTCCAAATATAACATTAATATCATTATTAATAACAAATGATATTAAATATGTCTAGAAATAGATACAAAAAATTACATATGTATCTTTATCGACTAAATCGTGAAAAAATTAAGTTAAAAATATATTAAAACAGAATAGAGCGATTTGTAGAGATTTCATAGTTACAAATTATAAAATATTAATCTTTACCCCTCCAAAAAACGATTAACAATAAAGCAATAGAAAAAACCATATAGAATATCGCTTTGATTATGTTTAATCTTTTCGAATTCGTGAAATTGGTTGACTAACCTAACCTATATAGACAAAATACATAACCAACAAACCGGCGACGTAGCTGGTAGCATCATGTACATATGTATATATATATTTATGTTATGTGTAAAGACAATATATATAACCAAAAAAAAATACCGGCTCTTTTGGATAGTTAGTTTTAGTTAGATATTCGTTTCGAAAAAGTTAAATAATGATATATATTTATACAACCTAAATGTTTTATCTCTGTGTTGAAATAGATATTTAAATTTTTTCACGCAGAATTCGCTGAAATATTCTATTTCTAATCTTTTGAGTTATCATTTGTTTTTTTTTTACGTATTATTTACGAACTATTTTCAAACTTATAATTATAACGCAAGAAATGAAAGATGTGTTTTATCTTCTTGATCAGAATCAACATTTAATTGAACAATTATTTTCATTAATAACTTTTGATCTATAATTTTTTCTGCTTACGTAAAAGACTGAAAAAAATTATGCGGAAGTATTATATGACGTTATATTGTGTAGGATGATTCCTATTTAAAACGTACATTTCCATTTATGTCATAATATTGAGAATGAGTGTTTTAACATGTGCAAATAAATTTATAGTAATATTTTAGACTTTCAGAACATTTATGCTTTAACTTTATTTAAAATCAATGTACATTTCTTATTGAGAAATTGCATGATATAACTCTTAAAATTTTACATCTTTCTTAAGAAATTAAAATTTCTAATTATTTGCCGTAATAAGCAATTAAAAATTATAAATAATATTTTTTTGTAAATATTATTATCAATCTTTTTTAAATATAACTAATTAAATACATTTTGTAATATGCATTTTCTATATATTTGCAATAATTTGGAAGTGATCCTTATGGATCTATATATTATATATAGTATAATTATATAAAAATGCAAATAGCTTGTAAATATAAACTATATTTACTATTTTAAACTTTATTAAACTATGAAAAGAAAGAAATCGTTTTTAAAAATATTTTGTTACATGCAGAAATTCAAACCTTTATAATAAAAAATCTAAAAGATTGTAGTATAATTGCTCTGTATCTTAATGTTAGATGTTTTAGTTACTCCGAGAGAAACTGTAAGAGAAAGTAGAAAGTATAGACACGTTAATAGACATTTAAAACAAGAAAAAGAATAGAATATTTATTCTATTATTTTGATTTTAAATATTAAAATAATAAATTTTGTCTTGCATTTATTTAATTGAACTTTTATCTCGAAATTAAATTATTACATGTAATACTGTTATATATTAAATTTCTAATGCTAGTAATTTGAGATATAATTTATTTTATTTAATGTAAAATTTGTGAAATTTAAAAACATCAAAATTTTAATATAGTTATTATTAATATAATATACAATTATAATAATAAATATTTAATAATACCTATTGATATTTAATAATAATATTAATAATAATATTTAATAATATTTAATTAATATTTTTTGTAATATTATGCAATATATTTGTATGTACTCATTACAATTTCCACGTTAAAATTTGCAGTGTTATAGTAATGTTATTGTAATATTGTAAAAATTTGATAAATTTTCTAAAAGTTATAATAAAATTTGCGTAATTTATAAAATATTTATAAAATAAAATACAAATTTCTTACATCTTACAATTAGATTTTACGCTTCAAAAATTTTGCCAGTTTTTCGATTTACATTTGCTTTATCGTTAAGTTAATAATACAATATAGTTTGTTTACATTCGTTTACATACATAGAATGAGCATACACAAGCAATACGTACGTATATTCATTCTCTTGTTTTCCATTTCTCATATTACAGTGTTACTCCGGATAAATAGAGAACTTATTAAAATGATTTTATTAAATCTTTCAAATATTTATCTCTTTTCGCTTATATTTTCATTTTGTTAAATAATATATAAACTTGTATTATATTATTTTATAGTTCTTTTTGTACTGAACTTATTGAATTGATATTAATTGTAAAATTTTATAAGTTATTAGTACTGCACGTTTTTATGCATTTATGAAAGACTGAAAGTTATGAAAACGTACGAAACGTATATAGTATGCAAAAGAATGTATGAGTATTTAAAACAGTCTTTATTATAATATATAGATAAAACAAATTTCTATTTGGGTTTCCATTTCTTTAATTATATTTGTATTATAAAATTTAAAAATACATAAAAATCCGCAGTTTAGTTATTAATATTAATAAATTTTATTATGTAACATTCTACGTGCTTGGTAATAAAGTACATAGAATTCTAGAAAAGTAAATTTTCCAAATTACAAATGCTCTTTTATATTCGTCGGGTTCAAAGTATAAGTTTAAAATTGATTCAAGTGAGAAATAGTTCGTACGAGCAAACAGTTATACAACTGTTTTAATATACTTTTACACATATTTTATTGCTTATTATTATTACATCATTACATACATGATTTGCATATATAACGTAAAAAAATTATTTAGCTTTACATTAATCAATAATAGATATATAATAGATACTAACATAATATATAATAATATATGTTAATATATGTATAATATATATTTATTTTTATATTATATTATATAAATAATAACTTATGAATATGTATGTACATATATACACATGGAGTTAATTAATTGCCTTGTAATCAATTAAACATGTACATACATATAAATGTTTGTGATATTAAATTTTATACATTTATCAAATATTAAAATATTTTCATATTTTACTCATTGCAAGATAATTTTTATGTTGCTTGATAGGTTTCTTCATCAGTTTTTTTGGAGTTATTCAGAGCAGCCTGCAGTATAGTATTCGCAATACACTCGATACTCTAGAGTTACACGATACTAGCCAACATCTTCGTACACGTTCTTAAGTTCAACTACATCTATGAAAAATATAAATTCTTATTTTCGTAAACAGAGATAGTATCCGATTCATTAACTGAAATTTCGCAAAAAATCTTACTTTATTATTCTAGTAAACTCTTTGTGAAAATAAACTCAATATTAACTAACAGTAAAAAAGCGTCTTCCTCTTCTAATTTGTATGAAATAAAATTATATGCTGCAACTGAAAACAAATGAATATTTAAGCATTATACTGTTGTAAGTACTGTTGTAATTGTAGAATTAATTATTATTATGATGTGAAGTCCTATGAAATTAACACTTAACTCTTGGGAAAATTGATGAAAAATAGTCATCAGACCGATGCCAGGTCATTATGACCCGAAATTGAATATTCGTTATAGATAATTTAGATTTAGCTGTAATGCTTATAATAGCTAATAGTTAGAAACATGTTAGAGAGTATAAATGTATCGTAAATAAATGCATCGCAGAATATAAATATATCGTTTATAAAATATTTGTATATATTTTATTACGTATTGCATTGCATCATATAGAATATTTTATTTTATGATTTTTTTTACAAATAAATATTTACACATATATCTATTTCGCGTAACTCATTCAGGAATATTTGTTTTCTGTCGGTTGAGTTCTTTCCCTGTAATTTTAAGTTTGATCGGACGAAAATTAAATTTGTTACAATGAAACTCCATTTATATAAACTTACCAGGAGATAACTAGTAAATTAGTTAATAGAGTTCATATAATAAGACTGATTTCCAGTGTCAGGGTATCGGGTTTTTCCAATCATGTGTTAACAATTTTCATTTAAGTATGTAAATGGATTCAAGAAATGCGAATATTTGTTCAAATTTATGTCTTCGCATGTCTGAACACAATTCAAGAAATAGAATTTACAAGTGTTACAATTACTTTTCGTGTATATTGTTATATTTCATGTATGTTAAATTACACCATATTTATAATGACTAATTTAAATTCAAATAGTTCTCTTTCTTACGAAGAACTTTAAAAAACAAATCTCGCACGCAATTCTTTACAATTTACTTAAATGATACATTCTTCATATAATGTTCTTGTATAACCGTAAAGTAATTTTAATAATTTTACTTAACAAATCTTACATTTGACGTTTTATCCAGACTTAATTGTAATTATTATTTATATATTCGTGTATTTCATTTATTATTCATATCATCGTTCGAAGAAATACAAAAACTTTGTAAATAAATTCATCGATTTGAAATTGCAGCAAGTTTCTCCCCACGAAATTTAGCATTTCAAAATGAACTAAAATTATGAGAAAGTTAAAAGAAAAGATTTGATAATTATATTCGCATATAACGCGTGATGGAAATAAAATTTGAATCTCGTTTAAACAGACACTGGATTAATTTTTCGTATCTTACAAGTTAAAACAAAGACCAATCTTTTATTCTTTTCTAAAATAGTCAAAAACTACAAATTTGATGTGATCATTGTCTTAAGTTTTATTAGGATTTCTAATATCTTTTTATCAATCAAAGTTTCAAGAGTTTACTTATATGTTATACAAACAACAATCATTTCTACTACAGCAACAATATCGGCGGTGGTAATGAAACACCCAAAAATTATTATAGTTGTATTATATCACAGTTATTAATTGTTCTAATACTGTAGCAAACGACATACTTACACATGACTGTGTTTGTCACGCTTGTTGCAGGACGTAGAAAAAGGTGAGGTTTACTCCAACGTCGCGAACCTCTCGCCGTCGATCTGTTCGCGGCCGGCGTCCTCGTCGCGGACGTCGACGTCGGCCGAGAGCAGGGTCGAGCTCGAGGATAAACTAAGGAATAGCAGCAGCAGGTCAAATGTGTCGAGCGTCGCGGTGGAAGTGGAAATCGGAACGAACAATGAACCAATAGGTAGGTTGAGTGTAGTAGAGAATGGAATGGTGTCTCGACTGTGTACAGTCGGATGCATATCGTACATACGTGTGTATGTGTGTATGTTGTATGCAGGAGCGGGGACGGAGTCAACCACAACGACAACAACGCCAAAGACGAGGACGCGCACGGAAAGAGGAACGGAAAGAAGCGGAGCCAGCCGGTGGAAAGCAGTCGGTCGCTTGCTTCGCCGCTTGGCACTCATCATGTTTCTGATATCGAGTTTGGTCGCCTGTTTGGCTCTGCTTGCCATATATACAGGCTCCATTTTTCTCGTGCAGCTACTGGTCGTCGTTCTCGTCGCGTATTTAGTCTCCGGTGGACGTTTCCGATGGTTCTACGTCGCTCTGAGAACTGCGCCCAGAGACCTCGTGTGAGTACTCATTTCTCCGTATCCGGTTCATCATCGTCCTTTGACGGATTCATGCACGTTGACTCACGCACGTGAGTTTTGGATTTCGATTCGTTTTAAATCCAGTCGGTCAAACTGAGATCTAGGATCTAGGTCGGTCTTTAACTTTCCAACTTGGTTAGCCGAGTTTCTCTCTGCTTTTTTTCTCTCGTGTTTCGTCGATCGTGTATGTATGCATGCGAAGATCGCCCGTATCATCGCACGTATGTATTCAGGACGATCAAACACGTGGTTTTGTTTTGTTTTCCCCGAAATGAAAATTAATAATTCATATTTTCAAAGACGGGAATGAATTTTAGTAGATTGTCACATTAGATATATTGGAATGAGTTAATTGGAATGGGTTTACACCATAATGACAAGTTAATTGCTACATTATAGTAATAGGAAGTTGATTATTAGATTTTTATTAGATGTTATGTAACTTTGTCGTGATAATTAATATAAAATATTAGTTTCCTTATTCGAATGTGAAATCTTGACGTAGCGATAAATATAGCGAATAACTGTGCTTATCTTTAATAAACGTGCATTTGTCGTTTAAAAAATGTGAATGCATAATATGATTATGGATATTATATGATTATAATATAAAGATGAATATTTTATTTTATATTTTCTAATATCACTTAACAATTTAATATTTAAAAAGCCAGTCTCGGCATAAAGTTTCGGCACTTTCGTTTCAGAAATTCCATTTTACTCAAGAAAATAATATTCACAAAACGATAAATCTCAATGTGATAAGGTTTAATAAGGTTTGGTTTGAATAGAGGTTAGATTTCGGTTAGGTTGGGTCAAATAGAATTTGAGTTTGGGTTAGGCTAGGAATGCAGCCCTCTTAGATCAGACTTTAGAGTTTCTTAAATTCAAAATTAATATTTTTGATCTTTATTCAGCAGTTATTATTAGAAAATATAGGATAAGATCATTTTTCAACGGGGTTCTAAAATAAAATTTAATTCATAATATATTTCAGAAGTATTGTTTTTTTTTTTTTTTAATTGAAAAAAAGATGACTGAGGGAAAGAAAATTTCGAACCATAAATGAAACCTTTCAGGTTTCGTGTGACAAGCGACACGTGAAACGAATACTTCCGACCTTCGGGAGGTAATGTTTATATTACTCTCATAAAATAATTGTTCAATTTTCATCAATATGGTCTACTAGGGAAGTGAACTGCATGGTAATTGAAACCCATATCCCTCGCTCTGACAATTGTTTCAACAATAAATAATCATTTTATAATACTAATAAAAATAACAAGGTTGCGAAATCTGCCTGTCATTACTGAAATTTTTAGAACACTAACGATTTTGTCAGTCCTATTTCAGAATACTTCGATTGATCACACAATCACAAACAAATATCATACCACGTATTTTGAAATAATACTTAATGTTGCTAAAAAAAAAAGAAGCTTTATATATTTTTTTTTCGATATTTTACGAGAACGCGATACTTACGTTCCAATAATTTATAGAGCTGACGATAAACGTTTTACGTCAATCTACATTGTGAAAGAGCTACAAAGGAAATTGATTTTTAAAGCGGTGCATTTAGCTATTAGAACGGTTTGTCAATAATGACATTTAAATGGCGTATGTATTAAAATATTTAATTCAATTACGAGGTAATAGATGCACGTTCTGACACATGGACAATGAATCGGAGAATTTTTGTACGCTAATGATTGATAACGAAGAGAATGATTGTGTACAATTTTCGAAACTTGGAATTATGTTCTTGAGACATACATATGTATAGAAAAGTTCCACTCTTTTTATGAAACACATTTCCTGTTCCAATATCTTACAGAATAAGTGTGTATTTAAATAAGTATGTCTAGAACACAAGGATATATATGATTTAAATAAACAGATTTAAAAATAGAATAGAAGAAATAAGTAAACAAGGACAAGTTACAAAGAATTTGACTTTTTTATTTTTAATTTTATTTTAATATAAACGCTCAATTTAATTAAAACAATTAAATTATTTTAATTCAAATTAATTATTTTATTTTCTTAAAAATTCAAAGTTAGCATAATTCTATATCGAAATTTATATGTTTTAATTGGAACATGTAACAAATTATAACAAGTTACAAAATATAATGAAAACTAATACTGTTTTTTCAAGTTATAAACATATAACGATATGAATAAAAATGATTATATACTTTTTTGCAGGATATGCTAAAAAGTTTGGCAACTTTATGATTAAATTATTTATGCTTAAATTTTATTTAAAAAATACGTGATAACAATAAGATCATAGAATTGTAGTTAAATAAATTTAATTTCGAAAATTCCTTCATTTGCTTCGATAAGCCTTGAAACATCGTGGAACTTGATCTGTAGAGACACGATGTGTACTTCGATCAATTAAAAATTGCTGATTAAAAATTAGAGGTATTTGTATTGTATAAAATCTTTTCATTTTCTTATAAGATGATATTATTGACAATATTTACATTGTGCATCAAATTCTTCTTTGCCTTATCATGTTGTTACTTTTTATCACGATAATATGAAAGTTCCTTGATTTGATAAATTTCTAATGATAAAATACAATTGCAGGCATTCGATTTGTAAAATATTTTCTATATTTTCTTCTCCCCTAATTTTTTGAATTCTTTTCATTGTATGTATGTTCTTTTATGTTACATATATGATATGTATTATATGATATTGCATATTGAATCTAATTGAGATCAAAGTTGAAACGTATCTAAACGTATTTAAATAATTTCCCTTGAATTATTTATCAGTCTATTTAAATTCCAAGTCAAAAACACTAATAGTTTTAAAAATCATTAAATACAACAGACTAATAAAGCAGATTAAATTGGATAAATGTATTTAATATATTTAAACTTTAATATATACATAGATACATAGATTTTAATATATATAGATATATAGATACATAGATTTTGTTTTTAAATATATTTATATTAAAAAATTCTAAATTAAATAATAACTTCTGTTAAAGGTAGATTATTATATAGTATCAGTGATATTTCTAATAAATTGTTGATATTTTGAGATATTATGAGATTTTCTAAAAAATGAATTCTTGAAAGTATTTTCTTTTATAAATAATTATTCATCTCAAAACTTAAGTATATACATCTCGAAACTCAACAGTTAAAAAAATATAAAAATTGTTATTTGTATCAAGAGTTGATATAATTTATAAGAGTTATTAATTGTAGCCACGTTTGGCTTAATATATTTAAATGAAGTTTATTGATGGTAAAATCATGAATTTTTTATTTGAATGAAATAAAAGACATTGAAAATAAATGAATCGAACTGAAATTCGTTACAATAATATTTTATTATAATAATTCCATTATAATAATAGAGGCATTATAATAATATAATATATAATTAGAAATATTATAATAGTTCTTAGAAAAAAATTAATGTAAAATAAATTTTATAATTTAATTGAAATTTATTCATCAATTATCAGTTATCAATAATAATTATATATTCATCAACAACAATTATATATTTTATGTAAGACAATTATCTATTTTTCTAGGAAGATGCTACTAAGCAATCATTTCAATTCATTTAAATTTTGCTACGTCACATTTGAAAAAAAATGAGCATACATTATTCGTCTACGAACTTTAATTGATCTAATTGTATACATGCTAATGCAATATTTTAATTTTTAACAATTCTCGACTTCTGATTTAAAATATAAATTAAAAAATATAAATTCTCGATAATACTTCTATAAAAGAATATTGTACAGCACTATAGATATACTATATTCAAGTGTACAGTATGACATGCAAGATGCAATTGCATTAAATTATTATAAACATTAATATTAATAGAATCATTTTTACGAACTTCTCATGATAAGATCAAAATCGCAATCGTGTATTATCATCGATAAATAATTTCCGATTAGATCACCAAGGAAGACTGATTTTTCTCTAAAGAAAACATCACTGACAAGTTGGATCGTAATTTAAATGCAACAGATCTCAGCATGTGGTTTATATTTATTACGTAAATCAAGTATTATTTGTATACACTTGTAATAAGATTGATCGTACTTCTATTGGATCTCTTTCTGCGGTGACTTCTTGTTGGGAGTACATAGTTTATATTTTTAATTTTATTTGTTCTCGATATTTTCATCGAATTTTTGACAATACATTACCTACGCGTAAAATAAATTTATTTCACATATAAATAAAATTGTATTGATGGTCATTATCGGTAAGAAGATTTAATACAAAATAGTATTCTTAATATGATATGAAATATAATATACTTTTGGTACGATATAAAATCGTTGTTGGTAGTAAGAAATTAGCGTAATAAAAGCAATGTATGACATACTCTTTTCGTAAATAATTCATTTTTAGAAACATCACGTTGATAAATTATTCATTCTTGAAAATTCGAAATATCATGACTACCATTTATCATATGAACTTATTATGTTGCTCAAAGTCCACGTTTTGAAATGTCCATTGAATTATATAATATTCTGTATAGATATTTTATATATAAAACTTATATAAAATATCTATATCGAATCTATGTATAAAACTTATAAATATTATGTTCTATATATTTCTGTACAGGAATAACATACTTATTCAGTATAAATATAAATTTAGTACTAATTACAAACAATAAATATTAGCAAAAAATAACGAGAACTTTGTATTTTTTAAATAAAAAGTTTGATGATTTTTTAAAGCACAAAATGTTTATATCAACGTCGAAATTTTTTGGAAATTTTAAATTCGAAAAACCTGGTTTCCTGCTTTTCTCTCTGTTTTTTTTTTTTTTTTTAAATAAAACAAAACGAACTTTTACAGTTCAATTCTATGGCTCATGAAAGCCTTTATAAAAGAGAGTTCAACGACATGTGACATAACATCATTCAAGGTCATTCCAGATTAACCCTTCATTGACGAGCGACGAACTTACATATATGCATTGCATGCGGTTTGATTTCTTCATATATTGTCTTCATATTCCTATCCTGCTTCAAAAGTGAGATTCATTTTTCAAAATGTGAAAATCTTTAATTTTATTGGTTCAATTTATTAATAAATTATTATTTTATCCATTAAATCTGCCAATAAAAATTTTTATTTAGTATATAGCTTATGAAAAATTTTAAATAAAATATCTTTTCATAGTAATAACTCGATAAATTCGATTTTCAAATTATATTTTTAGCAAGAATGTAATATACACATGTTACATTATTATTTACATTTAAGAGTATTTTGTAAATAATTTATTTATTAATTTATTTACTTATCTATCTATGTACCTATATACCTATCTATCTATTTGTCTGCCAACTTTATTTTATTATATGTTATAATGTGATTATATGTTTATATTACTGATATATTGTTATTTATTATTAATATATTAATATATAATATTAGTATAATATTGTATTTTATGAATCGTATAATTACGATTTGCATGTGAACATTACTGATTACTAGGAAAATATCAGTCATTAAATGCATTAAATATTAATAACACATTATTATAATACATTTTTCGCTATAAATAGAGAAATAAATTTATAAAGATAAATCAGATTTTATACACCATTAAATAAAAACTATTAAGTAAATATTTAATGATATGCAAATAGAAATATAAAATTTTGTCGAATTAATACATTTTTTTAGAAACAACTACTACATTAAAAATATACTAAAATGTTTTGCTATTGTATTTATATTATTAATATTATATTATTATTAATATATTTGAAAACAATTCATTAAAGATGATATTTGTATTTAAAAAAAATTCTTTAAAATAATATTTAATACATATCTTTAATTTTTGTTCATATTTTATGTTCGAAATGAGATTTTATGCATCTACCAGATTTATTCTTCAGACGCTATTACTTAAGTCCTTAGTTATTGCTCGCACATGTACATTATGTATGTAATCGCATAGAATTTAGTGTTAATCAATGGTAAATAGTTCAAAATGACGTGCGTAGCATACAGATTTCTCTTGTTACTTTAACTGGTCTGTTGAACCAACTAACAGTAAGCGCTTAAATTTTCTTTAAGATACTCTCGTTGTCAGATTTGATTTGTGCTACAATTGAATCGTCGTAACATACTTTCAATTTGATTTTATTACTCTTCGTCGATTGTTCTTATTTATTCTATCTGTTTTTATGTTTCAATCTATGAACATTAAAAATTGGAAACATGAAATTAGAGATGCAATTTTTTTAGAACGTAGTTTATATGTTATATATAAATGTAATATGAAATATATATATAAAACACACACACACACACACACATCGTTTATAATTTTTTAAAATATATAGTTTTGTAAATAATTAAAAATATCGATAAATTTTGTTCTATACCGGATCCATGAATCTCTGAGTTTTAGTTATATTTCCTAGTTGTTATTTTTTATTCATAGTATTATATTGATATTTGAAATCTTCTTTCTATCTGTCTGTAATGTTTAATGATTTAATGACTTATGCATTAATGACTTAATCGTACCAACATGATTGACATTGGGAATACAAAGGGTTAAGATAATATTTGTTCATTACTGTGCATAGTTACATAAGCAGAGAAGTGTATATACGTATGCACAAATATTTCCTTTGCCTAGTGAAAAATGAATGTGCTAACCACTTCTATTAATTTCTACTGTTGTCATTTTTCTAATATGTGTATTTTATGATGATTTATTCTTATTACTTATTTAACAAATTTTGATTTATTAATATTTTCGATTTATACCGTATATAGCTAATTTTATTCTATTTAATATATTATAAAATATATATCAATTAAATCAATTTGCAATAAAATAACTAGGAAATAGAAGTAGTGGAAAATATATCTATAAAATATCATATTATATCAATGAAGTAAAAATAAAATAATTATAAAATAAGAGCGATAGAGAATAGGTATCACTTATGCTTGACAGTATATTTTTATTAATTCTTACATTTTTTATTAATTAATTAGTAATTTGATACATATTTTTTTTATTTCCTAATTCTTATGAATACTTTAAATTTCGGATTTCTTTTTAGTTCTGGATTTTTCATAATTCATTTTTGAAGAAATTCTTAATTTGCATTTGTTACGAAAGATCGGCTAAGATAATATTCTTTATTTTTATTTCCGCAATGCATTTCACTTCCTTGGAATAAGTTTATTTGTTGAAAATCTATAAAGTAGTATCTTTGGAATAATAATATTGGTTTCTGAAATAAATTATTTATTATTTATACACAATCAGAACAGTTTTTGTCATTTAATGGCATTAAATGGATTGATAGTCGAATTTATTTTCACGAAGATTGAGTGATTTAAAAAAGTAGCTTAAAACACTGACATTTTACTGCAAATTATAGCATTGGTAAACGTTTATCTTGAGTTGTCTTTAAAAGGCGAATGTTGTCATAAATCTGTTTGTAGTACTAAAAATAAAAAGAAACGCTTATAACGTGTTTAAAAATAGTTAACGTCTGTAATTAAAGATATTTGTGAATTATTTTATAGAACTCGATAATTTTGTCATATATTTTAACGTTAATTTTAACGTGTATATACACATTTATACACATTTTTTGACAGATGATTTATGAACCGCCCTAATAAATATTAGGTAACAAAACAAGTTTATACACTCAATTAAAATAAAAAAAATAGGACACATACAGGAAACTTTTATAAAGTGTTTCATTCATAAAAATAATTATTTTCACAATCGATCTTTTCCCAACTATAAGTGCAAATTCTACGTTTAATAAATGCTCTGTTTTTAAAAGTAAAAAATCTACTAATTTCTATTTCAATCATTTATTTCGCATATGATCATCTAGTGCTAACAATAAGATCAGGCAACAGTTGGGAAAAAGTCACAATACAGAAGCACATATTAGGTCAAGCGTGTTTAAAGATCCTATTAATTAGCACATCTGTGCTATATGATACACATAAAAACTTATGTACAACTTTGCTGGTTGTAACGCGTTACAATAAATTAATGTAGTAAACTATCGAAAAACGCAATTCTCAAGTTTAGTTCACGTCAAATGCCTATCGTCATGTTTTATATTATTTTATATTATGTATATTATATTATTATATACGTTTAAAAATAAGCGCAGTTTAAAAAATTTTTTAAAATATACGGAAAGCTCAAAGGCCAGTTATCTATTAAAAGTGACTTGTATCGAACAAACATACTTTTCTGGTCAAAATTTTCAATTCGTAGAACAGTTTAGTTACAATATTATAATAACTGTATTATAATTGCCATATTGCGATACTCAATTAATAATTTTAACAGTAAAAGTTCTTTCTGACGAAAGAAATATGACTTACACTGACTGGCTTCTGAGCCCTTCACATCTAACGTACATTAATAAATAATTTTAACGTAAGTTGATTTTTATTCTTTTTAGAGCTATAACACGCTACATAAAAGTTCTTTGGATCATCCGTAGTCATGAGAGGAAAAACAGGAGTATTGCTGATGTATTTCGGCAATATGTCAATCGACATCCCAATAAAGTTTGTTTCATTTACGAAGATCAAGAATGGACATTTCAACAGGTAAACTTTATATTAATATAATATAATAGAATTATTAAACTTCATCATTATGTAATTACATTATCGTGTATAAATAATTAAACACCTAATACGATTAAAAGCTTGATATTTTAATTACTTTTCGACAGTTACGATTAGCGATTAACTTCCTGCATTTTCTAATGTTTCACTTTTAATAAATAGCTGATGCATCATAAAATCTATATAAACTATTTCAGTGCGGTTAGAAACACGTGTTTCAATCGTTCTAAAATTTCAGCAATGAATATATTTACTTTTTTTATCAATATCTATTAACTGTATTTGTTAAATTGTATTCTTCATTGTAATAATTTAGAAGTATTCAAATACTTACGATTGTATCAACTACTGTACGATTTCCTTTCATAAAGTTTAAACAGTTCAAAATATCGATAATTTTTCATTATTATTGGTTCAGTTATGTTCTTCAGTTTATGTAAGAGATAAAAAAAAAAAAAAATGGAACGAAATAATTGCCAGCCTCGCAAATAATAGCGATAAAAATGCGAGAGGATGAATGTTACTCTTATAAATAAGACGAGACGAGGTGAATAACGTAAAATATGACTCACTTCCTTTCTGTTCAGAAAATTGGTTAACTTTTATCATTTATTAAATATAAAATACTTTAACTCGTGTGTTGTTGAACTCTCTGTGAAAGCTATAGCAGATTCTATGCCAAAAATCTCATTCTCACTTATACAGAGACACAATTTTTATCGTATGACGTAACGTTTGAACTCAGATGTTATATATATTTCAAATTTAAAAAAAAAATTATGGTTAGACTGTAGTTTTTATGCTTTTATGGGAATTTTGAGAATACAAAGATGTATCAAATACACATAATATACAAAAATATATTAACTGTCTGAAGTATAGTACCTGTTAAGATACTTAGTACTTATAACAGTTTTTTATCGTACATAGATTTTATTTTTTACATTCTACAAGAATACTGAAATATTTGCATATAATATAAAATATGAATAAATGTCAGACAGCGTATTTATGATATAAAAATTCACATCTTAATTTAAACAGTTTCAATTATGAATAACTATACTTAATATTATAAATGATTAAAATTTTTTGTTTATTGATATTGATTGTTGATTATGGAATGTTTATTTTTTTTATTGATAACTCTTATAAATAATCAAAATTATATTTAATTATCATTACGGATTGTGAAAATATTTTTTGATCACCAGTAATTATCAGTAGCGAAAAATTCTTTTTTATCACTTTCAATCATTGCCAATTTTACTACCAATCTTATGTACTAATCATTGTCATTGGTAATAGTTACTAGCAGTTACCATTTGTAGTCTACTATTACTATTTGAATACATTAATTTTCTAACAGTAATAGTTAGTATAACTAGGGATATAAGTGTAATAGCAAAGGATGTTTCTATATGATTAGGTAGTAAAGTTATTACCGTTACATCAGATGCATACTTTCCTTTTGTTCGTAAATACAGCTGCAATAAACAGTTGCAATAATTTCTAAGAATTATCGTGTTCAAAAACCGTAAGAAAATTATCACGCTCGGAACGTAAAGTTCGGTTTTTATGCATTGATTTTTTTATACTTAATAATTTGTCATATCATAACAGATCGTGTTAACTATATGTTAGACGAGAAAGTTTTTCTAAATTTATATTATGATTAATTCAAGTAATAAATATTTGAAACTGGATATAAGAAACAATGATAAATTGTTTTAAATATTTTAATTTTTAATATATTGTCAATGAGTTTTTAAACAAAATAGTTGAATTATTTTATTATTTAATAAATTATTAAATTATTATTTATTGATTCTATAAGAAGATGACAAGTTTTATCTTTGATCATTAGTTTTTCATTAATTATCTAATTTAATGTGAAATTCAATGAATTATTTTTCAGGTGGAGGATTACAGCAATAAAGTCGCCACGGTATTCAAATCGCATGGATATCATAAAGGGGATGTCATTGGCATACTTTTGGAAAATCGGGTGGAATTTATTGCACTTTGGCTTGGTCTAAGTAAACTGGGAATAATTGTACCACTTCTTAATACCAATCTTCGTAAAACTGCTCTTCAGCACAGCATCAATGTGTCCAAGTGTCAAGCGCTTATTTATGGAGCCGATTTCACCGATCGTAAGTGCAACAAAAATTATTATTATTATTATTGGAATTATATTTATTCTTTGTTTATTCGAAATTAATCTTCATCCTTTGACCAATTCGTTTATATTCATTTTAAAGAATTTGAAGTTTTCGAGTAATAGGGAGACAATATTTAAATAGTATTTATTGGAAAAGGAAGAAAGATATTGAGATTTTATATGTAATAATAAAAAATCTATTATTATTTGTTGTTTTTTCATCTTATATTCATATAAATCGTAAACTGTGGAACATAATTTATATAAATCATATTATATAAACAATTATTTTGTGCAATTACAACATAAATCGTGTTCATCCAAATGAAAAATTAAATATCCTTAAATATCTTGAAACATTTAATATCAGAGAATTTCGTGGTACTAGAATGATGAGGAAAGCTGACTTTTCGTTTAATAGATTACTTATTTGGAATTATTACAATAACATAATTGAGTGGAACACGATCATGATGTTCTACGTACTTCCAAACGATTTTATTACTACTAAAATTGACTATAATCATTTAGAGTAGAACATTTCATAATACATAATAATGAACTGGCATTTGATAATTAGATTATGGATGTTCCATGATAACAAATCTTCTAGCTAGTATGAATTTTATTAAAGAATGTTATTAGTATCTCTTAAGAAATTCTGGCAGAATGTTAAACTCGTTACTTATTAATTTGAAATAATACAGATAAAAAAACCGACAATTTGCCTGTTGTTACACTCTGTTTACGACAAAATATAGACTCACGACAAGTCCCGTATACTAAGCCACAAACTGGGTTAACTTTGGCATAGTGAAAGGATGAACAGTGCAAAATATACATATGACCAAGTGCACGCTAAATAAATAGTGCGTTTCATATAAGTAGAACTGCATTAATTATTATTTATTAATACCAGTACTCAACTTAATATATCTACTTAATATTTTAAATGTAATATCTTTGTCATGATAATTCATTTAACATCTGATAATTTATTATAATTTTTTAATCCTGTTTACACAATTACATTAAAAAAATATAAAAATCAAGTTGTTGATAATATTAATATCAAAATATAATAATAATATAATATATACATATATTTTATATATTATGTATATTATATATATAAATTAAAAACTCATATAATTCATGACCTCCTTATGCGAAAATAAAATTATTTATTTTTTGTTACGTACAAATTCTCTAAATATATAGTTCTACTGTCATGATTGAAGCAATAATAGGAAATAGAACTAACTATCCCAGAATGAAAGAAAATTAGGTGTTCGGTTGCGTGTCGTGGTCGATTCGACTCGAGGTCCATTTATTTTATAAGCGATTGCATAATGCTAGTGGTCATTATTGTCGATAAATTTCAGTCATGTCAGTGGAATTACTTGTAAAATTTAACTTTAAAATTATCGATCTTTAGTATATTTTTATACATATCTTATAGTTAATTGGAATTAAAGCAACATAAATAAGTACTACATGTTATCATTAGACTATGAATTTTTATGTAAATTCACATTTTTTTGAACACAATTATAGAAGTTATATATATATGATAAAATATAAGTAGAATTAATTAAACAGAGATTTATTTCGTCCACCAAATATTATAGTGAATAACATACTTTATATGTATATTTTGAACATTTTGTGTGTTATTCAATTTTTAAATTTCGCATAAATGGATAAAAATTTAGTGATCATATTTCTGTTTTATTAATATTACTATATTTTACTTTATTAATATTATTTCGTAAATTATTTAAAAAACAATGAGATAAATAAATAATACAAAGTAAAAATACAAAGTAAATCAATCTCGATAATATTGATTTACTTTATCTGTATAAATAATCGTATAAATCGAAATAATCATATTAGATTATCTGTTTTTATAAAAAAAAAGAAATAATAACTAAATACATACATACATACACACACACACACACACACACATATATATATATATATGTGCTTTACACCCGAGATAATATGAAGTACAAATTATTACTTTTGTTTTCAGTTATCACGTCATGATGATAAAAATATTTGTTCTCATCTAAGAAGATATCTATGACTTTGGTATGGACCTTGGAAAAGAATTTTTACTTGTCATAACATTTACTTTTTTAAAGCAAATAACTTTCTCTTTTCTTTTCTTTCACGAACGTGTAACTCTGTTAACTACAAATTTCATCATCTGGAGAAATTCATTTCTATTACTTATTACAAATTCATATTCATTTATGATTTATAAATTTTTATGAATTGTACGAATTGTAAGATTTAAAAATTGTACTAAAATAGAATTGTTAATAAATTTATATGCATCTTCGAAATTTTTATAATGAATGAATTTCAAATATTTTTTATTGTAATAAAAAAATTTTTCTTAAATATAATTACCAAACATACTTATATTTAAACTAAAAAAAAATCTAATGTTTAATTTGGTAAAATTTCTTAAATTACTTTTAAAGTAATGAATTTATTAAAATATATAGTAGGATATAACAAGTTATAATTATATTAGTACAATTAAAATGTAAGAGAAATATGCACACGTATATAGAAGTGTAAGGATCGTTCATTGTTCCAATGATATAATTGCTTATTACTGACGCAAAAATTACGTAATTTTATGCTATCCACATCTTTGCACATATTCCCCCTTTAACAAGAAAATTATAAAGAAAACATAATATAAAATAAAAGTTATATATTATGTTATATCAAAAAAAATTATGTTGTATATTATATTACATAAAATAATGTATTAATAATTATTATAAACCAAAATATTATATAAATATTTTAAACACTATCATTGTATGCTTTTGGTAACAAAATTAGTAAAATATTTTCTGAAGTATTTTCTAATGAAAATTGAAAGAATAATTTTATTACAAATTTGGAGATTATTTATTTTCACTGTAGAACTTTTTTTTAAAAGTTTCCTTATTTATTAAACACACTTTATTTTACATTTATTAATATATAACTATTGTATAATTATTATTTCTATGTAATTATTTGTTTCAGCTATATCAGATATCATAGACTTTATGACTCCGAAATTTCCACTGTATAGAGTTGGTAGCTTATCAAATTCGAAAATATCAAAATTAAAAGACAATGACTTAGATGTTCTTATGGCTAATGTTTCTCCGGCACCACCAGTTTCTGAAGAAAAAAGTGCTTATCACGATCAGTTAGTATATATCTTTACCAGTGGCACAACTGGTCTTCCAAAAGCAGCAGTTATAACAAATTCTAGGTGAGAAACATTGAAATTCGAATATCAAATAATGTATCAATTTAATGTTCTATAATAATACTGATTATATTATAATATAACATTATTATTTATTTAACAAAGAATATAATATAGATATGTTAATGATAAACAATAATTTTGTTAAAAGCGCTTCTTGTAACAACAATTTATTATTCGTTTCAGGTTTATGTTTATGGCAACTGGTATATTTATGTTGGCAAAATTCAAAAGCTCAGATATAATTTATACGCCCTTACCATTATATCACACTGCTGGTGGTGTAATGGCTGTTGGGGCAGCTTTGCTTCATGGCGCAACAGTTGTAATTAGAAAAAAATTTTCAGCAAGTGCTTATTTCACTGAATGCGTCAAATATAACTGTACAGTAAGCTTTTCTACTTTTTTTTTTTATTAAACTTGAAAGAAAATACATTTAATATATTATTTACGAATTAATATTTGAGAAAATATGAACATAAAAAGGAATGGATGTAATTAATTTTTAGATTGCTCAGTATATTGGAGAAATGTGTAGATATATTTTAGCTGTACCTCCGAAACCAGAAGACAAGCAACACAAAATTAGAGTGATGTTTGGAAATGGTTTGAGACCACAAATATGGCGCGAATTCGTAGAACGTTTTAACATTCCACAAATTGCTGAATTCTATGGAGCAACAGAAGGCAATGCTAATATAGGTAAAAATAGAAATAATATACGTATGTTTATATAATTAAACAAAATATGAAATTAATTATTATATCAATATGAGTAGTGATCTTATATTTAATATTTTATTCTTCTAGTAAACATCAACAATACCGTTGGGGCTATTGGTTTTGTGTCCCGAATTGTTCCATCAGTGTATCCTATTTCTATTATAAAAGTTGATGCTGATGGAGAACCTCTAAGGGATGAAAAAGGTTTATGTCAATTGTGTAAACCAAGTAAGTATTTTTATTGAAACAAATACAAATTAAAGAATTTATCTCATATTTCAAATTCCAGTGAAACAATCTTACTCTATAATTTTTTCCTTCATTTTCAGATGAACCAGGTGTTTTTATTGGAAAGATTATACCTAACAATCCATTTAGAGCATATTTAGGATATGTAGATCAGAAAGCGTCCGAAAAAAAGATAGTTCGTGATGTATTTACCAAAGGCGATTCAGCATTTATATCTGGTATAAATTTATTCTAATTAAATTTTATGTGTATGACATATTTCTTTATTGCAATTTTTTCATTCAAATACAATAAATATTGTAAATAATTAATACAAATAATCATCATAAATTTCTAATTTCTTTCTTTGCAGGTGATATTTTAATAGCAGATGAATTTGGTAATTTGTATTTTAAAGATAGAACAGGCGATACTTTTAGGTGGAAAGGAGAAAATGTGTCCACATCCGAAATCGAAGCTATTATTAGTAATGTTATTAATTATAGAGATTGCATTGTATATGGAGTGGAGGTAAAGAAAAAATATTAAAAATGACATTCAATAATAGTTATTTCATTGTTGATATGAGGTATGGAATTTAATAATTTAATTTCTTATCAGATTCCAGGTCTTGAAGGTAAAGCTGGAATGGCAGCAATATATGATGAAAAAGCTACCTTAGATATTGATCGATTATCAGTTGATCTAAAGGAGCATTTAGCAACTTACGCAATACCTAGATTTATTAGAATTTTATCGAGAATTGATCTCACAGGTATTCTTTTATTATTTGTGAAATTAATCTTTTACTATTTTGAATATTATTTTTCATCATTTAAAATTATATTTAAATAATACTTAATATATTTTTAAAAAATTTTTATTTTTATGTCAATTTTTCATGTAATGAATAAAATATAATTAATATAGTTCAAATATTATAAGTTTTATTTTACCATTTTTATAGTGCCATTTTAATTTACAAAGAACATTATTTCAGGCACATTCAAATTGAAAAAGAAAGATCTTATGGATGAAGGATACAATCCAAATAGGATAGGAGACAAATTATACTATTTAAATGAAAAGTCTGGATACCAGTTGTTAACTACTGAAATTTATGAGCAGATTCAACAAGGAAAAGTTCGTTTTTAAATTCTGTCCTAAAATAAAAAGAAATCTCGTGGGAACAATTCTTGCAACTCTTTACATGTGAAGTGAAGAGACTCCGTTTTTCCCTCTCTTCATTCTGCTGAATCAAAAATTTATTTTGTACTGGGATATTATAGTAATAATTAAATTATATAATTTAAAACTATTATTTTTTAAGATATAAATTTATATTTTGTAGAATTCTTAGTATGATTAATACTTACATATAAAATAAGTTGCATTAAAGTTAGAATGAAATGTTTTTTACTTAAAAATGAAATGAATATTATTTATTTTTTTGAATTATGTTAATTATGCTTATTTTATACATATATGTGTATATGTGTGTATAGCATATATAATAATTTATAATTATTATATATATTATATATATATATATATATAATGATGTATATCATCAAATCATCTTATCTTAAAGTTTCAAATCCATTGTTTCTATACATTTTGTAATACATTCTGTATAACAGATAAATGTTTTTATATACATTTATGTAAATTGAAATTACATAAATATTTTGCGAAAAAGGAAGACTTATTTCAAAATTATATGAAGCATATATAGTTTGATAAATTATAAATGCATACAAGGTACTAACAATAAGTTAAAATAATATATAACAGGAAATGCAAACAAAATATTTATTTTGTAACAAAAACCAAGTATAATTTTCCATTTCGAAATTTAGACGTTGTTAAAAATATTGTTACAAGTGTTGTAGAATTGTTTTATGAATACATAGCAATTGTGAATATATATGTCGTAAGTCATATGAATAAATACAAATGTTGATTACAATTTATTTAATAGATCCTTGGCCTGGTTTTCAAAAACTAATGGTATATTTTTTCAAAAGGCAATGCCAACTTTGTCCAACTCAATATATTGACGCTATTTAGCAAATACTTTTAAATTAAAAATTTTACGACCTATTTTTGTAATTTTTTATCAAACTGCAGATCACATACATATATAGAAAAGATTATACATTACTTGCTCAATCATTCTCAATGTAAATATATTCGTATATTCGTATAATTTCAATATATTGTATATTAAAATCAAATTTTTCTACTCCGTGCAAATTGATTGAAACAACTAACGTAGAACAAACAAATAATGCTGCCGTTTTTAATTTATCATTCCAATTATGTTCATTAAATTTTGTTGCTTTAAAATATGTTTTGTCTTATTTTATGTAGCGTTCATTGCTATTAAAGTTGATTTGAATTTTAAACTAAATGGATCATTTTGTAATTCTATGAATAAAATAATGATTTTAAATTTTATTAATTTTGAACAACAATAAAATTAAATTTTTCACTATTAGAAATAATGAAAATATTTTGTATCATTGCCTGTATCAATATAGAACTCTAATAATATTTATAATTCTTCGAGACCAATGATGCAACTGTTAAATCATTTAATATCTCAGCCGAAGATGCAATATTTATGATATGAAATCATTGATGAAAATCAGTATAGTATTACTTGTATTAGTTTTTAAATCGCAATTTGAAAAGTCACTATTCATAAAAATGAATAAATATATAAATGCTATAAACAACATATAAAAACAGTGACATATACGGTGCGTTGACCAGCTATGTAAAATATATTTTATAAGTGTTAAAATATGCTTATCTTACTTTAATACAAATTCAATTGTTATTAATTTTATTGCAAGTTGAAAACTATCATCGATTATTGGAGTCAGTAGCTTCACAAAATCTACCGATCTCGAATATATACGTATTAAAAATATTTTATTTTCTTTATGCTGTTTATTCATTTTAAATTTAGAAGTTCTTTCGAAAATTGTATCTTTTGTTAATGATATTAATTTTGAAATGTCATGTTAGAAATAATTATTATATTGAACTACTACAAAAACACATTAAATTTTAAAAACACATGTCTTCAATTATCTTTAAAAATTATCTATATTTATACTTGAAAAAATTTAATTCATTTTGATATTATACAATTTTAATTCAATTTTTTTATAATAATTTTAACATGAATTAAGATAATAATATTAGCTTTCTGTAATATACAACTTACACATTTAATATACACATTTACAATTACTATGCATTTATATATTTATAGAGATGATATGTTATATTGTATCTATATTTACTGTACATTGTTATTGTTATATCTATTAAAAGCATATAAATATATTACTGTTAATAATGTTATTACATCAAAAAGTAATACATTTATTAATAAAAAATTTCTGTAATTAAAATTTAAGACAAAAATATATTTACATAATTAACACAAGTATTTTAATATAACAAATATTATATTATAATTAATATATATTATTCTTTGATACTATTTTTTAATAAAAATTGAGAAAATAATATTTTTTTATTTAAAATAATCCGTTTAAATACTTGTTATGTTAATTTTAATTCACGTAATAATTAAATACAAGTTATCACAAATTTACTACTTTGTTACTTACAAATTATCACAAATTTACTACTTTATGAGTACATTAAAATATGTAATTGGTTACTAAAATTATATATATATAGATATTTATAGATATTTTACAGTTTGTTTTATATTTACAAGGATCTAAACTCCTAAAACAAAAATAAATTTTTTATATATGTACAAGTTTTTTATTAAGAAAAATGGATATGTTAAGCATGCATCGTGTGGATCACTCCTAGGATACATGCCGGAACAAATTCATATTATTGTCCTTATCACACGCTGTTGCCCTTTTTGTCGATTGCGCCTGTATGTCTGTCCTTGTCACACGCTATTGCTCTCCTTGTCTACCGCACAGATATGTCTGTCCTTATCCCACGCTATCGCCTTCCTTGTCCATCGCGCGTATATGTCTGTCCTTGTCGCACGCTAGTGTCCTCCTTGTCTAATGACGCTAGACAAGGAAAGCAATAGTGTGCGACAAGAACATCTTTCGATCTATTGAAAAAAAATCCAACTTTTTGCACACACGTTTTTCCAGGACAAAACACACATAGAAAGAAAGCGGGGATTCTAATTTTAAGGAGGCACATAAATAATTTTGCAAATTATTACTCTTAATTAGGTTTTTTCCGTAAATAATGCGAACTGTTACAAAATGGACATGGTGGCGCCATCTAGCGGTAACGCAGTGGTACTAATTATTTATAAAAATACTTATTTCTGTATTTTACGGGTCAAATGAGGTGTGAAAAGAAAGCTAAGAGTCTAATTAGGGTAATACAATCACAAAAGTTCACAATTCATTTCGCTAAATTAGGTTTTTTCGCAAATGAAGATTTCTCTGTTTTACGGGGAAAGAAAGAAACACTAGCGCCGCGTTGTGGCACACCGGTGGAACTAAACGCTCTATAACCATAAAAGGAGAATAATTAATTTTAATTTTTTACGCCACAAATTTACACTACACGGGCATATATTTCAAAGATAATGCTATCAATTACGTTCGCAAATAAATTTGAAACAAATATTCACTATAGTTTCCGAGAAATTATGCGCACACTGCATGATTTCTGCTAAATAATTTCTTCTCGTAATTTGTGGAAAAACTGTCACCTGTCATTTAGATGCAATAGTGGCGCCATCTATTGACAACTCGGCGGTACTAAAAGTAGAAAATTCTGTTTTTAGTACTACCGAGTTGTCAATAGATGGCGTTACTGTTGCATTTAAACATTGACAGGTGACAGTTTTTCCACAAATCACGAGAAGAAATTAATTAGGAGGAATCATTTGTGAACTGTTATGGTTGCGTCTCCGATTTTAGAGACCCTAAGCTTGCATTTTATGTTTTGTTTAAGTATAATTTACGTATATACAGAATGTTTCAATTTCGTTTACGTTAGTAGTAGTGCCAGTAGTGTGCATAATTTCTCGGAAACTATAGTGAATATTTGTTTCAAATTTATTTGCGAACGTAATTGATAGCATTATCTTTGAAATATATGCCCGTGTAGTGCAAATTTGTGGCGTAAAAAATTAAAATTAATTATTCTCCTTTTATGGTTATAGAGCGTTTAGTTCCACCGGTGTGCCACAACGCGGCGCTAGTGTTTCTTTCTTTCCCCGTAAAACAGAGAAATCTTCATTTGCGAAAAAACCTAATTTAGCGAAATGAATTGTGAACTTTTGTGATTGTATTACCCTAATTAGACTCTTAGCTTTCTTTTCACACCTCATTTGACCCGTAAAATACAGAAATAAGTATTTTTATAAATAATTAGTACCACTGCGTTACCGCTAGATGGCGCCACCATGTCCATTTTGTAACAGTTCGCATTATTTACGGAAAAAACCTAATTAAGAGTAATAATTTGCAAAATTTTTTATGTGCCTCCTTAAAATTAGAATCCCCGCTTTCTTTCTATGTGTGTTTTGTCCTGGAAAAACGTGTGTGCAAAAAGTTGGATTTTTTTTCAATAGATCGAAAGATGTTCTTGTCGCACACTATTGCTTTCCTTGTCTAGCGTCATTAGACAAGGAGGACACTAGCGTGCGACAAGGACAGACATATACGCGCGATGGACAAGGAAGGCGATAGCGTGGGATAAGGACAGACATATCTGTGCGGTTATTTTGCTTGGGGATTACGAGAGTAATGATTGTGATTATAATAGATGAGAAACTAATTTTTTTGATAGAAAGAATCATTTATGGTGATTCACTTGATTGCTATTTTATGTCTAAACGAGTTCAAATATGTTTCACTGCGTTTGTGGTATATTGAAATCATTTATCTATTAATATAAATATTGATATTTTTGATATAAACTGTAATTAAATAATAATTTAATAATATTTCAAACACTAAAGAAAATATGAAATTTCAACAAGAGGTTGATTTCTGGAATTTTATAAATTATTAAATAAAAAATTAAATAGAAATAATTAATAAAATTAATAAAATATTATTTACAAACTATAAGTAATATCATAATTAACTTTTTACGAAATCTATAATCCATTATTAACAGATACATCTCTATTATAATACATTACTTGTAATTAATAATTATAAATAAATCTTAATTACAGATTGCCCAATAAAAATTCTGTATGTAATATATCAGTTTAATCTGTTTTCTAAACTTTAATATTTTGTCATAAATTCAGTTTTTACTAATTAAGTAATAAAATCTGTGTTATACATTTTAGTACTTAAAAATATTCCAAATTTTAACATTGCTCCATTTTTAGGTTCGATAAAAATATTTTCTTCAGTAGCCCAATCATTATTTGCAATCTCTGAAAAAAGCAATAAATAAATCAACACAACGTAATTTATACATTTTTAAGAAACTTAAATATACAATAAAAGACTAATAAATATATTAGACAGTTATATTTAATGTCAGGAAATAGAAGCAAAAATTTTAAAAAGAGCATTATTTTTAATATAGTAGTAAATACCTACTTGGTTTAATTTCTGATGGCTTCGAAAATAATGTTACACGTGATTTTTTCAAGAGAATTTTTTCCAAACATCCTAATTTCACCAATATCTGTCATAAAAATAAATTTTACGAAATTTAATAGAAGTACTTAAGTATAATTAAAAAATTTTAAATACATACTTAGACATATAATTATGAAAAATGGTTTATTATAAAACTAATATAACACACCATACTATATAAAAAAATAATTGCAATATTCCATTAAAATAGAATCTTACAATGGAAATTTTATTACAGAAAATAAAAAGTTAAAATTATATAATTATCTACAGATACTAAGAATTTACCTCGATCAATTCTCGTGTATGACATGGTTGAAGAGCTGGGACAAATCTATATTGTATTTTAGATAACGCTATACCTGGATGCGTTAAACAGTATGACAAAATTGATCCCAACATACGATCAAATACTCTACGATTTAAAACACCATCTATTCGAATCCATGGTTTTATAACTACCTTTATTTCTTGTTTTGAACTAAAACAAATAAAATACATTTGAGTGCCATCTATTTTGTAATCTATCTAGAATAACTTGATTGAATTTTAAATTGTACAAATAAATATTGAAACGAATAAATAAATAAATATAATTTCATTTACTTTGAATTTAATTGCTTCACAGGTTTAGATGTATCTTTTTGGTGATGTAATTTAATCCTTTTTCTTGGCATTCTTTTCTTCATCTCCGTATTATATTCTTCATCACTATGACTAGATGTATCTTTAGTAGAATCTTCACTTTTATTTTCATTGCTATCTTTTATTTCTAGCTGAACATCTTCTCCAGTTATATTTCCACTGGCAATTTTAGATGATTCTTTTTCCAATAATTTAGTGGGACTTTGATTGATTTCTTTTATTGTATTTACATCATTATCTTTGTTTGATGCTTCTTTAGGTTCTGTCACATATATAGTTCCTTTCGGCACTGGTATAAGTGATTCTTTCTCAAGACGGCATATTTTATATGAGTTTATTAACCAAGAATCAACATAACGATGATGTATATATCGGACTACAGTTACACCAGATCGCAAAAATAGATGATTATTGGTAAAGAAAGAAACAATTTGATATAAATTTTCTCCTAAAAGATCTTCAAATTCATCCTGTGAAAGAATAATTAATTAAAATATAATGTAAAATATTCTACTTTTAAAATATAGTTCTATTTATTCCAAAGAGATATTTACTTACTATCAAATCTTGAATAGTAGCTCCAAATTCTTTTTTGTCACATACAAATTCATAAACTGTGTCCATATTGTTCAAATTCAATGAAAAATCATTAGGTAAAATTTTTTTTAAATCAGAGAATGAAATATTATTCTTAGGAAAAACTGCAAATTTATTTACTTCTTGTATTAAATCATTTATAGTATTTAATCTTAAAGGCAATAAGTCTGAGGGTATTGGAAGATCTCTAAAAACTTCTCTGACATTTTGTGAATTTGATCGATATAAAGAATAAAAAACTTTAAACATATTTACTACAAAATATTCATGTGCATGATGGCTATCTGCTACTGTTAATTCACTTAATTCTTCTCTCATCCGTAATAAAGCTATACGATTATACCGCTTGTGTATATCATCAATTTTGCAACATGAATTCAAATAATTCTGTTCTGTAGGAATATTTTTTAAAATATCACTAACACGTGTAAAGCCATGTTCACTTTTTCTTGATTGTAATGAAATTTCAAACTCCTTATTTGAAATATCTTTTTCATTGTTACATTTTACATTATTAATTTCAGTTGTTTTATTGTTGGAATGTTCCTTTGAATTTTCATTTTGTATTTTATTTGATATTTCAGTTAAAATAACATCATTCTTTTGCAATACTTCTTCACTCTTTTCTGCATTGACGATATCATGATCTAATATTATTTTCTTTGGAATAGGTTCATTTAAATCAAACATTTCATTCTTTCGTTTTTTTCTTTCAGATGTAACTAATTTATTCCTATCTGTATTCAATTGTGGATTTAAATGAGATGAAGATGGACTTTCGATATTTAATATTTTATCCTCATATTTATTGCTTTCACTTTCTGATAATAATACAGAATTATATTGTACCTGGATTTCATTTTCAAATTCAGACAATTTATTTAAACTTTCTTCAGTACTGTTTATTTGCACATCTGTTTCCATTATTAAATTCTCATCACAAAGTGTTGAACGTTCGACATCATCTGTGTTTAATACAATTTTAGTTCCATCTTGAAATTTAATTATATTCTGTTCATCGTCAATTACATTACGGCCGTTCTCCTCGTCAGTATCGAAATTTATTTCGTCATAGTCAATAAAAGATTTCGCATCTTCGAAATTTCTTTTCTCACCTTCAAATTCTTGTAAAAGTGTATTCTTTTCTGTATCCAAATCCGAAAAGCCCTCTTTATTTAATTTTCCATTAGCATTACATATATTGTTATAATGTACAGTATCAACTTTAGAATCGAAGCTTTTGTCGTTATGCTCTTCAAGATCAATTGCACTACTGTTTTGCAAAGAAAATTCTTTTATAAATTTCAAATTATCTAAATTAGCTAATACATCTTGATATCGTTTAGCTATTCTAAAATATGTTTCATCTTTTTCATTTAATCTAGGATCAAGCATTATAACTTGATCGGGTATTTCAATATCAAAATCTATTTGATCTTGTACGATATAGTCATGTATAGCTCCTATTAAACCACCAGTAGTTGGAAACACTTCAATGCCATTAAAATTATCTGATGCTTTACTTTGATCATTCATTTGGTTATGACAGTACCAATTACTAAGTTTATAGAAAACATCATATGATTCTTTGAATATATTATACGGCCATTTAGTGTGAAATTTATATATGTAATTACTGCTTAATTGATACTGAGAGCTACTCATCGGCATATAATTACCATATTTTCTTATACTAGTCAATTGATTCTTTTTAATGGTAACCATTTGATCGCTACGACTTTTTGCCATAGCATTTCTTAATAACATCTCTGGATATTGCTGATATATTTTGAATAATTGGTATGCCCAGGATCTTCTGTCTTTTCCACAACACATGGAACTATTAATGACAGAATTTATGACTGAAAAATGTATATCGTTGACATTCCGAATATCTTTCGTGAAACCACGATTATAGAATGGTTTTGTAGGATGTACAATTTTATAAAATAAATTAAATTCTTGCACTGTTTTTGGCACAGGCAATGGTTCTTTAGATCCAACATCTGAAATATCATAGTATTTCTTTGCAATATAAGTAATAAGTGATTTAAACGCCTCTGTAACTTGTTTTTCATATTCAGAGGAATTTTTATGTTTTTCTTTAAGTTTATCCACAATACCACCAAAGCGTTTTTTGAGGAAGAAATTCTGTTTGAGCTCTTCAACTCCTAATGCAACAATGTCAACATTTCGTTGTTGTCTGAGCATATATAAAAGTCGTCGTTGACAAGCTCTTGATGTTTTGTTGTGTGAACTGTATGAATATGTTCGTAGTACATCTCTTACTGCCGAAAATGTTATTACTTGTTTACGTGGATTTGGACAAAGATATACCATAGCTACTTTACAAACAAGCAAAATCTTATCCTCATATGACTCCCAATTTACTCGTAACTTATGCATCCGTTGCAATGCTCGATAATCAACTTCGTCATATTTTGTTCGTTTTTTATTACTACATTTACGAGGTAATACTCTCCTAACGTAGGATTTTTGCTTCGCACTTCGTTGACATGTCAATGCTTCATATTTGTTCTGCTGATCCAAATTTTCACTATTTTTAGTTTGTACCTTTTTTCTGAATTCTGTGGCACTTAAAGAAGGTGGTCCAGATACTGTTTTCAGACCGGAAAACTCAGTGAATCTAATAGGTTTTGCTTTTATTTTAGAAAGATACGAATCTCTTTCATAAACTACATTTTGCTGTTTTTTTGTCTGCTGAATTTCAGAACTAGAGAAACCCCAACTCCAATTTCTTTTAAGATGAGCAAAACATGCTGAATCTATTCCAGCAGCACCTTTGTGATCTCCAGGTACTTTACCGGTATCTAATCTCGCAGCTTCTTCTGGAGAACGAGCTACCACTGCGTTGATCATATCAATTTTCTTATTTAAATCTTCTAATACTATATCTTTTCCTTGAACAACAAGTCGACCGCCTAATGGTGTGTTCATACATATATTCCACATATCATACCAGTACTTCTCAATTACCTGAATTTCGTCAAAGTTATATTTAATTATGGGGTAAGATTTATCTTCAATTATGTGATAACCAGGAGCAGAAGATGTCGTATCCATTAGTTCGCTACGACGATTCACGTAAATAAATACTTGATCTTTCTCTTTTAATTTTTGTGGACCAAATTGTATTAACCCAATATAACATAATCTTGTTATAGTTTCATGAATATGAAATATATACTTTCGTGAATAAAGTAAAGAATTTCGAACGTCAATTGGTAAATCTCTAACTAAATAATGTTTTCGAATAGGATGATTTATATATTTATCCATATCTGGTATTACAAATGAAATGTAATGAATCTTTAAAAATATCGATAAAGGAAGTCGTAAAAGAATATCACACATTAATGTCCATCCTCGAGACCAGCCTGAAAATCATAATTTTGTTCCTTGTTACTTTTTTTAATCCTTTATTACAAATTATATACTGATTTTAAATTTAAATATAAAATAAATATTACAAATTAGAATAAATACTATATTAATATATAGCAAACTCTCATATCCGCGATCCGAATAAATTAAGTAGAAAATTTCTAATATTCCAAATTTTTAAATCAAAGAAAGACGTAAACGAAATTTTAGAATTAGAAAATTATAGAAAGTTAATATAAATAAAAATATAATGAATTAACTAAAGTAAAGAATACTCATAAAAGTAACTTACCATTATATTGTGGCAAAGGTGGAATAAACATTTTCCAACTAACATCTTTAGTATAAATTGTATTGAATTCTTCTGCTAATTCTTCTGTAATGTTAAAATCATTATCTCGCAAAATTTTTATTTGTTCCGCTTTCGAAAGAGTTTGATTGCCAGGATGTTCATAAACCAAATAAAATAAAAAGGTATGTAATGCTTGCATACGAAGAAATTTCGGACTATATCCGTATTTTCTTGATATTCTCTAAAAATAAAAGAATTCACAGATTTAAAAAAATAATAATAAATACTTATATTAATATAAATTAAACTATTTTATCATACGTATAATTAAAAAATACATATATATATTTAAAAAGCAAAATAAGTACTTACAGGACCACATTTAGAATTTGTAGGTATTACTGCAGACTGATTTTTTCCAGATTTATTTATAGCATTATTAATATCTTCATTAGATTCAAATTTTATTGCATTTTCTGTATGTTTCGTAGATGATTTAAGTTTTTGAGAAGTCATTAAAAAGAATTTTAATTTTGCTTGTTCTACAGCTGATTGAATAACAGCACTATTAACATCAATATTTGGGTCACATATAAATTTTAAATGCTTCTCTTTACCATTTCCATTGAGAGTTATTTTTATATGTTTTACTAAATTATCTTTCGCAAGCTTTTGCAACAATCTTATTAACGATTTTTTATCGATTTTCACATCACACCCTTCTTTATCTTCTTCCTCATGTATTATCTAAAATTAAATTTTGTGATTAATAAAAATAATTTAAAAAAACAAATATATTAATTACATAGTAATATATACATATTTCCCAATAATGTTTTAAATTTTACCTTCATCAATTTTGCCGTATCATCAATGACTTGATGTTCTTTCACTGATTCTATAATCATATTAGCTCTTCGTAATAATCTATATGTAATATTTGTTACATTTTTCTTTTCACTATTTTGTACATCTTCCATAAATCCATACACTTCATTTTCTGATTTTTCTTCATTTGTTAATCTTAAAACTGTAATGTCAACTTTTATATTTTTATATGCTGCTATTGCCTTTTCATTTTTTGATAATTCAGAAATTTGTTGTAACATATTATTAGAGTATGAATTTTTTTCTTTTACTTGAACTTTGTTGATTTTATCTGACAAATAGTTAGACAAAGTGCATTTGTATCTATTTGGACGCTTTGTTATACGATATTTATATAATATTCGATTAACTATATTAAACGTTTTTTGCAATTCTACTTTTTCAATATTTGACTTTTTTTGTAAAAAGTCGTCCTTACTCACAATATCAGATTTCAATACCTTTCTCACACTTTCTTTTTCATCATCAATAACAGTATTCTCTTTTATCGTCTTAGTTTTTTCTAAGTCATCACTTTCAATTGCAATTTGTTTTGTAAGCTCTTTAATTTTATGTATTTCTTTCTTAAACTGTTTACTTAACTTACTAGCTTTTTCATATTTTTTTGATACATATTTTGTAATCCTTTGTCTACCAATATCATTCATATAAGTAGCAACAATATTTGTTTTAACTATATTTCGCAAAATTGTCCGTGATTGAAGTTTTGTTAGCCCCATTATTTTAGCCAAACTTCCTTGGCATACACCATCAATTTCATTAGCTTCAATTATTGTATTTGCTTGTTTCAAGTAAGGTACACCATATTTATGATTTGAGATATTTAATTCTAAGAAAAAAACATATAATAAAAAAATTTAAGATATGCAGATAAAAAATTATTTTTTGACAAACTAAAATATAATTTTTATATTTTAATATACTTGTTATAAATATAAATTTTTTTAAAATAATACTAATTCATAACAGAATAAGACATAAATAAAAGTTTGAAAAATACTAGAAATGAACTAAAATATATATTCATTAAAAATAAAATTTAAAAATAATTAATAATAATTCCTAATTAATAATTGTTAAAATATTTTAAATTATACTTTTTATATTTATTTAATTTTGTAAAATTACGTTTCATATGGATATATTGTAGGATAATAATAGTAACAAACCATGAGATTCATCTTCGTCTTGTATTTCATCTTTATTCCATGCTTCAAGGATATCAATATTTGGCAGTAATAGCTGTACTACTTTAATTCTCTTCTCCTTTATAGGATTATTCTTTCGCTGCCATTCTATTGGTGGTGCATTAGGATATAAAGTTCTATATGGTACTCTCTTATTTAAAGATACAAACATTTTTTTCAATTAAAATAATTACGATTATACAATTAAAAATAAAATTGAAAAATATGTAATATTATTACTTACAATATCTGTTTTCACAACTTTTTGAAAAAATGAAGTTTTAAATAATTTTTTTATTGCATTTTCAATTTGTAGCTTACGTTTTATTTCATCATATTCTGCAACACAATTAGGTTTTGACTTGAGAATTTTTATAACTTCTTCAGCCAAGAAAATTATTTTTGGTTTTCTTTCAACAAAGAACCTTGGAAGATGTAAAAGACTCCCATTAGAACTACTGCTACCACTTTTCTGATGATATATTTGCTTTGTTATTAACTTATAGCGTAATAAAAATTTTCTGTGATAAAATAAACTTTTAGGATCCTCTTTTAATGCACTAAGACTAAGTTTCCCCTGAGTAACTTCACCATGATATCGTGATCTTCCTACTCTTTCTAGAAAACAATATTGTGTTACATTTAATTCAAGTATTGGAGATACTTCATCTCCCATCAGGGCATGATTTCTAGCAGATTGTGATGCAACAATAACTAATTTTTGTCCATATTTTTTTGTAGCCTCATCTAAGTTAAGGCTTCTTACAATTTCTGTGACATCTTCTCGAGTATAATAAGTAGAACAAGATCCTTTAATACCATTTGAAACATCATTAATAGGACAATGTGGATAAATGTCTGGCGGTACATGTTCCTATTCAAATGTATAATTTTTAGGTCTTGTAATTTACTAATATAGTCCAATTTTGATCAGGATACTTACTGGTTCCAATATAATACCTAAATCAGGATCCACAAACTGATAGCGATCGAAAATTATAAGTGGTTCTCTTGCAGTTTCCAATTTGTAAAATGCAAATTCTCTGATCTGTACACATATTGACCACAATTGAATCATAAATGGCTTTGAGAATGGTAAAGGGTTATGAAGTCGATGAGCTAAACGTAACCATAATGCTGAAATGAAAAAATTATTAATATAAGAATAAAAGCTGTTACAAATGATATATTAATATTGAAAAAATAATAGTAGAATTTAAATTTTATACAAAAAACACTGAACAAATGCAAACTTATGATAAATAATACTTGAAATATCTGATTGAAAATTAAAGAGAATAAATTCTTCTCTATGATTATTTGACTATTACAAAATATATAGACATTCTCATAAATTTATAATCAACAGCAATATAAATTATAATTTAAAAACTATGATACTGCTTTAGTATAATTATCTAATTTAGTATATATTACTTCAATAATGTATTACATTTATTAAAATTTGGAAATTAAATATAATAAATAATAGAAAAATATATAATTAATAAATACATTACTAGAAACTTTTCTACTTTTGCAAAATAAAAAGATAACATATATACAACGTTATAACAAATATTAATATTTATACTAACCTTCTATGGTAATACCATCTAAACCTTCCAATGCGACCTCATCAATTATTGAATCTACTAAATTAATTGATGGATATGATACCATGTTTAATTATGCTCTAAAATATAATACACTATAGTACAAAATATCTTCTATATTCATATTTTAAATATTACAGTTGACATATAACAACTTATAAATGTCAAAGTAGTACTAGGTACTAGATACACTACATACTACATACAGTACATGCTCTATATATTTAGCATATATGGTAAGTTTCTTTTAAATAAGAAATTATGTTACTGCTTATTTGTTATTGTTTATTTATTTGGGCACAACTATAATTATTATAATCATAGTATATTATTTTTGTACTTAATTTTAGTTATTTACATAGCAATATTTATTACATCATACACACAATCTTTCATCTTCATTTTTTTTTAGCAAAAATAATACATTTTTTCATTAAAAATATTTTATGGGTATGGATCTTAATATTAAGGAAAACGTAAACATTTTTTGAAAAAACAATATTTATTTTTTTTGTATATTACAATAATTTAAATATGTAGTTTTTTTATTGTAAGTTATTTTTTATTTATGTGAATATTGTACAAAGATATAAAAAAAGATAGTATATCTCAACTAAAATATATAATAAACACACATCAACTATAAAATATTTTTCTAAAATATATTTAAATTATAAATAAATTTCTTTTGTTATAACAAAAATAATTGTTTCAAAAAATGATTTAAAACATTAAAACACATACTATCAAATTCTAAGAAATTAAGTTAAGAAATTATATATTTATATGTATTTGAATACTATAAAAGCAGAATAATTACTTTTTTTCTTCTAATTAAATCATTAAGTAAATTATTGATAGAAGCTATGAATGATAAAAAATTCCTTATTACTCAAAATTACTATTAATTACTACATCTAGTGGCATTACTATAATTAGTGAAAAAAAGATTATTTTTGTCTATTAATGTTTACTTACTTTACTTTTTAAAGTTATTAGTTACAAATAAAAAATATTCTCTGTAATATATACATTTAATTAAAAAATATTTTCTTATAAGTTGTCTTTCAAGTTGCTATAAAATTATTTTTCTTTTTCAACTGAATTTTTTCATGTTCATGATTAAAGATTTTATTGGAGCGTTTTCTTTTTCTTAAAAGCTTTTTATTCTGTTGTGATTGATGTGAAACATAATCGTTTTCATTATTAATTTTCAAAGATGATGATGAAAAACTAAACTTATCTAATTTTACTTTTTGCAAGTTTTCTGTCGCTGATATATTTATTTTTTTAATTTGTGATTTATCAAAAATAGAATATTTATCTTTTATTGAATCCGTACATTCCACATTTTTGTATTTTGAATCTTTTATATTTATGGAATCTCCTTTATTAGTTATTAATTTATTAAAAATTGCTGTTGATATAGGAATTGGAATAGGTATAGGGATTGGTATAGGTATGGGTAGAGGATATGGTACAAGAACTGTAACGGGGGGCAAAAGTGTTGTAGGTAATGAATGAAATAATTCAATTGGATTGGATTTAGTTGATGAAAATATGTTAGTTTGATTCTGACATTTTGTTTGATTAGATTCATTTATACAAGACTTAGATAAAGATGGAATTTCATGATGCATTAAAGATCTAGTTGAATCTGTAAACCAAGACGATGATTGTAACATATTTTCTGATGGGCTGTCATGTTCCTTGTCTTGTAAATTTTTTATGTTTTTTACATGTATGTTCCTTCCTAAAAATGTATTACTATTTTGATGTGAAATATGATTTATGTTGTCCATCATATACTTCTCTGTAGAATCATTGTTTTCTAAATAGTTCACTTTACAATTAGTTTGATTAATTATGGAATGGCAGCATTTGCTTTTCTCATTTGCTAAAGTTTGCTCTTTATTATATTTGTTACTCTCTGTATAAAAGTTTTTTTTGTAGTCACTGCAATTATTAGATTTTGTATTTTTTAAACATACTGAATCCTTTTTTCTAGATTCTTTTTGATGAAGTTCTACTGATATCTCGCTATCAATTTGTTCTGTTTCTATTGATCTGTTATCACAAAGAGGTGATGATAAATTATGAGTTAAGTGTGTATCAACTAAATACGTATTTTCTGCAGGATTATTTAATGGTGATTGACAACTTCGAAACCATAATTCTGGTGTTATTAAACAACTTTTTTCTGTATCATTAAAAGAAACATTATTTAAATCTTGAAGCATTAAATGAGTTTGTGTTTCATGACAGAAAATATTGATTTTGTATTGATTTAAACATTTATTACTACAAAATTGAAGTTGATTTTCGCCATCCTGAAAAGAAAAATACAATTAGTAATTTGTAATAATTAATAATAATAAAAAATAAAATAATAAAAATAAATTTCTTTTAAGTACTTAGTGTGCTATATTCAATTCACATACTTGAAGATCAACATAACTAATTGGATTCCGTACATGACTGCACCAATCGCATGTTTTTGTTTGTTTAAAAACTGTTCTTCGACTATCTGCAAAACAGGCTTCACTACAAAAGTATCCCAAAGCATTCATATTATAAGAAAGAGAATTAGATCTTCCCGACTCAAGTGTTTGAATAATTTTACCACACCAAGAACAAGATATATTATCTATAAAAGTAATAAAAATTATAACAAATTCAAATTAAATAATTTATATTTGTATATAAATGTATTTTATATATAATTATATAAATATAAATGTAATATATGTTTTATATGTATAATTTTATACTTTACCTGAATAAATAGAATTTGGATAAGTTTTATATGGAAATGTAGATGTAGTACCAAAAGATACTGATTTTAATGGTAAGGGAGATATGAGTTGTCTATTCATCGACATTAAATTATTATTGGAGTAAGACAATGGTATATTAGAAATTTCAAAAGCTGAATTAGATGTATTCATTATTGGAGATTTTAATATTAGTTGCCTTGAAACAATATCTTGATTAATTTGAAGTGCTTGATTTTTTGTATTTGTATCAGATATAGATGTAAAATGATCCAGATTTAAGTTTTTTGTACAACCACTATCTACTTTATCATAGCCATACCATCCTAATAACTCACTCATTGCGGTTGCTGCATATTCCTGCAATAATATTTAAAATGTTTCAGTATTGTTTAAATATAAAAACAATTTTAGTTAATTATTATTATGATTTTTCATATTTCATATACAAATAGTACATAGATAATAATATTAAAATACATAGATAATTATATTAAAAAATATAATGTATAAATATATACATATAAAACACATTAAATTTTTTTCTATATTTAAAAAAATAATATATGTAGCATACTTTCATACACATTCGTTTCTAGGAACTAGACGAATATATATTAATTCCAATATTTAAAAAAATGATCGAAATTAATGATTTTAATTTGCTAGCAAATAAATTTCATAAAGATAGTTGTTATTATTATTCTAATATTAAAATAAATAAGTAAATTGTAGATGAATTATGATTAATTTTCAAGCAAAAAATAAATAATTTTCAAGCATATTAATTCCAGAACAAAGAAATTATAATGAATGAAATTGGATATTCGTGTTAATTAAAATGGAATACGGATCAATGGATTGTGTTACATTTTAATAGTAGGCATGTATGTATATGGATTATGTTGTTCTCAAGTTACTTGTATATGTACGGACTTTTAAAATACTAATGAACTAATATCTTAATGATTATTGTTAATGTAATTATTTTATTTATTCCCTGAAATTTTGTTTGTCCATGTGAAAGAATTAATTATATCTCATTTTAAATTAAAAACTAGTTATAATAGTTAATAAATAAAAACTAGTTATCGTAAATAATTATTTAGTATTAATATGATATTATTTTAATAATGAAAAAAATAATTATATAAAATACAAGGTATAATATAATATATTTTGACATTTAACTTCCAAATCACGTGACAGTAATTGGCAAAAATTAAGTATTTCTCGAACAATACATATTTCTTATTTACATTAGCTAAAATACAGTGATTTCTTCGTAATTTTTATACAAGATTATCATAATAATATAATTAAAAAATCAAAATAAGAAATAAATTAAGATAATTCTAAAATTAAAAATAAATGATTATTAATAACTGTTTCGTGATTTTATTTTATTAATAGTTAAAACATTTTATCAATAATTTTATATTAAAAATATAATTTTACGTTTTCAAATTTTTATATTTATGTTTATGTTAATTTTGTAATACATTTCATGCATTCTATCGACTTAAAATTTAGTATTTTATTATAAGTAAAAATTAATAAAAATAATTACCACAATATACTATAACAAAAACAATGTAATAATTATTAAAACAGAGTATTATAATAATTATAAATTAATATATAATTGATTTAATAATAAAATGTTAATATTTTAAATTCAGTTCAATGAAAAAATCTTTTTCGTATATTTAATTATATCTCATCTTTTTATGAAATATAGAAAATTTTTATTACTCTCGTAAAATTTTTTAATGGTAAATCATAAATGACAAACAGTATAGTAAATAAAATAAAAGGTAACGTAATGTAAATACATACTTTACCTGAATTTCATCACGAGTTTCTTCTTTAATTTTGACCGGAATATTTTCTTTAGGTGAACGATTATCTCCATTATCTTCAGGCAAGAATGGAAATACTTTTCTTGCGTTTTCTTCAAATTTTTTTAAAAATAAACTAACTGGTCTATTGTCCATCACGAAATATCAACATAAATTCAAAAGTATTGTTTCTTTGAGCCTTCTAGTGGAATTCCAAAAAGTTAGTATCAATTTTATTTTTATATGATTAAATGTTTGATTTTATTACAAGAATATTAATTATATTAGATTCATTCAAGTATATTATGTATTATTTCAAATAAAATTTGTGATTTTGTGTATTTACTGATTTCACAACTAAATTTATTTTTATAAAAATTAATGCTGTAATATATCAAGTTAATGAGATAAAAAATTTTTCTATCACTTGCGATTATTATTCTTTTTCTTTTTTTCCGCTTTTAATTATTTCATCGTATTCAATGTCACAAAATTTACAAAATTTAATTTTCAATTACTTGTTAAGTATTTTTATTAGCGAAGCAACTGCTTTTATAATATATATTGGTGTAATCATAAGAAGTAGTAGTTTAAAATTCTAAACAAAATTTATATTAAAATAGAGATACGTATATATTCGAATAGGTAATACTATAGCATCAAATTGTGCCTAATCAAATTTCACTGATATTTTTAGGCCACTAAGGTAACACAACTTGTGTGAAAATAGATCGCATAAATAACTCGTCCAGTATCTTCTCCTTCTTGCCGATTTAACAGAAAATTTCTTTGCACTTTTCAGATATTTATTTTTTAGTCATTTTATTTTATTTTATATATTTATTTTTAGTCACGTTTTATTTTATTTTTCAATGTTTTTTTTTAAGACTTATAATTTAACTGTAACATAGGATTCATAATTTAATTACATATAGAATATTTTAGAGAGATATAGAAGTTTTAAATTATCTATATATTGAAAGTATATTTCATAAAAATTCATTGGTTCTTTCTTTAGATAAATATAACACGTATTCAAACAAATGGAATTTGCATCAATAATTAAAAATGTATTTACAAATTACATATTATAATTCTCACTCGTATTGTTTTCTTTGAATTAGAAAAAAACGAATTTTTTTAAATCAGACTTTCTGATATGTATTCATATGTAACGAAAGAAATTCAAAGAAAATAAAAAAGGAATTAATGAATTTAATCTTATGCGCGCACTTTTTTTAACTTTTGCGATCATTTATAGCGTTAATTTTATTCGAATTTTTTAAACATGAAATCTCGGAAAAGATTAACGAATAATAATGAATGTAAATAAAAATAACAATGAATAATGCAAAACTAGCCGTAATTATTTCATTACAAACCGTTCGCGCTTGTCCAAAGTCGGCGTTGATAAGAACTGACATCTTACACCCACGACCGCTAAGCGTCGACTAAATGTAGATTTTCGCAGCTCTTAGTTAAATACCGCAAAAGTTTATACTACAAACATATTCAAATACAACATACGCTGATTAAATTAAATTCATTTATATTTTATCTTTTTAATAATTGTCTTATGTTATTAAAACGTAATACAGATTAATATATGTACGTATTATTTAAGAATAAATTATACAATAATTTTAATAAGGATAAATTGATTTAGTTATTGATTTAATTATTAAATTAAATAAGCTAATTATATTTTAATGATTTTTATCTATGTTTATTTTAATATTGTGATAAAAGTCGATAAATTATAAAAATTATAAAATAAAAAAAATATTCTTAATATTATATAATTTCTTCTTACATCATTTTTCTTGATATCATAATTAATCCCTTGAATCTAAGTTTCTAAGAATCTAGTTTATGTTACATAAAAATTACAAAGAGATTAATTTGATCATTAGCTTGTACGAACTTAAATATTTTGAATGTGAACATATTACAAAATATTTCACTGCGTAAAGTTTATTTTATTATAAAATTTCATATTGTAAAAAAATTTATATTAAAAATGTAAATTACTAACTTTTCTTTTTGTGTATAAAAAATTATATATTATATATTGGCATTAAGTGATTATATTTTTATTGTCATTATTATAAATAATAATATTATAAATTTCTAAATATAGAAAAATAATATAATACATATAAGAGTTTTAAACAGACTTTAAAAAGGTATAGTATCGAATAATGATTATTTCACTATACTTGTAACTTATAGAAATATATAAATTTTTTAAATTTGTTTAATTTCTCCACTACAATGAGGACAACAAGTTATATTTGAATCACTTCGTGGAAGAAATATTTGGCCACCAATTGCAACAGCTGCTCCCATCACTGCACTACAAGCTACATCTTGTCTTCCTGACATAAGCAACTTTGGACTCATAAGAAGCTGTATATAAATGAAATAAAGAAATACTTATATATGAAACAAAATAAGACAAATATAAAATAAACACTTACTTGTTCTGCAGTCTTTTCAGCAAATGTTTTCATATCTAAGCCAGTTACATTAATTTCCTTCTGTAAATTAAGATTCTCTAAACCACTTAATAATTGAACTTTTAAAATTTCTGCAAGTTGACAACAGCCTTGTGCTAAATCTATTATATTTGTACTTGGTAATTCATGCCTTTTGCAAGAAACAGTTCCAACAGGATCAAAATTTTCACGTAAAATACTGAGTGTTCTAAAAGAAAAATGATACATAATTTGAATAAATATATTTTCTTTTTATTTAAGATATTTTGTAGAAATATCTTTATTAATAAAATAAATTTTTTATGAATATTTATAAAACAAACCTGTATGTTTTAAGAGATATGTCTCGTATTAGATTTCGATCCTCTAGAAGTCTTTTTATTGTTTCCTGAAGATCTGTGGTTCTCTGACAAAGAGCTGCTTTCCATTTTGCAAGTTCTTCTACCATTAAGCTATCAAAAAATATTAAAAGTTATGTGGATATGATTGATGAAATAAATCATAAATATTATCAAACTATTTCCATTTACCTACTGGCTAAGAATTTACTCCTCCATACTTCACATTGACCTGCCAACCACTCTGTTTGTTCTTGATGAGTTGACAAATGTTGAGCAGAATTTAAAAGAGCTCGAGCAAGTTGCAATTTGTCTTCAGTCAATAAGTGAACTTTTGTTTCAAGATCTTCTCCAACAGCAGCTACTAGTAAGTTTTTTAATTCTCCATTAACCTATTGTAAAAAAAAAGAAAATCTTAAGTGTTGTTAATATTAGTATTTATAATAGTATTAAATATTGTTTAATACATATAACAAATACACAGCTATATGATAATTTTAAAGAGTATGAAAATATTTTATTTTTTACAATAATTAATATTTCTCTTGTCTTTAAAAAATATGCAAGAATTAATTAAATCAATTTAGTAATAAATGATAATACCTGTGCTTGAAATTTCAACTGATTTTCAAGTTGACTATTTTCTTCCTTAAGTTTTTGTATTTCACCTTCATATGCTTTCTTTTCTTTTAACCATTCACTTTCTACAGATTTATCTTTCTCTACTGTCTTCAAATCATTAGATACCTTTGTTTCATGAAGTTTCATCGCAGCAACTTGAGAGACAGTCATATTCACATTTACATTACCTTTTTGTGATTTTTTATTCTTCTTTTCATATGGAATGATAGGATTGACTGCAGCTTTATATGGTTCATAAGGAATAAACTTTGGTTCTTTTGATTTCAATGAATTCAAAATATGTTTTTCATCTTTTACACTGGTAACATGTCTTGGTATTAAATTTACTATTGGACCATTTGGCATAACTGGTGGAATTGAACTCAATTGTTTTAAATTTGTTGGATGATAAATCAATGTTTCACCAAGGCGGTATTTTGTCTGTTTAATTTCATTTTTCTCAGCTGTCACGTTTTCCATTCCATCACCTTGTGTACGTTTAATCCAGCCCATAACTTGTGTATCTAAAATATTATATATTAATTAATTTACATCATTAATATATAATATAAAAATAAAAAATTTTAGCGTTAACAAATATGATACTAATAAGTATTTCTATTCACATTTTCCATATGTATTCGGCTACAATAATTATTAAAAAAACAAAAAAAAATATTTTATTACTTTTACATGATAATAATACTATTAAACTAGAAAATTATTATTATTATTATTCTCTCTCTCTCTATATATATATATATATTCATCTTAAATATAAGATAGTAAATATATAAAACTAGATTGAGGACAGTAATGAGAAGCAAATTTAATTTTAAGGATGAAAAAACAAATATTTTATTAAGAACATATTTATGCAAATATGCACATATAATTGATAAAAAAAGTAATCTAACCTTGTGACTTAGTTTCAGATTCATCTTTTGTAGAGTTTGAAACGTTGGCCATTTTCACTTCAATTTCGTCGATATCTATTTAAAAGAATTTACTCGTAAAAATAGTATAATAAATTAGAAATTATTTTTTTTCAATCATTATCAATTTACTTGATGAATAGAATTTGATGAAAGAAACTTAACAAGACATGAATAATAAGATATGCATTATATTCAGGCAAACAAGCATAAAATTTGTGCAGGTTTTAAAAAATATATATATTAAGCAATATCCATTTTATATTTTACACTTCTATATTATTATTTTTATAAAATTATACATAATTATAATTCTTTTTGATTAAAGTATTTACTGAATGTTAAAACATTTTAAAAGCAGCTATTGAGAAACACTGCGATAATGATAAATGCTTTCGACTATGTCTATATTATTGTATATCTATATCTATACTATTGTATGTCTATATTAATATAAAACATTATTTTATTTTTTAAATAAAGTTTTACAAAATAATGACACATAGAATATTCATGCTTTAAAATTGACACTTTCAGTATATTTTATATATATAACATGTGTAGATGTATATTTTAAAAAAAAATTACATTTAATAATCGTATAATCATATTTAATAATCATGAGTATAGTGAACATAACTATGTATATACTATAAAAATCTATATTATTCACGAAGCATTCGATTTCCATAAAAAGTTTCATTTGTCTAATATCGATAGTCTAAATTACTAGCAAATAGTTTCAACAATACAAAATATTTTTAAAAAAAGTTAAATTAATAAGTATTTAATGTGACACATAAATTAAAAATTATTATTTTATTATATGAAAATATTTGAATATTTTTGCGATATTGTAACATTATAATCAAACAGTTTGAAGCATCAATTATCAATTAATTAATTTTATTTTAAATTGTAACCTCTTTTGTTGATTTAATTTGAAAAAAAGATATTACATTACAACAAAAATTTATAATAATATAATAATTTATAATAGTCAGAGCGAAGCAACAATTTTTTACACATTTTTTAAATCGATACTATAATCATATAATATATACTCTGACAAACTTAAATTTTATTTTCAAATAAATTATAATAAAATAATACGACAGAAAGTAAAGATATGGATAAAAAGACGTATAAAAAATATAAACGAAGGATTACTAAAACTAAAGCTTTAGTCGATAATAAACCTCCAAAATTTAAAGTGTCCGTATATTATAAACCGCATACTATGAAAAGTGAGAAGAATCGAATACTACAACTCGACAAAGAAAATATGAAATTACTAAGGCGGATGAATATAATTACTCGATTAGAAGCAAGTATAACAAATTTTGTTCTTATAATAAAACTTACTTTCCATTATTTTTTTTATTTTTTCTTATATACTTATACCATTATATTTCATTATTTAATATTAATGTAAATAATCTTAATAATTATACATGTATTGTGTAAAATATATAATCAGATATCTTATATAAATATATTTAGCTTTTAAATTATTCTGGAAATCATACCGTACGTTCACATAAAAAAAGTACTATTTTTAGCTTATCCGAATTATAGGGAACTGTTGATTGCTGGTTACCAAAAATAAAATATAAATCAAGGATGGATAATCAGGAAGTAGGAAATAAACAACTCATGAAAGAAAATAAACGATTATTACGAAAAATTTGTAGAACAAGTAGTGATTATCCTACTGTAGAATTTATACAAAGTTGGAAAAACCTGAAAATGAAAATACAGTCCAAATACAGGCAAATCATTATTCTTTAAATATTTCATGGCTATATATTTTCATATCCAAAATTTTTGTACAAAATGATTTCAATATTAATTTTATTTAAATCATATTTATGATAAAATTTTAGTTATATTATTTTTTTAAATTTTAAGTTAAAAGAACTTTTTTTTTATTTTTATCTTTCTATAATTTTAATAAATTCATTTGTAATGTATGTATGTATATATATATATATCTAAAGTATATATATACACACACATTTTAAAAATTTTATTTCTTTATATTTATTATGCTCCTATAATAGTACAATTAAAATAACATTTACAAATATAATAATAAAATAAAAAAAAAACTTTGTACCATATTATAATTTTATGTAAATTTACATTAATGTAGTTACAATAATACAGATATCAGAAAGAACCTATAACACATACCATTGGATTGGAATCACACCAAGATCATCGTATGATTAGAGATTTATCATTACTGAAGGATATGAATCCATCTATCCGAACCAAATGTTTTTTTGAAATTGAAATTCAGGGAGATCAGAAATTAGGATCCATTGAATTTGAACTTTATGATGATATTGTACCCCGGACATGTACAAATTTTGCGGAATTGTGTCGTGGATATAATAGTTTATCGTACAAGTAAATATACGTATTTATATATAAAGCATTGATTATATCATACTTTGTACCATCAAGACAAATCAGAAAAAAAATATTTTTTAAAAATAAATAAAGTTATATTTTAAGTACAAATAAAAGAAAGAAACTAATATATAATTCGAAAGAAAGAAATTAATATATAGAGAAAGATACCAAGAAAGATACTATTCATATAAAAATTTAATAAACGAAAATAACAACATATTTCTAATAGAAACACATCATTTCATCGAATTGTATCTGGTTATTGGTGTCAAAGTGGAGATGTTACAAAATTTAACGGAAGTGGAGGAAGGTCCATATATGGTGAATCATTTGAGCATGAGAATTATAATTTACGTCATGCTGGTCCCGGAATTTTGTCCATGTGTAACGAAACTGAAAATACAAGCAATTCCAAATTTAATCTTACTTTTAGAAAATTAGAAACAGTAGATAGAAAATATGTAGTTTTTGGAAAAGTTATTACAGGTCTCTCAAATATTTATAAGGTAAATTTATTTCAATTATATTAAATATCTTCTTATTTCTAAATTTCTTTACATATATAAAAAGTATTTATTATTCATATAATTATCTTTTATACATTAATATAAATTCAGAAAGAACTGTTTTATTTTTTCTTAAATTTTCTGATATCTAATGTTTATTAGATTGAAGAATTTGGTACAAAAACAGGAAAACCATTTAAAACAATAATTATATCCAATTGTGGTATATTATCAAGACATAAATAGAAAAAGATTAAGCAAGGCATAAAAAATTCATTTAATTGTTAAGATGCATATATTTTAATGGCATAATATTATAAATAGTATTAATTATTTTGTTTTATGTAGAAAAGTATAACCATATTAATTATATCGATTATTATTTTCATTTAATTAATTTATTGTCATTCCATATGTCATACCTAATATGCTATTGTTAATTTATTCAGATGTTTTCTATAAAAATATTGATTATAAAATATTCTATTTATAATTCCAGAAATATTGAATATGAAAAATATTTTTGGAACGAAAATTTATTTTAACATTACTATTGAGATGAATAAACAAAACAAATAATGTAAATAACTTTATTTTTCATTCAATTTATATACAATAAAATCGAGTTTACATGCAATGTGTTTTATAAAATTTGAGTATTATTAATAATGATTTAAGTATCTTTTTAATATACAAAATATATTTTCAAATATAAATGCAGTTATTGAATTTATTCACAATAAGGCACTTTAAAATTCATATATATATAATAATTTATATAGATATATTAAAATAGTTATTATGATTAATACAGAGTATAAATATTATTTAATGTAATATTATCAATTAAAACATAATGATAACGTTATAATAACATAAACTTTCATCAATAATATTAGAAGATATTTCCAAATAACCATAGGCTGATATATTGTTCATATGTTTAAACTGGTATTCTTTTAGGGTTTAAATCATACATTCGACGCATACGTTTTTTCAATTCTTGTGGGAATTTATCATAACATTTTTTACAAGCTGGTTTTAAATCAAATTCAAAAAACTTAGTTTTTTGATTCATTTTTTGATCGCAAAATGCACATGCGAAATGATGAACACACCATGCTTTATTCAAAGCTGTAAAAACTGGAAAATTCAAAATATATCATATATTCATTTTCTTTTAGTTTGTTTCATTATATTTTTTCAATATTTTCAATTTAGAAAATTAAAATAGAATTTATATAATATTACAGTAATATACTAACCATCGCCAGAAATTACTTGATTACATACAAAACACAAATTACCAAAAAGTTGATGGTAGTGTGTTTCACAATAAGCTAAACCTTTCTTTTCATAATGTCGATGACCTAAGAATGGTTTTTCACATTTTGCACAAACAAAATGTTCAACATGCCAATGTTTACCTAAGGCAGTTACTACTCGTTCTTCAATGGGACGTCGACATGCACCGCAAATTGGAATTCCCATTTTATCATGACATCTCAAACAATATAGCTCATTCTAAAAGTATAAATAATAAAAATATGACTGATTGATACACTATAAAAGATAATAATAATTCAAGATAATACAGTTATAAATATATACCATTTCGTTAGCAGCATATCCTGGTCTAGAATTAACTTCTCTAGCATCTGAATTAAGTTCTATACCACAAGCAGTACAATTAAAATGATATGGATGATAAAGTTCTCCACGAAAACGAAGAGGTTTGTCATCAATTACACCACTAAAAATTATATGATATTACAGACACAGTATGTAATAATTGAACAATATATACAATTTTAAAGATCAAAATATACATGCATAGTATTAAAATTTATTTATGTAAATAGAATCAAAATTCGTACTGGCATTGATGACAAATATATTTTCCAAGAACCCCAGCCTTAACACGTGCATTACATGTATGGCATAAAGCTCTACCCTGACATTTAATGAATCCTGCATCAGCTAATTCACCATTACATTCTTCACAACGAAAACATCCTGGATGCCAATTAGCATTCATTGCTTTTATTACACGACCAATAACAAATTCTCCTATAAATAAAAAAATATAAATTATTTTTAATTTAAATATTTGCCATGTCGTAATATTATAAGTAAAATAACATACCACATTTTTCACAGCAAGGTGCAAATAAGACATGAAAATCATGTTCACAATATTTATATCCTTCAAATTCATAAAATATTCCATCTGGGAATGGACGGAAGCATTGTGCACACCTAATAAAAAATCTTCTATTACAATTGTTTATAAATATAAATTATTATATTTAAATTTTAATTACAGATTTATTACAGAACTACATTATCTTCTGAAGCAATATCCAATTTTCAAATTAAATTGATGTAATAAATCCTAATAATAACAATAAAATATTCTTACACAAAACACTGTGGATGCCATAATTCTCCATTTGAATTAACAATTTTTTCATGAGGAACAAAACCTTCTCTACATCGAGAACAAAACATATTATCCAAAGACATCTCTGTAACACTTATTAAATAAACATAATTTAAAGCTTCATTTAAATCCAATTTAAAAATGGAAAATTTAATGTACATTAAAGATAACTAATATGAATATGAATAAGCATGCATTAGATGTTGAAAAAAAATTGTAAAATATATAAAAACTGAAAAATTTTCAAAATATTCTCATTAATTACTAAATTTTTTATAGCTTTATATAATGAATATATATTCTTAATTAAATAATAGAAATAATTTATTTCTTCATATAATTATACAATACATAATAAATAATTTATTAATTATATATATAATAATTTAGTTTTTCCGTATTACTACACAAAAATTAGTTTTTCCATATTACTACACAAAATTTAGTTTTTCCGTATTACTACACTTTTCTCTTGTAAACATGAAATTACATAAATATTAGCATTTATATCTTATAATAACGGATTTAAAATTATATACCTGGCAATTAATTTTGTTGATGGAAGATAGTCTACACTATGTTTGAATGAAAAGAAATAATAGGTGCTTACCCTGGCATTCTTTAATGATAAAGAAGAGCTAATTTATTAACTGTAGTTACTTGTTATCTTTTAATTGAAAAGAAACATTAATGTTATATATTACAGATTTTAAAAAATACCTAGTATTCTTCTAGACTTAAATAAATAACTCTTATATATGTCATTAGTATTATCAACACTTTCCAAGACGAAATTTTATGCAGAAAATACACAAAGTGTTACTGATACGATTTTACATTACATCCTTCTTTCATTTTATATTTAGAATAAAAATTACGTCATCAAATCATACACCCCTTTTTTTGTAATAACCATTACAACTGCAGTAACCAATCGGACGTGAGAAATGTGGACTTGCCTTTTTTGAAGTGTTACTTCAAACAATAAAGTAAAATTGCATAGATGTGAAACTTAGATAAATACCGAAAAACTTTAATATTGATTGAAACTTCAATAAATATAATGCCTTTACACATATGTATTTTAATATTTTCTTTTGCAATTTAAAAAAAATGGAAGATTCGATTTTGTTAAAAATATCTCTACAAATATAGAGATTTACAAAAATATATTAAGTTATCAACTATTCAATTTATCAATGAGTAGTACTAAAATTTTTAAAATGCTTTTAAAAAACAAATAATCAAAACTATTTATATACACAAAAAAATTACAGGGAAATATAAAATAAACTATACATTACAAATTTTTAATCATCATGAAGGATTTTAAATGTATATAGAATGTCTAATTACATACGCTATAGTTGTAGTTAATTGTACTACAATATATAATTGTAACATTCACTATAAAAATTGCTTAAATTTCTGACATAATATTTAAAATTCTTTCTAGTAATAAAGGTTATTTGGAGTACAATTTAATATTTATCTTTGAATTATATGAAAATGACAGTATTAATATACAATATAATTTTTAACAACTTAACTCATAGGAATTGTTCAATTTTGAAACGGTACATTAAAATTGTTTAATTTGGTGATATGGCGCTGTAATCAGTTTAACTAATCGATTGGAAAATTCTAGTAAAATAGGGTTGACACTCTGCTCCTGCTTTCTTACGATTTGTTTGTGCCGTGAGAAGACGTTTGCCTTCAACGAAATATTAATCGTATAATTCGAAAAATGGCATGGTTATGTAGTCGTACTGTTTTACAGACATGTCGACGCCAATTTTTTCGCAATGCTGTATATTCGAAAGAAAAACGTAATATCATTTTTTAAGTGATATCAGAGTTATTTAAATATTTTTGCGCTTTTTTGTTACGTAATATAAAAATATGTTAATTTTGCGCAATTTTCGTCTTGCATGTTGCAATGCAGAATTTAATATTTTCTAATGAAAATTTTATTTTAGCTTTGCCCGACCCATTGGACCTTGCCACGGGTTTGGAGAAACGTGAATTACTTGCCGCTGCCGCTGGCAATTTCGTAAGTTACTATATTGCTTGATATTCTGAGTTTTTATCTTTAACGCTAATGAAAAAATACATAAATCTTTAAATTTATATATAAGATTCATCAAATTATTAATAAGATATTTCATAGCAGCAAATTTATAAAATAAATAAATTCTATTTCATTTGTAAACTATAATTATTTCTTGAGCTTCATCGACTTTTTGAAATTAACTTAAAAATCTAATTAGAATTAATAGATATAGTTGAAATTTATAAGAAAAAAAATCTGTGTGAAATACTTTTAAATCTGACAAAATTACCTAAAAAGTATAAATTGGAGCAAGGAACTTATCCATGTAATATTTTTGCATCTTCTGAATTTCTTTGTGACATCATGGATGTTTTTGGATGAAAGTTAGAAACTATTTTTCTGTTAATATTTTAATTAATTGCTCATAATTTTAATTTATCATTTCATTTCAGGATCCTTATCATATGAAGGCTATAGAAATAGTACGTGACAGCACAAGAGAAAGTCCAAATTTAGTACCAAGTGCATTCAAAAGTCGTATTGTCGGTTGCATATGTGAGGAAGATACTGCACATGTGAATTGGATGTGGTTGCATGACGGACAGCCACGCCGTTGTGAATGTGGTCATTGGTTTAAGTTAACTGAAGTTGCTCCTCTAGGATAAGACTTTAATTTAATGTCACTTCTTGTTAATTAGTCATTTGTTTAAAATATAGAATTAATGTCATATTCTGTTTTTTATTTACTATCCATATCCTGTTTTCATTTTCTTATACTTTGATTCAAAATAAATTATTGTTAACAAATTATTATTAATTATTCTAAGAGTCTCATTATATGAATCTAATTTAGGATATAATAATTTATAAAGTTTGAAAATTCTTATAATCACATTTATAAAACATTGAAAATTCTTATAATTTTCAAGAAGTTATTTTATATATAATTTAATAAATCTCTTACCGATACCCTTTTTATTTATTTATATATATTATTTAACTAAAACGCTTTTTATTTATAACTGTTTTAAGATTATTTCGACTTTTATAATTTTTTCAAGAATCAAAATATATGTAATCGTTTTCAATCCTTGATTATAGCATTATAAAATATTATTAAATTTATGTTATATTTCAAATATAATAATTTAAAACAATAAATTATAAAATATTAAATGCACGTGTAAAAATTAATTTGTATGCATTGAATACTACTATATTCCATCTAAAATATAAATTTATTATATCTATATATATATATTAATATTTATTTATTAGTAATTTACATATGATGTTTATTAATATATAAATTTTATGATTATGAAATATTGTAAATATTGAACCTTTTTTTATCTTATATATTGTAAAAACAAAGAATTTCATACTTATAGATTTATTATAGTTATAGTATAAATTTATAACTACATGTACTTTATTTCCAACACCCATAAGATTAACAACTATATTAACATTACTTAATATTGTGCAAAGATGAAATTAATAAATGTACAATCATGTAAAATCTATTTTATATTTTGTATGAATCCTCAGAATTTTATATTTCGTTAGAATTCTCAAATTAAATTTGTTTTTAACAGAACTATGATTATAATAAACATTGTCATTATCATTATCCTTTATAATACAATTGTGCTAACTTTCATTATGTTTAAAATCTTTTATAAATAACATTGAATGTTCCTAAAAATTTATTCTAAACACAATATATCCGATATTCCGTTTGAAAAGAATTGCTTCTTGTATTTGTTAAAATATCAGTCCTTCGTCTGCGGAAGAGTAGTACATGTGGTTCTAAAAAATAATTTTAATTAATATTATAACATTGTTATATTCAGTGTAATTAAATTAAATCCATGTACATGAAATGCTTAAAAACTAAGTTTGAATAAACTGAAACTCCTTATAAAATATAACAAATACTGTATAAGATAATATACTTTAGTATTTCATTAAATCACTATATAATTTTATTTATTTTTTATATTTTATAATTGCATAAAACAATTATATTTATGCAAAAAACATAGGCATATTTATTTTTATACCTGGTACATGCATCATATAATGTACCCAGCCTGGACTTTGTTGAACTCCTAAATTTCTCCATTCTGTTTCTGACATGAGATGAGTTTTTGGAACATGTCTTGCTAAATCAGCTGGTAGAATGACATGTCTACAAACAGATAAATGTTTATCTAGTAACTATAGCTAGAAATTAATACTTATTATACACAAAACCACATTTTCAGTTATAAACAATAAATTATTCCTATCTTTTATTATATATATTATCTGAAATATTTCTACATTGATAAAAAAATGTACAGTTACAAATGAACATATTAAACATAACATATTATATACATAATATAATATTGATATATTTCTTAAACGAAATATTGTAATATTACATCAAGTAAATTAAAATCAAATATATCAAATATATTAAATTAAAATTAATATATTTTATAAAGTTATGTTTTGAAAGCATATATTATTGGTTTGTTTAATATTTTAATATAAATTAATTAACTTTTTTATACCAACCTATATTCGTATTTATCGTCATTGTACTTTTCAGAATATTGTATTTGATCAGCTGGCATTTTCAATATTAAAGTAGATACAAAAGATGTAAAAATCTTTTTCTTTTATCGAATTTATTTTCATAACAATTATATATATATGTATATAACAATAAATTTCACTTTATCTTCGATAACATCAAACAAATTTCAGCATTAAATGAATTTTCTCGAAAACCATAACAAGTAGTAACAGAACAGATAATCAGCCAGAAACAGGTACAAAAACCTATGTGACATGTTATATAGTAAGGACACAGAAGTTCATATACTTCGTCTGTGATCATGTACCACTCTCAGTCTGTTTCTGGCGCTGCAAACAATGTTTGTTTAAGAAATTAACATGATTTTATTTAAGAAAGGAAAATCGTTTATATTATTATCAAGAAAATATTATAAAAATTATTAATAAAATTCGATATTTACAAAATGGAAGATTTTTGCCCACTGTGTTTAAAAAAAGGCATTAAAAACGAAATAAAATTATTTCAAATTAATTTAGAGGAAGGTGTATGGCTGTGTAAAAATGAAGAGGTAAAACTTCTTCTTTCGATCTATAGAAATATAAATGTAGTTTAAATCAAAAAACATTGCAAAAGTGCAATGCCGGTTATTTACGGTAATTAATATTTCGATATTTAATGACATAATTTTATACACACGTAACAATACAATTGCTCATTTATATTATATTTGTAATGTATGTTTCGTTTTATACATCATGAAAGGCATGAATTTGATTTATTATTTTATGTTTTAGTGTGTATGGCCTTTCGGATACAAAGATTTTGCATTTTGCCCAAGACCAGTAGGAAAAGTTTGGTCTTGTTATTGGGATGATTATAAACCATCAAATTGTAAAGAAAAAGTTACATCAAGTCCGTTAAAATCAGTATTATGTCATACATCCACAATATCTACCCAAAACACAGAAATGATAGAAATGACCAACAGCTCAGATATACATTGTTTAAAGAACATTAATAATATAAGTAGCAGTTCAAATGTAACAAATTCAAAAATTAGTTTCAATAATTTACATACCTCTGGTTTTGAAGAACCAAGTATAATACCAAACATTGATATTGAGAAAGATAGCAATAAGAATGTCTTAAATAAGAAAATTACTGCTACTGATACAAATGTATATAAGAGTAATTTGCAGTCAGTTGGCAATAATGCAAAAATTGAAAATGAATGGATAAATTCATTAAATAAGCATATTAAAGAAAAGGATGATATTTTTACAGCAAATAATGAAAATATAAACATTAGAATTCCAAAAATAATAAGTACTGAAAATACAAATATTGATGTTTCTAATGTGAAACTAGCAAGTCAAACTTCTAACGTTATAAAAAGTGATGAATTAAAAAATGAAATATCTGTTCATCAAAAATCTGCAGGCATGACAGAATTAAAATCAGAAGTTGAAAAGTTAGAACTAAGTGAAGATAATGAAAATATATTAAAACCAAACTTAAACACAACTACGATGGAAATAGATGGTTTACCACCAATTACCTTGTCATTTGAAGTTCCAGTATGTACTACTACTCCCAAAACAATAACAACTAATATACAACTAACTAGTTATGAAAATAATGATACAAGACCAAATAATCTAGAAATGAAAAATACGTTCGTAAAACGAAATATAACTAGTGGTAAACAATATGAAAAATTCAATTTTAGTGTCATTAAGAAAAATCTAGAATCAAATAATTTCAATAATAGTAATATTAATAATTCTTCAAATATGAAGACACAAGTTCAAAAAGTAAAGAATGATTCACCAGAAATAATTTCAAATGTAAGTCTTACTTGTCCATCAGATCAGCTTGAGTCATCTTTTTCAAAAGTAAAGATACAAATTCAAAAAGCAGAAAATGATTCACAAGGAATAATTTCACATATGAATATTAGTGTACCAAATCAGTTTAATAAGTCTAAAACTCATTTATCAAGTCAAAAACATATGACATCTGACATTGCAGAAGTCAATACTAGTACAAATATAGATACTGTTTTAGATTCATTATCTAAAAATTATAAAGCTTCTGCCCAAGATGATGAATGGATACGTTCCCTATTGCATTAATATTACAATAATGACGTAATTTATTTAATTTAATTTAATTAAATAAAAAATGGTATTATACAATTCTCTATTTTATTTATTTGTAGAAAATAATAATAATAATATATTATTTTAGAGTATTAATTTATAAATTTTATTATTAGAAGTAGCTTATAGAAGTAAAAAAATGATTAGTGATTATAATTTTAACTTGAATAATTCTAATAAATACGTTTGTATTAGCGTACATGATATATTAATAAAATATTATATAATATAGTAATACGAAAATGAAATTTAAAAAATATAAATATATAAATATGTTACTTCACATACAGAAGATGTTATAAGAAAGTTAATTAATTTTATATAAACATATTTTATTGACTACTTTTAACTTGACTAAATTTGTAATAAAATGTAATAATTAAAAATTCGTTTTTACTATTTATAAAAATATGTTTATATGTATAAAATTTTTATTTCCAACTTTGTGATTTTTATGATTATAAAACACATATACAGAATGTTTAATTTTAATTTCCCACAGCAAATACCTCAAAAGATGTAACAGATATGAAAAAATGTTTTGAACAAAAATTGCTATCGAGGAGAATAGATCATGCTGTCGTTTCAATTTTTAAATTGAAATTTATATTTTTTACTAAATATTATTATAAGCAACATCGAAATGTTTTCAAAACATTACCTATATGTACTTTTTGTAGAAGATATAAACGAGATATAAACTCTTAAAGCTGACCAGAATGTTACTAAAATAAATTAAGCTGTCAGGTTGAGAATGGTTAAAATATAATATATTTCTTTATTATTGTTTATAAATACTTTTCGATTTACTTTAGTACTAATCGTACAAATTAGTAATTAGTCGTACAACTAGTCATATTTTAGTAGTTCGGTAGTAGATATAGCGGTATCCAAACAGAGGACATCCATCAAAATAAACGATCGAGAATTTGAATATCAGTTTAACAATTCGTTAGCTCAATATTATAATCGGCTTTTTTAGATGAACGAACCATATAATTTCCTCATAGTGTATCAGCTTTAAGAGTTTATATTTTGGAAATGGTTTATACAAAAAATACATGTAAATAAAAATGTTTTAAAAATGTATCGATATCAGCTATAATAATATAAAGTGAAAAATATAGATTTTAATTTAAAAATTCAGATCTTTTAGGCTTCTGCAAGATTAAATAAATAACAACATAATTTATTCCCGATACCATATAATTTTTTATCGAAACACTTTTTCGTATGTTTTGTATCTTTGGAGATATTTATTCTAAACGATTAAAATAAGATATTCTGTATATTTTCGGTTATGAATTGTAAATTTTGTATTATATTTTTGATGTTAATATTTATTTCAAGTTAATATATGGGATTACATATTTAACAAATATTTACTATATATAGGCACATAGCTTTATTATATAGTACATTTAAATATATGCATTATAAGTATTATAATAGTCTTTATGACTGACTGTATAATACATTTTAGAAACATGTGATATTCTATTTAAATAATTTTTTAATTTTCGTATAAAAATAATTTTATTTTGAAATAAAGAGAAGTATCTACATCACTTATTATTCCTTGTGATCTATTTAAAAAATTTTGGATAGTTGTACTAAAATTATTGTAAAAAAACAGAAATGTTATGTTTCTTTTTAACTGACATAAATAACATGCATTGATATTTCGTATTTTTATATATACAGTGACTAGCATAATTGTACCAGTGATGAAAATGAAAAATTATCGATAATTTAATATAACTTTGTAAAAAAAGTTATAAATCACCACGTGGATTCAGCTTATGACTGTCAGAGTATAGGCTTCACGCTTTAAAATGAGACTAACTGGATCGTTATATCTTTTTTTACGAAATCATATCAGTCAAATTATCAATAATTTTTCATCATTATGCTAGTCACCATATGTATACATCATGTATGTTACAATATAATACAATTTATGGATAAATCGTCACGACAATATATTCAATCAAAATGATCTTGTTTAATACAATGAATACTGCCAAAAAGATTATTTTAAGTTATTATAATTGTACATAATACATTTTAAAAATATTTTCTCCAAAATTGAAGTTTACGTAATTCAATTATCTAATGAACATTTAAATAAATGTTTTTAAAATCTTCTTAGTATAATAGATATTTTTAAATTTGTATGTACATATTATGAATTGATGAAAAAATACTTGAAACAGAATTTTGAAATGTTTACAATGAACGAATGAATACACAAAAATTAAATAGTCCAAGAAAACAAGTATATTATACAATATAATATATATTTTTTTTAATTCCAGTAATTCTTTATAGTATATGAAATAAGAATAAAGTGAAAATGAAAGTGAAATATGCAAAAGAGTTATTGCAAAAAATATATTTATATTGTACAATTACAATAAATTGCAGAATAGAATTGTTATTTACCTATGTATAGAAGGCTTTTACAAATACTTCGCATTCAGCTTTTTTCTTTATCTTTTAAAAGTTTTATTTTTCGACCTAATAAATCGTATTTAGAATGATTTGGTTCCGGATCTTGATCTGTATCTGAACTACATTCACTATCGCTAGAATCTTCGTAGGAGCCAAGACCAGGCAAAATTCCAATGCATTTCATACCTCCTGTTTCACTGGTTATATTTTTATGTTCTAAAGTATCATCTTTGATTGTGGATTCACATTCAACAGCTGTCTGTTCATTTATTTCACAATCTTCTTTTTTTGATGTATCTTTGCTTTCATCAGATAACTTTCTCTTAACACCCCGTGTAAGATCTACAATGTCGAAATAATATTGAGTATAAAAAAATAATAATAATAATAATAAATTTTTCCTTATTATTTGCAATTTTTAATTACTCGAACCATATTTTAATTTTTGTATAATAATTAGTGCAATCATAAATAACTTATATCATTAAAAATATGACATATCAAATTTTTATTACCTTCTTTTTGTTTTTCAGGGCGTTTAACAACAACACCAGCTAATAATTTTAATTGTGAAGTACGACTATAAAAAGACAAAATTTATCTTCTTCATTATAATGTATATGTAATATTTATTGCATATATTTATTGCTTATATATAAAATTATTGTACTATTTATAATAATAAAAATGATTGAGAATTACGAATATTTATTAATTATATTATAAGTTTAATGATATCTAAAATGAAGTATAGAAATGAATCATATTTATTAAAATTATTTTAGATGAATAAACATATTACCTTCCAGAAGAAATATTTTTATTTACAATTTGAGGATTTTTTAATTCTTGTTTTAATTTTTCATTCAAGGTTTTTTCTTGTAATGAAGCCACAGCAGCTTTAAAATCTCGCATTTCTTTCTCTTCTTCAAGATTTTTTTTACGCTCTTCCTCTAATTTTGTTCTATCCACCAAATCCAAAAATTCCACTTCATCATCGTCTAAACCTTTTATCATATTTTCTGCAATTCAAAACATATAAAGATATATTTATAAAATATTTATATATATATTTATAAATATTTATATTATAATAATAACTATGTAGTATATATATTGTAAAAAGTACTTAGTATCAAATATGATTATATTATAAAATTATTAACTTACTCAACTTATGTGCTTCTTCATATTCTGCATCTCTTTTATTCTTTTGTTCCTGTAATCGTTCATACAAAGATCGTGGATCATATGGTTCTTCTGGAGCTTCTATAGAAATTATAAAATACATATAATGATGAAATTTTTATAACAGCTGATATAAATGAATTAGAAATATGTACAAATATAAAAAATATATATTTATAATGGTTTAATATATAAATAATGCATTTAATATAGGTAAAATATATTAAAATGACTTATATAATTGTATCAAAAGAGTAATGAAAAACTAAATTTTGAAAGTGATAGTTTATACTTTTTATAGTTTAAGTTTAAATATTTTATAGTTTAAGGAAAAGTATATAAATATAAATTATATTTATATTATTGCAAAGCAAATGAAATTTGCATATTATAAAATTTAAGATGTATAACTTCAAGATTATACTTACACTTAAAATAATTTAATACTACTACTAGGACAAACAATAAAAATAAGAACTGAAGTATTTCAATTAATTTTAAATATATTGTAATTTTTGTATATATATATTTTTGTATATATATATATGTTTTGTGTATATATATATATATACGATTAAAAAGAATTGTCAAGAGATAACATGAAATGAAAATAAAAATAACCTAATGGTTGATCTGCTGTTCGTACACGTTCCCATTCTTCTTGTCGTATTCTTCGCTGTTCTGCAATTTCAGCTTCTGATATAAATCCTGAACTCATAGTGAACTAAAATGTAAAAATCAGATACATATATAATTTTAATTATTTATTTGCTAACATCAATAGCTGATATAATAGTACACAATTCTATTTATTTACAATGTTCAATTCCTTTAACAATTCTTTATTAATTATATAATTGACAAATATAATGATTATTATAACTTTTATATATTTTTTTATAGTATGATCATAATGTTTAAATAAAGTTAGATAGTTAAAGTTAAACATGAGAAAACATTATTTAATTGTAAATTTTACATAAAAATAGAAATGTGAAAACCATTTTTGAAAGAATTAGATTAAATATATATAAACAAAAAGTTTTTGAGTATGTAAAAAAAATATTTAAATATATATATAAAAGTATATACACTCCACATAATTAATACTTACCACTTTTATGTATAACTTTGACAGATTATATGAGACAGATAATACAAGGACTATATATTTTCACTACTTGTAAACTTTTTATTTATATAAATTTTCAGCATTTATAATTAATTATTCACTTCTTACTACAATGTAAAAGTTAAAATTTCTTTAAAATAATTTTTGGAAGATTTTATATTTAATATTTTAAATTAAAAATGTGAAATATTAAATTAAGCGATTAAGGCATTAACATTTCTCTAGAAATATTTTGCATTCTAAATTTTAAACCTTCCCTTTTTTAAATGTATTAATTAATAAGTTGTTGCAATGTCTCATTTAATTAAAATATTCTTCATGCATAGATAAAACTAATAATGTTTAAAATCAGTGATCAGAGATAAATATTTCGTATTTTCCGAAATACATGTAGGTTAAGTCCTAAATTTAAACTTGAACAATTATAATTACGGAATTATATACGATAAATATATATAATATATATAAATATTTTATTTTAAATAAACCTTTGTCTTACACAATCGAAATCACATTTAACAATTTTTTATATTATCAATTTATGTCACATAAACGATGTTTGAGACACAGAGATTAATTGTTCGTTTGGTACCTAAAGACTTTATACGCATGCGTGAAATATTAAATAAGTATAATGTAACTACATATATATTTATACATATACAAAAAGAATATAAATTGTAAAAAACTAAATATTCTAAAATTTTTTACTAATCTTTTTTTTTAATATCTTATACAAATATAAAAAAAATAAATTATGTAACAATTATTCAACTTTTGTTTCAAAATTCTACTTATTGTACTTGTATTTATCATCACATAATATTTGTATTATCTTAAATTGAATATATTAACAATTAATATTATAATTGACTTAATTTTCTAATCATTTAGATTAATACTTGTTATAAATTGTTATTTAGGAATAACAAATTTTAATGATTAATATTATGAATTCACGATTGAGGATATGAAAAATAATAATCTTAAAAAGGTATTTCAAATATTTTTATTTTTTACACAAATTATACATAAGTTTCTGGGAATTCGAATGTTACATCCCGGCCTGTTAACTTTTTATAGACAGCAGCGAAGGTGTCAACCTAGAAAATGAAATATTGTATTAGATACTTTACATTAATTGGAAGTAATAAAATGTAAATATAATTAATTTACACTCGGTAGTTACACAAATAAAAATGGAATTTGATATATTAAAATGTTCAGAAAAATATAGAAATATATAAAAATGTTTATTATACATTAGAAATGTATTTACCTTATGTTCAATGTTCGTTTGCTCATTTTTATCTAAATGAACCTTTATAAGCTGTGTACCATCAAGTTTAATTCTGATGCGTTTACCAACAATCTCTACAGGATATACTAAATCTTCCAGCAATGCATCATACACTGCAGTTAAGGTACGACTAAAAAACACATTTATTACTTTATAATAATGTATACACAAATATTTTTGGTAAGAGTATAACATACCTCCTTGGCCTCTTCTGCTTATTCTTCGTACGTGTTTTTCTTGTTGGCTTAGGCAAAATTTTACGTTCTCCAACAAACATAACATGTTTTCCAGAAAACTTCTTCTCTAATTCACGAACAAGTCTGGTTTGAATTTTTTGAAATGCCTTCAACTTTGGCATGGGTACATATATAATAATGCACTAAAATAAATATTAATTTATTTTATATTATATATATTTATATAATTGTTTTTATGGTCAAAATATTTTTTGTAGATATTTAATAGACTATTTTGTCATTTATAACAAAAACTCTATAATTATAAATATTCTTTATTGTATAGTTTTTAAATAAAATTAATGTATATTTGTAATTAAGATTAATATTATTAGTAGCAGTTACTAAATTGATGATCAATCATAGTTAATTAAATTAATAATTAAAAAGTAATTCTGTAAAATAGGATGTCATTTTACCTTTTTATTATTGGTTTCTATTTCACGTGCTTTAGTAATGTAAAGTTCTCTTAACTGTGACTTTAAATCACTGTTCATTTCCAATTCCAATAGAGCTTGGGAAATGCTGGCTTCGAACGCATCAGGTTCGGCTCCGCCACTTTTTATTATTTTAGCGTTTGCTGTGAACATCTGAAAAATATTTAGATTAATATTTAGGTTAAGGTTTTTTCTTGTTTAGAAAAATATTTAGGTTAAGGTTTTTTCTTGTTTAGATACTCTAAATTTTAAATAATTTCATATATAAAATATATATTTAAAATATAGAACAGAAACTTTATTTGGAATTCATATATAAATGCAGATATAATTTAGAGCAGTGCTGCAAATTAGGATGTACTGTTAAATATGAACATTGTATCAATAGAATCTAATTTTATCACATCTTATATATGCGATCCAAGAAAAAATACTAGTTTGTTTAATAAATTGCTATATTATGAACAACATGCAAAGTATCGTTTAACATTTTTTAATATATTTCAACTTTGTTTTTAACTAAAAACTAAACTGTTATTCGCATATGTACCTTGACGATATCCAGGCCGCATGTAAAAGATCCAACATTTCCATAGGCAGGAAATACCAACTATTATGTACTATACACAAAATACCAACTATTATGTACTATACACAAAATAACTCTATATTTTTAGTTACATATATTATTTAATATAAAGTATAAAAATACAATCTTTCATTCACCATTATATCATTAATTACATTTTAAAAAATATTTTAAATTCATTAAAAAAAATTTGTATTTAAAAATATTTTCTGATAATTTAATTTCTAAAAATATTTATTATGTCTTCCATAGAATATAATTACAATAAATATTTTTTAATACGTACACTTTTATAACAATTAGCGATAAAGTTTAAATAGATTTAGTAATTTTTTAAAATAGTAAATAAATATAAAATTTCCTAGTAAATCATAATTATTATTATATACACATTTACAACATAATAATATAAAATCGGCTTTCGAAAAATTAGTTTTATTTTGTATTTCTTAAGTTTTTGAAAATTATTGTAAATAAAAGTGAATTCGATAGATACATATACATCTATTTTAGTTCAAAACATGATATGTATATGGTTCAGTCATCACAAATTGTTCATAGCACGTGTCTCATAACGTGTACATTTCTTATTGAATTTAATAAAACGTATGAATGTTTAAATTATATATCACCATGGAAACCTCTGGACAAAATAATGAACAATCGAAGTCTTTCACCTTTTTTGGTGAACCAATAATTAAAACACGTTGTCAAAGAAATGCTATGATATCTGCTATTTCTGGTGGCATAATTTGTGGTTTAATAACATTTTTGTTTACAAGTAATCCAAGATTCTCTACAAGAATGGGAGTAGTTAGTTATGGTGTAATAGGAATTACTGGTGCATGTTATTGTGCATATGATGAAATAAAATTAAAGAGCGAGGCAAGAGAATTTAGGAAAGCTATGTACAATACAAATATGAAGCTTAGAAATAATGATAGAAACTGAACATATATCAAACTCCAAACTTGAAAGTATTTGAAATTGTAATTTACACATGTATAAATATATGTAGCTATATATGTTTCCTTAAATGTGAATGACGTGTAAATATTATGTATAGCGCAATCAATACATGTTTGTAATTTACGCTTATATATTAACTTGCAATATATGAATAATATAACATTATAATGGCAATAAAATGTCATTATTTTTTGAATGGAACATAGGCAGTTTTGAACAGAACATAAATAGCAAGTGCTCATCAAATGCTTCAAAAGCATTATAATTGAACAAAAATTAAGAATCTATAATAAAGATATTTCCTTATAGCTTATTTGTATTAATATTATTTAATATCTCGTTGATTATTTTTTGTGTACTATACTTAATTGTTTAGCTTTCTTATAGAAATAAATGCAAATAATAATTAATAGCTATTTTAATGCATTGGTTAATGATAAATTTTAGTACTTTTTTTTAGTACTGTTATAAGTTAATGACAAATAAAGTACCCAATATAATAATATAATTTTTTATATTCTATGTATGGTATTATTACATAAGAGACGTAACAAACTTAAGTACAAATTAAAGTAACTTAAGTATCAAAAATTATTTAATAAAAATATTAGTACATTTATTTTAATTTGACATTTGTAAAAATATTTACTTATTGTAAAATATTAAAAATATTAAAAATTTGTGGTGTGTTTATATGTGTAGCATTGTGTAATTTCTTATGTTGATTTTAATGTTATCGAAATTAATGTTCTGGTAATATACAACAGAGGGCGGTATTGTAAGCGTGATATGAAGCGAAGGTCTGTCTGCTATATGCTCATTGGTGTTCATCGTTTGGTGGGGTGTGTATGACATCACGACGCATGTTTCGTACTATCGAATATGCTGAGTGACAGGTGGTATAGTAGTTCTGTTACGTACTGTGTATCGAGGATACAACTCGTATCCTCGCGTCACGCGATCGGCACGTTGTCATTCGTAGGTGTCAGTGTTAAGTTTTGTGATGCATACCACGATTTCACGCAATCTACTTGAGAGACTCGACTCTGCAAAAAGAGGTGAGTTTGTTATTCCAAATAATATTTCAAATATCATCTTTAAGAATTCGATGTTATCTACGTAAAAAAACTCGTGTAGAAGATGAACAAAATTTTATTGAAACTGAAGGAAATCCGTCATGATGTTTTACGTTTCCTTTCTAGTGTTCGATAGTAATTGTATATAAATAAAAACACATTGTTTTATATTTCTACATTTTCTAACCGATTTGAGTTTGGTAATTAATTAATTAATTCAACGTTAATTTGTGTTTTATGAATATTCATATAGAGAAAAACTAGGAAGAGACAGTTGAATTTACTTAGGTATATGATGACTTTTTATATGTAAACAATGAATGTAGTGCCTTAGTTTTTAATATGCGTTGTTTGCGATGTATTTATGACGAATCGTTATGATATTAAGCAAATAGAGAGATTCGTCACTATTTTGGGCCAAAACTCGATGACATTCGTCACAAGTTTTTGTTTGAAAAAGGGCAATTTATCTTTTCCAGTGTTTTTGAGACAGTTATACAACAGGCCAGGCATAGGGCCACACGGAATTTTATTTGTGTGAGTAAACGCAAGTATGTTACAATACGGTGTCGGACTATACTTCTTGATAAGAAGTATTTACGTAAAGTGCACGCGTAATGCAGGGTCTATCTCTTCTGTGCTCAATTAACAAAATCCTTCATTTTTATTTTTATTTTGCTTTCTTTCTTTTTTCTTTCTGTTCTTTTTAACCTCTGTATCTCAATTGGGGGAATGATCTTATATTTTAAATGTGATTGATAAGTTAGCTACTAATTTCAATAAGTTAGCTCGTACGTTAGGCGAAGTATGGAATACGTTTATAATGAATATACGTTTATAATGAATATACATATATTGAGTAAATAGTATTAGGATTTAAGAAATTTAAAACGACTTTGATGCGACACATGCAAATACATGTACATCAGTTTTAAATATATGCATAAGATCAAACAGTGTAATATATACAAAAAAATTTTATCCATTTATAAATAATTTATGATAATATGTTGTAAGTGCCTTTTGTGTGAAGTTTACGCTGCAAACCATCGACTCTTCGATATTTCGGCCAGTATCGATTGCAGGATATGAAACTGGGTAGGGTCCTTCATTTGCACTATCTCAATGCGGATATGTGTGTGGTTTTTTATATTTCTTTCTCTTCTAAAGAATCTTCCGAAATTTGTACTAAGAAATATCTTTTCTTAGATGCGAATTAATTCATTTTATTCGTTCGTTTTTATTTTTATTTAGACAACCTTTTTGGCAATATTATTTCCTTTTTCTTAGGGAAATAATAAAGTATATTTTGATATACTGAAAGTATATTTTCTGCTGAATTTATCATTTTTTATTTATTATAAAAGAATCAGTTAGTAATATTAGCATTAACTATTATCTATTTTCTCATAACATTTGATCTAATAAATCAGTACAATTAATAGATAAGTACATTTTTATTTAAACTTTAAACAGGAGAATTTTAATATGACATAATTGAGTATTTAGATAAAAATGATAAATGATAAAATCTTTTGTTTAATACACATAATATTACGTATGTATAATTTTTAGTCTTGGTTTTTTATAATGTAGTTTTCAATTTTAAACGTTCAGATGTTCCCATGTGCAAGAAATCGGTAACACTTTTCAAACAAACCGGGTTCATGTATTGAGATTGCTTCGAATGAGGCGATTTGGGTCAGTGCTATTTATCGCCCTACATCTTAAAATCACGACATACCGCCACCTTTCACCATTGATGTATTTAAAGTTAAATTTTTTTCTAAAATATTACTTCTTGCCTGTACATACATTTTCGTATATTCGCCAAGTGTTCTTAAATTACGATAACGTAATTCTCATTAACATGTCTTTGCTCGTTAGGAAACTTACTGAAAAACAAGAAAAACGAAATACATATGTAGGTGTTTTGACGATTGTAATAGTGTAAACGAAGTATGTATTCAGTTTGCATTCTAGTAAGAATCGTTTCTTTAACAGGCGTGGAAATTGATTACCTTGCAGGTATTATGAATCAGAAAAATTGTATATAGATAAGAAATTTATGTACGACTTTTTTTTTAATAATATTCAATAATAATTAACATTGTGTAACTTGGAATTTATATATCTGGATTTTTTAAGTGTTATTTTATTTGCTCACAACTGCGTGTATCTATTATATTTTGTTATCATATGTATAATTATTTTATATTTAAACGATTTATTGTTGAGATCTTAGAGTTTGAGATTTTAGATTAAATCTAGATAAAATAATAATCTGCGATAAGATCTATATTAATTCGTATTTTTCATTCTTAAGCAAAATTATCGTTAGATATTTATAGTTAAAATTTGTGTATTAAGCAAAAATTGATATTAATATAGCTGTGAATAACTCTGTTAATTAACTTTTTGCTTCATTTATTAATAACATTAGGAAATATTATCAATAACATTAATTCTTCCTCACTCATTCATTTTTAAAACTAGATTGAATTTTTATTTCCTTACCACAATCTAGTGGAAATTTTTAAAAACGAATTAATAGATTTATTTTAAAATATGATTTTCATTGTTATAGTTTACTTTACGACTGAATATATATAACTTTCATTACGTATAATAGAACATAGCCTTAAATCGTTATACTGGATTGTAATTGAGTTTAAATCATTTGTATTACTCTTTAAAGTGTCATATGTATAATATCTAAATTTATCATTAATTTCACTTTTAAAATTAACGTAATAAATTTCAAAAATATCATTTATATGAAGATTTTATTCATATAAATATGTGATTGGATATAAAAATAATAACTATTTCAAAATTATCAAAAATTTTATTGCTTTTTATTAGTATATTAAATCTTAATGTCTTACTTGAAGAAATTTGTAATAAAATAAGAATAATAATATTTTCAATAAGAATAATAATATTTTTGATGCAAATTTTAATGTAATGTTTTATACAATTCAGAGATTTATATAAAGATTTAAATCATTTAATATTTTAATACTAAACAGTTATTTCTTTATGTGTAAATATAAATTTAAAGTATTGGAACACGTAATAGAATACGGTATTTATTTTTACACAGATGTTCACACTCTTACTCGATTCTTTAGGTATCCACTTGTTTTTCTAATCTCTGTCATGCATCTTGCACATTATCTTCTACATCCTTATGTAACTTACACACTTTATTTAAATCTACACATTTATACACGTTTGTGAGAAACTATTTTTTTTTAGTACTTATTGATATATCTTTATGATATTAATTTAGTAAAAGATATCAAAGTTTATATCTAATTTTTTCTTTTTTTTTCACGAATTTTTTTGAACACATTGACATACAATATAAGATAAAAAAAAGTTCAAAAATGTAATAATCCATAATAAAATATAGGCACATTTAATTAAAAGAATGAATGTGTACCTAATATAGCATCGCAGAATATATGACCGCAAGAATATATATTAATCTTGATAAAAAAAATCTATAAAAGTTACAAATTTTTAATATCATATATACAAATATCATAATATACAAGTATTAATTTTAAGCTTCCTTTGTGTCCACCACTGTAAGTCTTACGTACATAATACATACATGTACATATATGTATATATACACTCGCTAAAAATTAACGCTTTCTTCGGCAACATACTAGTAAACACGTTGCTTAAAATAGGAAATAAGATACTACAAAAGCCAACTAATGGAAGAAAATCGATATTGATTTAAACTAAATCCTTAAAAGTTATCGTCAGTATTCCAGACTAAATATTTCAATTATATGAAATAAATGCAATTAAATATCTCGTTATTATTCAGTGTCAAATAAAACACAAAATATTTTTTAGAATTATATTTTAAAATATTTATTATAAACAGCATCGAGATAATATTATTACGGAGCTATATAAGATTAAGATTTTGGTGTGAAATTTCAACCATATTAGCTTTTAAGGATTAATTGAAATAGAAAAGTGAGTTAATCCATAGTCGGGAGAGCCAGAACATTGAACATGGTACTGGCTCCTGGATATGGTTTTATGGTAAGATATCGGAGAGACGTATTGATGTTTGTAATAATTTTAGACGACGATTTAACGATTGTTTGATTGCATATAGATTGTGCTGGGACAAGGTTGGGGAATCTATATGGGGCAATGCGTGTCTCGTAAGGCGGGCGCCGTCATCGCAACCGGTCATCGCGATTCG